ATCGATTAAAATAATGAAGTGAGGAAGAATGAGAAACAAGAAAAGCGCAAGGCGCGTCGGCGTGGGAGCAGCTCCGCGAGAATCGCCCAACGCGCTGCAACGCCCGCCTGTCAGTTTCCGGAAGTGGGGATGGCAGGAAGTCAAGAAGTCAGAGACAGATGCAAAAAGCAAGGCTGACAAACTGGGGGGGATGAATGAGAGGCTCCCCGATAATATTCCGATGAAGGGACTGATCTCCAGACGTTTGGATGCTTCTCAGCAAGGCGCTAGTCCCAATCGGGTGGCTCACACGTGATTTTGCCTCACCGCCCTGGGAATCGAGGCCGCACGTGATGATTCCTGACCAAGCAAACATGGCGAAATGGCGGAGCAAATATAACTTTCAGAGAATAGTAAAGAAGTATAAAATCATGTATTACATACAACATAGATGCTGTTAACGAATTGTATTTAGTCGTGATGGTTGGAGGAGCGTCGCAAAATTTGAGTTTTGTCTACCCATACTCCGTACAAGAATGTATATAGCGACAACCCTATCCTACGCGTATTGCCCGATAACCTTCATCTTAATTAGAACTGTGCTCGACATACCAAGGTCTCCATACATAAGTGGCGGGATTCAAGTCTATGAGATCAAACAATTCAATCCGAACGGCATGCTACATCTTGGTAGAATATCCGTAAACGTTGGCTCCCAGGTGTAGAACCTGTGGATGGGATTTATTGATAACATTGATATTATGATACATTACAATTCCGTCGTTGTTCAAACAAACTGCAAAAGAGTGCTCAGCATGTCCTTCAAGTCCGTATGGCCCGGTTCATCCTCTCCAAGACCTTCGATTTGTTCTACTCGAGTTAGCTCCGACGATTATAGCGATGTGGGTTACTTACCTTGCAAGGTGCCACGGATCAGGGACAAATCTTCATCACGGTCTGCAAGAAGTGAGACGATCTTCCTCTTCACTCCATCATCTTCGGCAATAAGCCATGCCAAGATAACATCAATTGTCTAGAGCAGTTAGCGAAGGAGCCTTGCTAGCGCAGAAAAAGAATCGTACCTGCAATGAGAACAGACCCACGTCCAACCGCCTTGACAGCCATTCGCCAGCCATAAGTTCTTGCTCCTCCTTGTCAAACGTTCTGCGCTCTTTTTCAATGGCTTGTTCGACAGGCAACAGGCGTGCGGCATACTCGCGTCGGAGATTGACGAGCTTCTCGATTCTCGCATAGTCCTTCTCCATAAACTTGGCCAACGTGCGGATGCGAGTAGCAGAACCACCAGGTAGGAGACGGAGAAGAGAGGCAAAAATTCCCAAGAAATGTTCAATAGTTTGACCCTCTTGCTGGATGGATATTAGCACAATGCAATTTGACTGTGAAATACCAAGCTTACCTTCTTAAGGAACATTCCGAAAACTGTTTTCAGGCCAGCTGCCTCGACCAACCTCTCGCAGGCCGGAGCACCTCCCACTCCACCCAAGGCGTGGTCAAGAACTCTCAGAGCACGTGGCTTACTGAACTTGCCCTCCTTGAGCATGATCAGCGCAAGCTCAACTCCTTCGGCCTCCACGAATTTTTCTTTCCCTGCATCTTCCTCGACAAGGCAGATGAGGGCGTCAAACAGATTCTCTACATATTCCTCCTCGTCAGAGTCCTTAGCTGGGTCGCGTTTGCGGTACGCACTGAGCAGCTGAAGGAGGATATCGATCCCGTCAAGCTCGATAAACTTCGTGCGATTCTTTGGGGTAGACTGTAAAAGAATTGCCAGTATTTCTGCGGCATATTGTTTGTTTTGGCTGACAGCCGCTTCTTTTTGCTGAATACGGGACAGGATCCAAGGCAAGATTGCAGCGTCCTGTCCAATTTTCTCCGCATGTGATGTCTGGGAGGCTAGGTTTTCCATTACACCTGTATTGAATTAGCAAATCCTCACACTATTTACTCAGGCAAGATACTCACCTAACACATAGTATACTCCCGCTCGATCTGTCTCAGACCCTTCATCAAGTCGGGAGAGATTTTGTGCCAACAATTCGATCAGATCAGCCTCCATCTAGTAATAATTAGTACTTGTTACTGATAATACCATGCCAAAACATACCATTGCGTTAACAAGAGCATCCCATTGTTCTTGCTCTGCCTCAACGTCCTCGTCTGTCAATTCACTGATTATCTGGACAACATCAATTGCAATGTCGGCATTTTCATGGGACAGGAGAGAGGTCAAGGATGCGACGCATCCCATCTTGGCAAATTCTTCATATAGCTCAGAATGCTCAGACAGGATGGACAAGCCTTTGATTTCAGTATCCAAGTCGGCCTCGGAAGTCATGAATCTGCAGCATCATTAGCACCGGTACATACAGCTGTTCTGGCATGCACGTACTTTTGTGGATCACTCTCAAACTTTGCTCTTAGCTCGGCGTTCTTGGAGATCTTCTTCTCGAAATTCAATGCGAAGCGGCGCACCCACGCAGAGTCGAACTTCTCGGGCTAAATGAGCATACTGTCAGCACCTGGACAAATATCCCGTGTACCACAGGTTCCATACTGGAGCCTCGTCTTCCTCTTGCTGGTCGATGTATTCCATTGCTTGGGCTGTCTTGTGCTCCATTCCACCACCGAAGAAGCGGCCCTCCTCGTCGTCTGGGACGTCCTCCTCGAAGTCTGGAGGGAGCTCGGGTCCAGCTTCACCGTCGTCAATCTCGTCCTCCACCATGGGTGCTTTCCCCTTGGATCTCACATCACCACTCGTATCTAGTTTTGCTGATTTATAGACCTCATCTGTTGGGTACGTCAGGATTTGCGACAAGCGCGTTTGCGGGGAAAGAGCGTACTTGGATCTTGGACAGGCTCGAACTTGCGCTTAGCGCTACCTGTGTTGGACGGTGTCTTTACGCGTCAGATATTCCTTTTGTTCGGTAGGTGGACTTGGAACTCACTTTAAACAGCTCGTCGACGTTCTTCATGGTTGCGGCGACTAAGACGCCTGTTCCGTGGACAATATGAAGACAACCAATCTCTGAGGCAATGGTTTATGGAGCAAGATTGATTGTGTGAGTGAGATGTTCAGAGCAACAATGAGGAAAATATAAATATAAAGTAAAGGCTAGAAGACGCTGTCGCATCGTCCTTCACTGCGCGGGCAAAAGAAATACGGTTGCCGACAGGAGCTAAAGACGCAGTAACGCCAAGCGTTCCGAGGCCGCAGATTTCTCGACGTCCGATCATCATTCTAACATCAACATCAACATACGCCTTCTACCTTCGTTCATCACATCACATACAAAATGGCCCCCAACCAGCGCATCGTTCCCTCCGGCTCTCGGCCCCAGAAGGGCTTCGTTAGCACCCTCTACGACGAGGCCACCAACCCCGAGAACAAGACCATTGTCCGCAGTATCGTGATCTTCGGTGTACGTGTTGGCTAATGCATAATTTCAACATCCCAATGATATACGTGAAACTTACAATAAATGTTTTAGGCCGGTATCGCATTCCTCCACTCCAGCTTCGGAGAGTTCCTCCTTCCTCCGTAAGTCGAGCCAACCCAACACGTTTCCATCAAGAACAACCGAATGAAGATCATCTAACCTCACGCAGTATGTAAAATCATCACGCCTTTTATACCTCCGGTGATACGACTCGGACTCCCTCTTGTGAAACTGTGGAAGCATATCGGCGTCGGTCAAAGGAAAACACATGATGCATAGGCATCTTTTGCTCGGTAATTTTTCGATTGGATAATTTGTACAATATTTTATTGGCAGGGCATGTACTATCCGACATGCTGTGTCCTGTTTTGAGATTCATGAATATCAGGAATTTTGCCATTTGCTGGATGTCCGGCGATGTGGTACAATCCAATTTTGTGTCCATGATAATTACGGCCTAGTCTCTTAAGATTTGGAAGAGGCTAGAACTACTATATCATACCGCGCTTGGCAATAACAGGATCCACCTTTGCGGCGTTCTTCGAGTGTACGGGTATCAGGATCAGAAGGCAACACTAGATGGGTGGCGATCAGCGACTGCAACAAGCAGAGATAGTTGTGTATGGCTCTTTATTTGGTGTATTGAATCTAGGTCAATCCAATGTGAGATGTCGTTCAATACGCAAGGAACAAGAATCATAGCAATGTTTCCATCCTTGAACATGCAGCGATATAACAATTTATGATTTTTTTGTAACACATTATACCTACATACATAGGTAGTGATATATATCGGGTATCACGGATCATCCAGCGATACCTCCTGGTCGTTGGCTACACGGGACCCTCCCCATCTTCCCATTCGAGATGCCTCTGGAGAGATAAACATTTGCATTACATACATAGAGCTGCCGACTCAATAAAAGTGCATCTCACCCGTTTATGTGATCCCATTTTGACGTATATTGTAAGGTGGCAGTCGGAGGGTGAAGCACATTCAAAAATGGAGGCATAGTCCAGGCCATGGAAATGTACGTGTACAAAAGTTATTCACAAATAAACGGTAATGTGGATACTGCTCCTTTAGGTATGGACTAGGTAAGCATTAATATTGACTAAGTGCTTATTAAATGTGCCTGAGCACGTTTATTACGTGACTTTACTGGTATTTACTCGGTGAGCCTGATAGAAGCGATGCTCAGATGGGAAACCGCAACCCGGCAGAGGAAATATGGTGCTTTTACGTATTTTATGTGAGTGTTCAAAATAACCAAGTTATTATAAACAAGTTATGATACTCTTTCTTTAAATAAAAATTGAGATGTTTACAGGTCCAGCCAATTAGAACTTAGCAATTTTAACAATCTCCAATGGCACAAAAGAAAAAGATGACAAACCGAATGTTTGGAAAGGGGCGATCTCCCTAGGGGCCCAAGACCCCGCAGAATGCCCCCACATTTCCCCAGTTCCGAACACCGCCTTCTTAGCTTGCCCGGGGCATTGACGTCTCTTTGACAAAATTGCATACTTCATTCCCAAATAGGGCTACATGACACATCGCACATGAGAGCCCTAGAGGTCATGTCTTCCACCAGTCTTAAGCGCAAAGTAGCAGAATCCAGCCAGGAGCCTATAGCTAAGCGCCACCATCTTTATGGGTACGATCCGCACTCCCCATGGTTACACCAGTCAGCATCTCCCGGGATATGGCGGACACGGGGGAATCCAGGTGTGCAGCACTCGATGCCCCTATCAAATATGGTGTCTGCCGTTCAAGACTTGATAGACCCGGACTTCGATCCACTGACAGCGATGCTGGACGACGAGCCCCGATTTTTAAAACCCTTACCGGCTCGCATCGCCCCGGAGGACTTGGAGTTCCTGCGATTTCGTGGTGCCCTATCAATTCCAGAGACCGGGTTGCGGGATGAGCTTCTTCGCTGTTACATACAATGGGTGCACAGCTTCATGCCAGTTTTGAACTTGCAAGAGTTTTTACGATGCGTGGCTGAAAATGACCCTGAGGGAAATGTTAGCATCCTACTCTTTCAGGCAGTCATGTTCGTTGGTACGGCTTTCGTCGATCTCAAGCACTTGCAAGATGCCGGGTATTCAACCCGGAAAAGTGCGCGTAATGCGTTCTTTACTCGATTAAGAGTTTGTTTTTCTTCGAGCGGTGGCTATATCATTCAACTAACTCAGAATCGATAGTTACTCTATTCCCTCGACTGCGAAGAGGATCGCATCGAGATTCTCCAAACACTGCTATTAATGACCTACTGGGCTGATTCGGAGAACAGTCCCCAGCGAGATATTTGGGATTGGATGGGAGTCTGTAACACACAAGCACAGTCGATCGGTTTAAACAAAGACCCTGCATCAGGTGAAATTGACATACGGACTCGAAGGCTCCGTTCCCGGCTTTGGTGGTGTCTGTACTCCCGAGATCGGTTGATCGCTATGGGTATGCGGCGCCCGCTTCAGGTTAACGATGGAACGAGCAGTGTCCCCATGCTCAAATTGGACGATTTTGATTTTGAGCCTTTCTCTCCATATGTGGTGGCCAAGTTCTATTGCCGCCAACTCCAAGATGTGTCACATCAGAAACGCCTCGCTACCATGTTCATCGAGAAGGTGAAGCTCTGCCAATGTATTGGTAGGGTAATATTCGCGCAGTATACACCATCCCAGCGCCAGTTTGGAGCTACAGACCGGACTACGGTCACACTTACCCCTCGACAGGCTTCCGAGTCCGAGTTTGCGCGATGCGGCCAGAAACTCGACTCATGGCTTAGTGCGCTCCCTAAAGATGCACAATTCATTCCGAAGTCGGGAAAGAACTTCCATGATGGTGAAGATGTACTGCTGCTTCATGGTGCGATGCTACGTATGCTCTACCATGCTACTAGCAGCGCACTTCACCGGCCTTGGGCAAATTCTTCAAAAGATCAATCTAAATCACGGACGGACTGGCGCGATGCTGCTCGCACAAAAATGAACGATGCTGCTGCGGGGATCACACATATTATTCAAGGCTTAAATCACCTCAACCTCACAAGGTTTCTACCGCAGTCTGGAGTGACTGTGATTCTACCTGCCGCTGTGGCACATTTAACCAACACCATGTCCGACGACCCCGCTGTCCGTGAAAGCAGTGTGGACAATTTCCATCGCTGTATTAAAGTCCTCCACTGTCTTAAGGATATTTATCCAGCCGCCGGCCAAGAGTTCGCCAACATTGAGGCCGCCATCAAAATGCAGGCAGGTGCCTCCAGTACATTCTTTCAAGTCATGGAATACAACCTCGACGCTCCTGCCACATCGTTGGCGACCAGGAAACCAAGCAATACCAACTCCATCTCCCAAGCCCAACCAGCCCCACCTGCTAGTGTAACCGAGACTCCCAAGTCGCGAGCACAAACTGCATCTACGCAACAGAACATGCATCAAAGAAAGCCTAGCATGGAGCCCACGCATGAACCTGCCCCGCCTTTATTCCCCAATGTATTCGATCAATATACCGACCTCGGCATCATAGACAACAATCCTTTCAACTATCTCTCCATCGACATCGACTCCTTCCCCGACTTTCAGACCCCTCCCAATCCAATGAAGTCCAACAATCCAGACAAACCCTATATGTCACCACCACCTCAAGACCAAGATACAATCGACTGGGCACAAGAGCTGTTCCAAGACACCGACCTAAATCTATACAGCAACACAGACGCCTTTCGCAAACCCGAAAAGACAACTCCTCCCCTAGATCAAGATCAAAACCTCGACGATCCATTCTCTTTTACTTTGAGGGATACAGATGACATTCGCTCAGTTCATTCTCGTCATCAGTCAATGAACGATGGAAGGCCCGAAATCACTGGCGATCTGGATCGAGACTTGGGGTTCCAGTCTGGTGATGACATGTTCTAGTGTATATAAAAATCGGTATTTGAATGTCGTCATACCTTGAATCATGCCCTGCTTGTCTGGGGTATCTGATGAATAAGATAGACAGAGATATCTAATGGGTGGTTCTCTATGGAAGCAGAGGGAAGTAGACAAGAATGGGTCTACCTTTGTATATATGCATTGGACTGAAATACAAACAAAGCAAACATGAACTGCATACGTGCACAATCATATTCTTTGTGAATCACATGCCTAGGTGCCTGAGTCATTAGTACGGATGTTTGTTATATAATTCCCATGGCCACTATTTTCCACGGATTATTTCTCCCTGCTCTCCAAAACATCATCCCGTTATCCAGCCCGCGATGTTTCCTATATGTCCAGACACATCTGGACCATGAATGCCTTGCTATATATGATAGCCCGCTATATTCACCATTCGGCTTTGAATTGGCGATTCTGAACCTGTTCTGGACAACCATACAATGATGTGGGAATTTGGTGATGGTTTCGGGGTATCTTCGGACACCGACGCTTCCTTGGAAAGCACTCACTTCAAAATGCGAGCCAACATTCAGACCATGCATCAGTAGACAGATACTGTGGGTCAGCACAAACTCGCCAGTAATTACATATTGCCTTTACGTTGGAGGAAATCCAAAAACTTGAAGATATCTATGGCCGAGGATCAAAATATCGAGTTTGCCATGTAAGTACTCGAGAACGCTTGCTTTTTGCTTGTCTTTCTGATTATTGTCTCGACATAGGCACACCGTAAAATCGGTTCTTCATGTGCATTTTGAGCCTTTATTGCATAGAGCGATGAATGAAGAGGGAGTGTCTGGAGTGCCGACTGTCAAAAATCTATTGGGCTCACGACACTGATGCTCCTTGTCAAGCTCCATACGGCGACCCTCGATTAAATGTCGACTGCGCTGCTTGTTTCGAAACAAGTTGAACTGAACTCTGGCTTTTCCTTTGACGTTAGCACGGCATATGGGCTATCTCGGACAAGGGGTCTGCCATAGCCACTGTTCGCCTCGACTTCGCTATTCTGAAACTGTTTTATAAACAGCGATTCAACGATACGGAAGTGAATTAAGTGCCTGGTCATCGAGCTCATGAGACTGGCTTCCTGATAAAGCTCCCCTTCGACCGTCTGTCGAATTATGACCTCGTTGCTTGAACCAAGACACGTCGGAGCCAGCGACAGCCCTCCCCGTCCCAGTTTTATCCCTCCCTATCACAGCACCGGCACTCCGGCAGCCGAATGTCGATTGTGACAATTGCCTCGGACCGAAGTTCTGATATAGAGGTGATTACCTTGCAGCCGGCCGATGGTGAATTTCCTAGGTTGGCCGCTGGCTTTTCCCTTGATGTGAGCACAGCATACTGACTCTGTTGAAGATATCTGTCAAAGCCAGTACTCGTGTCGTCCTCGCTCCCAGACTTTCTGGGTTTGCTGGAAACATCACACCAACCAAGACCCATCAGTACTATCTTCCTCACACGTCCCGGGCCTACACAACGCCATACCGAGAGCGGAACCTCAATCATCACCACTGGCTCTAATAATGGCTCGGACATCGAATTTGTCACAACTAGCCGACCGGCAGTTAAAAGTATCACTTGGTTTGTCCGAGACCTGGGGAGTGCTGACCTATTTCTGCTCGATTGCCTCCACGGATAGTTCCCCGTAGTCCTCCTAGCCCGTCGCTGCGCTCACCCTCCTCTGAAGTCCGTGAAATGTGCCTCCACTGCATCCTACCCGTGGTGTTTGATGCTCCCACCATGCGTCGCCGCCATCGTCCGTTTTATCTCCCTGGCTCGGGATTTGTGTGCAAGCTGCTTGTTCGGTGGTCTAGCCTGCTTGCGTGTCCCAAGCGCAGCTGACAGAGACCTGGAAAGTGACCCGCTACGGACCTTTTTAATTTCCCGAAACCTGCCATCCTACAACATGTAGGAGATAAACTTCTGGGTAACCTCTCAGCTTACTGTTGCAACCGAGGCGAAGCTGCGCTCGAGGCTCTGAGATAAACCAAACTCTTCGTCTTTTGACCCCTCTCTGCTCTCTACTTCGTCAACGAACAAGCTCGGCAAAACATCAAAACAAGGCATAGCTACGTTGAGTTGAGTAAGGGCTCGGTGTTTAATTGCTGTGTCTGGATTTCTTTCACAGACAGCGATAAATTGATCTGGAGAAATGCCAGGGTCCAGTGTCAGCTCAGACAAGCGTCATCTGGCTTTCTTTTTCAGAACTGGGCCCAAAATTCTTGGAGTTGCCAGAATTGGAAGGCTGTCTGTGTTACTTCTGGTTTCCTCAACCCAGAAGCAAACAACTGACAATGTTTGGTCATGATCTGAAGCACAGGAAAAGGTGGAAGCAGCCAGATACAATGCAGGCAGAGCGGAAATATATGGAAACATCTCTCAAATCGATGTCTGCCTTCCCTCTTGTTACCAACATCATCACTCTGCTCTCTAATGGTGGGTGGGACCGTTCCCACATCCATCATTTTTTAATAAGAAAGAACACCGTGGCTCAGACAGACTCGGACGTATATGCGGGTGAGTGAATTGATGCAAAAAATTGATACTTGATGCGCCTTCTTTTTCCTGGAGCGGATCCCTGATATTTTCACATGCTGACCAGGAAGAATGACCATAGATTAAGGCCCCAGTCAAGCCTGGGTGGACCAGTTTTGCAGGGATGGTGTTAGCCTCCATTTTGATACTCTGCATGTACCAGCATTTCCCGACATCTGCTAGCATTTCTTGACTCGCTGGTTGTTCCAAAGATACAGAGTGCCTAATCTAAATACTTTCAGATTCCCGAAACAGCTGATTCCTCGAGCCTTGTCTCATTGAGGAACCTTATGCATAGAGCTTTCTGGAGAACTTCATTCGAAGAAATTCTCGCCTGTCTCGCTTCACCTTCCTGTCTCTCGAGCTTACAGGCCAGCCTTCTCTTATCTAATGAAACATACTAGTGAAGATGATATATCAAGCGGTGAGATTCTCACATGTGTTTTTATAGTAGATTATCCAGATACTAACTTGTTGGTTCTGTAGTAACCATCTGGGTGAAGATGACGAACATGAATCATCGATCATCATCAACAGATTTGCTTGAGGGTATCGACGAGAATGGACAGATAACTGTTCCCGATATCAATTTGCGAAGATATCCATTGTTTTAATCATGAACTTAAATTATTTATACCACTTGTCATCACAGAGTATGCTATATCTAGTGGGATAAGTCTTTCCTGTCCCAGGGCTTTGCTAGATTCCCAGGCTATCCGATCCCCAACAATGCCTACAACCGGACGACAGTAGTAGCTCATATACATTGAGCCCAATGTATATGAGCTACAATGCTTTCTGCGATTCTGCATGGTTGTTTGCAAGCCCCCAAAATAAATGCAGGGCCGTCTGACTCCATATTGCACCCCGTTAGCATGCCGACATGCATTTTGTTTCGAGGTAAATGCCTTCTCATGATGAAGTGTCTCTTTAGAGTCTACTGTGATCCGGTAGCCACTAGACCCAGAACTGCAACCATTCAGATAGCCTCTTTCCGTTATAATCCAGTCTCTATCAAAAGCAACCATACGTTAAGGTTCCAAGATTACTTACTTGGTAAAAGTCCTCGGACACTCAAATTTATATAGAATGTTGTGGTCCCATGCCCTAGAAGTCTGTATAGCAGCTTAGTCGTCCCGCGCGTTCTCTAGGTCAACAACAAGACCGTTTGCTAGTCCATTGATGTGTGTAGTATTCCACCTGCATCTTCTCTCTATTCCACTTAATCCTTTTCTTGCCCATCTAACCGGTTCTTACATTGACCCATCATTATTGTTTCACGCAATACGCAATCTATGCACGATGAATATCCCCACCCAAAACGTGAGTACTATTATGCATACACCGTAACCGCAAACAAAGACTAGCTAACATGCCCACGGCGTAATATGACGGGCCAAATCATCCGCCAAGTTCGCAGACGCAGCTACGCAGATCCAAAGGAACGCATCCCACCGGGCGTGGAAGAAGTGATCTCACGCGGCTCCTGCCACGTCGGCAGACTCAATGATAAATTGGTTCTGAAATACGCATCCGACTTCAATGATCCCAGCTTCCTAATGAGTATCAAAGTGGAGAACCGCATCCTGCAAATCATAGGCCCGCACCCCCGAATCATCGAATCCAAGGGTCTTGCCGAAGACGGTCTCATTCTGAAGTACTACCCCAACGGCACGCTCCGCAACTACATCAAGAACCACCCATGCACGACACTCGAGCGCCGCCTCGAGTGGTGCAAGCAGCTCGTGGACACACTGTCCTTCGTGCACTTCAAGCGCGTCATCCACTGCGATATCTGTCTGCACAACGTCCTTCTCGATGACAACTTTGATATCATCCTCGCGGACTTCCAGGGTCTGGTCATCTCCAGCGAGGACGGTAGAACCCTGCTCGATGGATTGACCCGTGAGTGCGCCAAGTCGTACATGCCGAGGCAGCATCTCTATTCTGCGAGTTATCGGACTGATCTCTTTGCTGTCGGATCGGCCATGTATCATCTTATTGCTGGTCACGAGGTTTTTCCTGAGTTGGATAGCTTTGATGATGAGAAGATTATCAATGCTCGATTCATGAACGGGGAGTTTCCAAACAATGACTATGTGGCTAGTCACATTGTGGAGAGGTGCTGGCGGGGACAGTATGCTTCTGCTGCTGAGATTTCGGTTGATATTTCCCAGGTTCTGTCTGCTACGAAGGCCGTTGATGAGGCGTTGAAGCTGCTGGGTGTGGAGGTAGTCGAGGAGCAGCAGAACGTCGAAAAAGTTGAAGAATATCAAGATGACGGAGAGGAGGACGGAGAGTACGAAGAGGACGAAGAGTACGAGGATGAGGACGAGGTGTTGTAAGCTTTGAGTGCACATGACTCGGCTGTACATCACTGGAGAGATTCATTGCTGAAGAACGGAATTGAAACGTCGTCAAGGATATCATGTATTCTTATTCTGAGTTGGCACATTATGTCTAGCAAAAATCAATAACAGCCTCTCTAATACAATATGATCATGGCTCATGTTTAGCAAATGGTTAGGAAATATTCTAGGATTTGGGGAATTGTATCACAAGGATAGGCACTCTATGCCTGCTTCGTCCAGCGGCGACTCTCATCACCCTCTTCCCACTCTTGCTCGACGTAGCCCAGCTTCATCTTGACTTCCTGGACCTTAGCGGAATCGCCCATGTTTTTGCCCAGATTGTCGCTAAGCTTGACAGCGGGACTGCCGTTCGCGGTGGCGATCTTGATAACGATGTTGAGAGGCTTGGACTTCTGTCCGGTTGATTTGTTGATAAAATCATCTGACAATTTATCAGTGTTATGTTCTGTGTTGTAGGATTATAAAACTCAAACTTACTTGTAAAGAATGTTCCCACTCCAAAGGTAGGGTTAAAGCCTGCTTTTTCGGCAATTTCTTTGTACTCCAAGCAGTGTTCGATATCTAGCGAATCTGAGAACACCACTGTCTTGGTGTCGGTGATACCCTGGCTATCATAGAAGTCCCGGACCATCTTGACGAAGAACGTTGGGTCGCCTGAATCTTGGCGGACACCGGCGTAGCTCTGGGCGTAGGTTATCGTGTTCGGCTTAATATCACCCTTTTGGTTTGGTACTGAGATAGGCTTGCTGAAAGCATCCAGGAAAGCCGGCGTACCGAAGGTGTCAGTGAGAGCAATTCCAAGAACCTGTGTTTTACTGATTAGTCTGCGGCGTTTCTGAATACTCTGGATTTGAAAATTACATACCCCCTCTCCGAAACAGCCAAGCCAGTAACTCAAGGCCAACTCATTGGCCTTTTGGTAGTCGTCCGTGATAGCCGCAATGGTCATGTACCATTCGTGTGCCACGGTACCGACAGCACCCTTATTGTATTTCATAGCAAAGTGAACATTGCTAGTTCCGGTCATGACTCCGGGCCAGCCCTGCTTCTTTCCTTCCTCCGCCGCACGGCAAAGTCCCTTCATAACCAGGTCCTGGGTATGGTAGTCACGGCGACGGCGGGAGCCGAATTCAGAGAACACACAGCCATTCTGGAGCAAAGTGCAACCCTTCTGATATGCTTTCTCTTCCTGGTTTTCGTAGTCCCAGTCCTTGTCGGTGAACATGAAGTACGCTTGGCTGGTCAGCGCCAGCAGCGGGATTTCATACAAGATCGTGTCGAGCCAGAGACCCTCAACAATGTACTCCACGTTGCCCTCATCGTTATCGCTGCCCGTGTCTTGTTCCGGAATAAACTTGATCTTGATATGCTCGGAGGGTCTGAGGTGGAAGGTCTCTAGGAAGGCGAGGTACTCGTCATTGAGGTAGGGGCAGTTTTGGCGGAGCCATTCACGCTCTTCGGCGGTGACGCGAATCACGGCCAGTTCTTTACGCGTGTCAGTTATAAGCTGTATAATTGCGACAAGAAGGGGTATACTTACTGTCCATCTGCTCCAAAAGCCATTTGTATGCCCCGCGTTGCAATTTCATGTGCGGGGTCCGATTCCTGTAACCGTAGGTCACGTCTGCGCCCAGATCAGCCCCGGATCTCTCATTCCTCAGTTAGGGCTACTCACAAACATCTGGAAAGTATTTGAAGACCGCGCATTGCATGGTCAGCTTGTACAGATCTGTGTCTAGCAGGGATGTGACGCCCTGTGGCGGGGACATGTCTTGGCCCATCTTGTTGCTTAACCGGGGGTTCCGGTCTATCGGTGGTGATTCAATGGAAAGGTGTAGATCGCGAGAAGTTGGAGGGCAACTTGGACCAACAAATAGGCAAAAATAGCCGGGTTGTTTGCTGTTTCTTTTCTTTTTCCCTTTTAGTTGCGCAATCAATTTACAGCGGGGAAACGCGCCGATATGCCGATTATCTGTTTGCTATGTTTGCACCATTTCTACATCTATACTTTCTCTTTCTGTTTATGTTCTTTATTTAGTTTATCATATTTTCTCTTTGTTAGCTTGCCTTGCCCTTAGTCCTTGTTGCCTTGCTTATCTCATACGAGCATTCAAATTGAAGAAGGATGGATATGTTGCTAAATATATATATTGTACAGGGCTTGGACACTGCTCACCCACCAACGGCAATAACTACCAAAATAGGCACCACTAAACCTGGGATCATACATTTATTGACCAATGGTGGTCTTCACAACTAGGGCAGCCACATCTATAGATGTGGGACTAAGATGGGTTGATGGTGACTGACTTCCCCATTGGTAAGAAATGAAGCTACCAACATATTCTGATAGTCGTGTTTCTCTACTTTAAAATTCTGGTTCAAATAGTACAAATCGCTTGTTCTTCTTTATTGTCGGTGTCGGGATTTGAATCCGATAGCAGAGAATCTAGCCATGATCGTGCTAAGCCTACTAACGCCACTACTAGCGCCGAAAATACGATTTTTGTCCAGTCAATCATCAATCGCGGACTAGTTCGAATGTCTACGTACCCCCTCCATAGCTTAGTTCATTTCTGGTAGAGTGGGGCCCAGGTTATGTGTCTCGGGGTACTCGGCCCTTCGGTGTCGTCCATAACCCGAAAATGGTGTTAGGGCAGGAGAAGAGCAGGATATATAAACGAACTAATAACCCCTCCTCGCCCCATTGTCTCTCTGTCCATTTTCGCATGTTAAAACATCAAAATGGCGACCGATCCTTATCTACATCTGGTGGAAGTTCTTTCCCAGTTTGACAACGCTAATAAATATCAACCATTTGAAGTAATCAACACGAGTTACAAAGGCTTAAACGAGGGTCGCTCTCACATCAATGCCGACATCCTCATACCACGGACTATACTATCTAAACAAGAACTTTCAAAATACCCAGTAATGATACGGATTCATGGCGGATTTTTGGTAAGGGCTATATTTGCGCTGAGTAGACTATATTGCAATCATTCGATCGTAGATTAACCCACCTATAGGTTACCGGTTCTAGCCATTATCCTGTTTGGTTCGCGAATTGGACGTTGGACTACGCCATTTCAACAGGTGCAATTATCGTGGCTCCAGACTACCGTTTGTTGCCTGAAGTATCCGGAAAAGAGATATTGGAAGACATGGACGATTTTTGGCATTGGGTGCATACCCCCCAATTTGCTGAAATAATCAAAGACGCCAGCGGCGGTCACATTATTCCCGACCTTGACAGGCTCCTCGTTGTTGGGGAAAGCGCAGGTAAGTCTTTTGGGATGGAATCCAATATGGCGAACAAGGGATCTAACTCAAATATAAGGCGGATATCTGGCTATGCAACTCGCACTCAGCCACCCATCGGAAATTCGTGCGGTTATCGGAGCCTATCCGGTCCTTGATGTGAAGTCAAGGTTCTACACAGAGGCATATTCCAAACCTATCCTTGGAGTGCCCAACCTGCCGAATGAAATTATTGAAGAACACATTTCAGCTATGCGATGCGCACCCTCACCTACCGCGGTTACTGGTGCGAATCCCCCGGATCGTCTAAAGCTGGCATTCTCGGTCTTTCAAAATGGTCGATTACTAGAGTTCCTCGGGTCAGAAGACTATCTATTCCCACTGACTAGGGTTGAGAGTCTCGCTTCTACCGGAAATCTGAAACTACCTCCAACTTTTATTTTCCATGGAAAACAGGACTCAGCTGTGCCATTTGAGGGCTCTCAGCGGTTTTACGATTTAGTGCGAGAAAGAGCGCCTGATGCAATAATTAAGTTCTACGGTGGAGATGGTGATCATGGGTTTGACTTTGCGACAACGCTGGAAACGGATTGGATGAAAGACGGGTTGGAAATTATTTCAACCGCTTGGCTTCGCTAAAGAACGGTGCACTCGAATGTGTGACAAGCTATATTTCACTGAAGATTGCACAATATAATTTGCTTTAACAACTCATATCATTTTACATAGTGCTTGCTGGAACATAATGGTAACATAATGGTACAAGCAGCAGACAACTACTCTAGATGACCTCTACAACGCTTGAATATGAAACATCAGACTCCAAAAACCGGGTAGAACATGTTCATACATGCCCGAAGAATCCATAGCCAATGGATCATGGAGCACCACGGTTTTCCTCTATCTATGGTCTAGTGCAGATGCTGGCAGGAATCGAAAAGCCGGAGATGGCGGCAGTACAAACCAGGTTACAGCAAATTATATACTAGAGCAACATTACGAAGTATTCCAATCCAAGTGAATCAACCTGTTTTGCTCGGATAATTATTGTGAACATGTAGGAATCGACAAAAAACAGATCAGTGACCGTCAACCGAAATTTACTCAAATTATAGGTCCATATGTACCTAATATATAGGGTCCACGCTTTATTGATTGCCGTCGTAGTTTTTATGCAAAGAAAGCAAAGGAATTTGGCTCCTCAGCATTGAAATACCGGCACATATGCGGCCGAGAGTTACTGTTTTCCTGTTGGTTGATAGTAGATTTGGGCTTTAGATGTTTATAAGGGGACTGACGCACGCGCGTTCAAGCTGACCTTGTAAGTACATACCAAAGAATAACAATTGATTTTAAATCATCATCTTAGCAATAAAGGGTATTGCTAAAGATTCATAAAGCAAAAAAAAAAAAACAAAACAAGAACAAAAAAAGAAATTGTTGTGCATCATCCGTGAATCGAACACGGGCCTCGTCGATGGCAACGACGAATTCTACCACTAGACCAATGATGCTAGTTGATGTAAGGAGGCCCACTATTATGCAACATAAAGTAAAACTCATTTTATTTCCAATTTATCCCCTATAGCATCGTCACTATATGTACAGATATTTCGAGCTTTACTGAATTATTTGTTTAGAAATCTTCTGTACTCACCGATGGCTGAATTTTACAGCGAGGCAAAAACTCTTGACCCATATCTTTTTGGGTGAACCTTTTGATATATATATATATATATCGCCACCAGCACAACGAAAACGAATTAGAACTTATGTCAGGGCTTGATATCCATGCTACTAAGCCCGGGGGTATATAGCGGACCTAAGTAAGTTTTAGTCGGACTCCTATCACTCCTATACCCTCGAATAAAGCATACGCAATACAAGTACGTGAAAAAGTGCTAAACCTCAGATGGAATTGCTTAGGGATCTTCTAGATTTAGTGTTTGTCCTTCGATGCATGTGCTAGGCAATATAGAGCTTGTCCCATATATAAATATTCAAACAAATAAAGATATTTTTCGCGTTCTTCTTTATTCAACCCTCGAAGCTGCTCTCCCCATATCATTCGAACCATCATCAAATCATCAAAATCCCACTTGGTGGAGATAATTGTGACTTGGATGCTACTACCAGCGTATTTTGTCCTATTCCATCATCAATTAATCTTTCCAGCCTCCATTCAGGTATCCCCGTCGTCATCCATCCACCTACACTATGCCTGTCAATCCATTTTTCGTTAACTGGAGTGGCCCAGACCTCGAGATGGCATACGCATCTCCGGTCATTGTGCTGGAGAAAGGAGCTAGAAAAAGCAGTTATGTTCGCCACATGGCCAAGGAAGCACAACCCCTCAGGCGGTTCAGGGATGAAGATGGCAAAGCGAGTAGTGACGGCAGAACGAGACGGCTGTTTTGCTCAAGTGATGATGATGGCAGTTTCACGGATGAAGGTTTCATCAACCATGACTTTCGGGTTGGGGGGCCGAACCTATGTCCATTACCTGCTAAAACCTACGAGATAAAAGAAGACCATCCTCTTTATCCAGTCTTCGAGGTATTAAAACGCCGAATGGATGGTCCAATCGGTAGAATCCTTGATGGTTTTGGTATTGACGATGACTATGTAGAGTTTGTGGGAAGAACAGAGACAAAATTTCCCGACGGCTGTCCTAAGCTGACAGTACTTATATCTGCAAAGCGTACAGTTATGGATGGTGTATGGCTCAATGCGGCGAGAGCCATTCGAGCTTCTCTTCTTTCACTCAGAGAAACAGAAAAGAATGCCAATGCCAAAAAATTACTTGAAAACATGGTGGTTGAGATTTTGGAAAATACAGATGACCATACGATGTATGTGTTCCCTGTCTTGGAGCAAGAAGATATCTTCGAACAATGGCCAACGATTCGGACACAGATCTTGGACATCCACGAAACTGATCTCTTGTCCATTCCATTGGATGCTACCGTCGAGGCAGAAATCGAGAAGCGCAGGATAATCCTGCGACTGTGTTGATTTTGGCATATCCATGGAGCAACACTGATTGGAAGGGCTTTAGAGACGATGTTGTCAAAGTTCTCGACCGAGCGTGCCTTCCGATGGTGGCCGTGGAGATTTCCACCGCTTGTAACGGGGAAGAAAAAGAGCCTCGCGTAGAAGTGGGGCTGGACAGTTTGCATGGACTCAACCGGTTGTATCAGACAATTGCCCCTACGCTTGACGATGATGTATGGGGAACGCTGTCGGGGTTCATCGAGTTGCTGGGATTGCCAGATGTGCCAGACGGGCGATGGACGCCATTTGGTTTGACTTGTTACCATTGCGTAAAACCAAATCCAGAGCGTGAGGGGATTTCCTACGATAGTAAGATCTTACTCATGGCAGACTCCTTCCTATCGCTGACGTTGATCTTAAGCGATTGAAAACTGGGACGAAAATGGCGTATACCCAGGTGATCAAGATGCCAAAAGACATATGAAGACGTAGTGTCCTAGTGGGTTTGGTATGCAAACCGAACTAGAATACCTCACAGAGTTGACTAGTAGGATCCTGCAGGATAAAAACTATCTAGCAGGCGAGGATCGCCAGAAACGCCGCCAATTGTTCCGCCCTATGGAAGTCGACGAGCCCCAATATAACAAACAGGTTGAGCACCTACGAGATCTACGGCTCTTAACATTGGAGCTTGAGGAAAAAATGAAAAACCCATATTCTGAATTTGGTAACGTATTTGCCGCTTCCGGATTCAAAGTACGACGTTGGGTGTTTTCTGGGCGCCCTTGCGGGATGAAACTTGATTGGGCTTTGATTAAAGTGCACCAAAGCCGGTTATCTTGGACAATAGTAAGAGTTTGATAGCAAGCCCTCAAAGTTTTGGGCTAACGCAACAGTCAATTGACAGCTGCCTGATGGAAAGAAAGCCACTGATATTGGCTCACTGGATTCCCGGCGACCCTTTGCGGGCAGACCAGTTTGGGCATACGGATTTAGGCAGGGATTGACCTGGGGTCTTACCAATGGGTTGCAGGAACCAGCGTTTTTGATGTCCAGGGAGAACGGATACACGGAAACAATTGTGATTCATCGTGATGTCGTACTTGGGTTGAATGGTAAACCATTTGCGAACAAAGGGGACTCTGGCACCTTTGTGTTTACTGGCGACGGCATTCTCCTGGGCATGATGTATGGAGGGCGACGTGGTGCGAATAGCAATGTCAACTACATCATGCGCACAGTCGATCTTTTACAAGACATCAAGGAACGCACCGGTGCCAAGGACATTCGTCTTAGACAGTAATTGGATCCCAATGAGACTCTGACTGATAGCATCCCCTTTCTAACCTTGTAGACTTTATTCAACACTAGTAGGTGAAACAATGAATCTCTGACAATCTAGTAGAATTTATGAAATTATCAGTAGCTCCACGCCACATTAACTAAATATCTTAGCATCAATCGAGGATTTATAAACTTACTCCATTCTAGATTAGAACCCTATCTTGAATATTTTCAAACTTTTTTTGTACCACAACCTACTACATAAATACATGTATGTAGATAATTAGGTACGATCTGATACTCCAAATGTGGCATCTAAACAGTGGGAAGGTTGCTGTAGCTTGCTCCTTCCGAAGGCCACACTGTATCACACATACTAGTGCTTTCATGCCTCACACATTGTATATCGGAACTCATGAAGTGAGCTAGAGACAGATCCGATGAGACGGAGATCTCACCAAGTCGAAAACGAAAACCCTCTGAAAACATAACTTGGTGGTTTGATTGAGCAAGAGAGAGTGTGTGACCAAGAAATCTATATATAATATGATACATACATCCGAGAAAGAGACATGATGTGGAGTCATCAGGCAGACATCCCAAGGAACCTTCTACAAGGCAAGTGGAGGATTCGCCGGCGATAAGAGAGATTCCATCGGGGCACTGCAGGCACTGTCGTTCAGGCGGAAAACAAAAAGGGTTGAGCGAAAAGACAGGAGATGCCTGAGACGAAACCGATGCAAAGTATGCGAGGATGGAGGCCAAAATGAAAAGGAGACTTCTTCAAGATTGTGTAGGCTCAATCTTGAATCCTCCTGGCATCAAGTCCGTAAAGACCCTGCTGGGATCATACTTGCGCCGAATATTTCTCAAGCGCGCGAGGTTGCCAGCTGGATAGCTCTCAAATACTGGCTGTCCCTTGTCGGATTCGTTCATGTAATAAAAAGAGCCACAAGCTTTGAGGTGTGCCAACTCGGTTTGAATTTCAGCCTAGAAAGACTGGATAAAGCTGTCCGCCACCGTATCGTCCGCAGCACGGTCCCAACTAAACGTTAGTTCGATCTAGAGCGCCGGAGTCTCATCGAAGCCCTGCAAAGCTCCTGGCTCCGCATTTATCGCGGCTAAAAAGTGCTTTGTGATGGGATTGAACGCTAGACCCGTACCCACACCCGGCGTATTATTGAAATGACTGCGTGCGCCCTCGAAGTATTTGTCATGTACCAGCTGCATAGCGTCTCTTTTGGCAAGGATTGGCAGGAGGTGGAATCGTTGCCTCCGTCCGTATGTCTGACCGCCTTTCTCAAATACTGGGGTCTCCAAGCGACTGTATTGGCCTAGTGACATTGGGGACAGTGGGTTGGACGCGTTGAGATTGACGGGAGTAACTAACCCTGCAAGAAAATCTTGTAGGATGTGAGGTGAGGTGTTATTGCCGTTGTAAATCAAGGTCGCTGAATATGAGGGGGCGGAAGCTCCCGAGGTGTATTGAATGACTGGTAAGACAACCCCTTTCGGATCGGCATGACCATTAATGGCGTAGTTGAATACGCTATCGATGTACTCACTGGATGCATTCGAGCTATATGAAGGTGAGGCAATCATTGTGAGCGGGCTGTGTACCGTTTTCAGCTCGAAGCGAGTGACGAGACAGAGCGAGTTGCCGCCAGCTTGTAACGCCCAGAACAAGTCAGAATATCTGTTTGACGCAGTAGCTCTCACAATCTTCCCGTCGGCTAAAACACACTATTCGATTGTTAGTCTTGCCAAAGCCTGAGGGCAGCGAATATAAAGTACCTCATAGGACTTAACATTGCCGTTCGTGGACCCAAGGCCATATTCATAACTGTAGAAGGATATCCCACCGCCGAGAAGGTAACCGGGCACTCCCACATGGGTAGACCGCGCCCCGACAACAGAACGACCAGTCCCTTTGAGAAACTGGAAAGCATCGTTCCATCGCCATCCGGGGCCGATGGAGAGTATGCTCTTGTCCTTAGAAAGGTGGAGCATGTCGAGATTTGTCCTTGATATCAGAACACCCTTCGAGATGCTATGGGAGCTGGCAACAGGCATGTGGCCACCACCTCGCATTGCGAACTGACTTCCCAGAGATGCAATTTGCTTGAAAGCGAAAGATAGTTGTTTCGCATTACCAGGGGCAAAGATGCAAGACGGCTCGACCCAAGTTTGAGCTGCCCAGGGAACTATCACGTAGCGCATTAGTTTGAGATCCATGGATACGCCGAGGCAGATGCAACTAACCTTGGACCTCTTTGACAAAAGCATCATCACCGGGAAAGAAATTGATGCTTGCAAATTCTTGCTTCAAAACATCGAATATGCCAACATGGGTGGGTGACTGCGTGTAGCGCAAAGTAGATACCGCAATGGCGGTCGGTATCATAAGATAGAAAAGAGCTTTCATATTTGACAAGCGTCAAGAATTTCTTAGAAATCAATGAAGTGAAGTTGAATATGTTGTAGACCTTTTGTCCATACCTCGGGAAAGTGTTCTATTTAAGGGAAAGAATGAGGATAAAGGGTCTTTACTCTAGAGTATAATTGACTATATCTTAGGTAGACTATGTAGAGTAGTGCAAGTAGTGCAAGTAGTGCGAGAAGTGCGAGAAGTACGAGTGCAAGTAGTTATGTGTATACGGTTTAAAGGTCTTCACTCTGGAGTATAATTGAGTCTATTTTATGTTGTAGGCTGTGTCGAGCAGTACGAATGCGAGTGCGAGTGCAGGTGCGAGAAATATCAAGCGCGATTAGAGTTTACAGCTCCGTGTACGAGGGTTCTGATTTTCCGGCTTGAGCTACGCAGTACGAAGGGATCCATACGAAAATCGATGATGATGCGTCGTCAGTACCTCCTCGTTAAGAACTGGTCTAGATTAATTTCAAAACCTCGTTTCAAATCTGAGGAGTAATGTGGGCATTGCAAACTAATCCATAATGTTCCTCGTCAAAGTTCATTTCCACCACCAAGTTATGACAGCCTGGGAGCAACATCACCCAGGTTCAGCCTGAATATAGTCATTCAAATTGTGGGGAGTCGGGGAGATGTTGAGCGTTTTGTTGCATTAGAGTTATAAAGTTTAAAGTCTAATCTTATTCTTTAATTCCATTGCTTTTACTATTTTATGACTTAATGTTTAATGACTACATGTGTTGTAGTGCGTAGTATTTGCCTATAACGTGCAATTGATATTTTAATTTTTTAATATCTTCTGTTCTATAACTATCCGGACTTTTTTCTACCAAAGAAGTATAAATACAGTAAATATGTACCGGAGAGGCCGGAGTTTTCAAACTGTACCGAGTACTCCGTATATTATGATCATGTTATACATAAACTCTATTTAATCTTTTAAGGTACTCCGAGAATATCTGGGCATATTTCTATTAGGGAAGGTATAAATAATATGAGTATAGTATATATTTATATGGATTCTAGTTAGTCATTGGTAAAAAGAAATTAACGCGAAGTTCTCTTTCAGAATTAGACCAGCCACCCAACATTAAGTTGTTAACCTCAAGTTCGACATATGTAGGGACACTCTCTCATGTACTTGGTTCATTTCTTCATAGTCCCGACATAGACCCGTTCATCACCGTTAGCGTCCTTAATGGTTTAGTTGTGCTATAAATCAAAGGAAGCTTATCTATATTTCAGGGGAAACACAAGAGGCTATATAGTTGACATCCAATCGACCTGGTCTTCATGGAGATGTGCAGGAATTATGTCGAAAGTTGCGGCTTTATTTTTGAGTAGCAAGAGCCTCATATTACAACAAGTCGGAACTGGTCCACGTTAACCGTAGGAGGATGCTCGCGTTTATCTAGATGTGACAGCAGAAAATATGAATCTTCTTTGTTGTGAGAAACCCTACTTTTTGCACTTGCTCAAAAAGCCAATTATACAGGGCAGACAAGCTCCTGTCATCTTGCTCATCGATACAGTCAACACGTAGTTGAGCAGCTAGAAATGAGCTTCTTGATAATATGATTCAACACTAACATATTAGGGAACCCATCCTATTTCTTCAATCGCCCACCTGATCCATGGTCTATGAACCTCATCTAGGAGGGCATAAATTTATGGACTCCATTCAACGCCATGTTTGGCAATTGCGACAACAGGGTTGTTGCTCATCACACTAGGAATGTTAGCTTATTTCACGCCATGAGTTTAAGGGTCTTCCAACTTTGCTTTTTCTTAATTTGCATGTTCGACAACCACTGCGGGACTTCGGATGGGCCCGACGAGTAATTCTCTGCATTGATGACATTAACTTGCAAGAATTGTGAGAAATAGACACGATCAGACATGCTTTACGAGGAGTGCGAGACACGATTAGAGTTTACCGTTTTCCGACCCTTCCGAAGATTTTCGGCCAAAGCTACAAAAATCGATTAGTGGTATTCTACAGGTATAGTACGGTGATCTTCAAAAACTAATGATTCTTTAAACTATACATGCAATCAATCTCCAGCCTGCGATACGTTAACTTGCTTCGCCTTACGGGTTGCTCCAAACGCCAAGGCAATAAGTGGCACCTACATAATCTGCAGTGTATCATGGATGCCATCCATGCATTTTTATGCGTATTTTACATTTGACAGGGCAATGTCGAAGCTATTTACACCATCCATCCTTTCTCGTTTTCGTCAGCAAAGCTCTCCCGGTATGGATGGTTCTCGATCCATTCCTCTGCGCCGACAACTGTCGCAGACTTTTCGTAGAACTCGCTGAGTATGTCATTCAGCTCTATAGATCGTTAATATCCGCCCTTTCTACCCCTGTGGGTTGTCTTGAGACTCACTTTCGATTTCCATAGGACTTGAAGGTTGCAGGGAGAAGCGAGACACGCCCTCTCTCCATAGTACTAGCGCGGATGGGATGGGAGTACCTAAACTCATAAGCTTTTGTTTTCACTCAAAATTCAACATGGAATAGATCATACCTCGTGGAACACTGATAACCGTGGGATCCATAGGGCATTTGCCATCGCCGATCTCTTCCTGGTACCGCGCAAAATCAAAGCGCAGCATTTGCTGCATGAGACGAGAATTCGGCATGAAGATTGGCCCATTGGAGTCTGATATACAGATAGTTAGAGTCTATTACATAAGAGCTAGACAGGAGTTTACAGACAGGGGCTTGACTTCGAGATCGTTGCGTGAACCAACCCATCTGTAGATACACTGACTGCATCCTTTCTGTGGCGGGTCTCGTCTTGGGTCACATCGTATAGTGTGGCCTTGCGCTCCAGCTGGTATCGATACATTGTCGCGGGGAATGTAGCATGGGTGGAAAGTAGGGAGAACTTTCGCGCTTGGTTGATGTTCAGCCGGGCGGCTGGTAGCCAGTGAGTGGCGAGCATCGTTGCTAGAGTATGTTGCAAGCTGACGCTATAGTAAAATTCCCAAGTGATGTGCAGTTAAATCAACCCCCGTTGCGGTAAGACCGTGGATGGGGAAAGAAGAACACGGGCCGTGACGTGATAAACATTACGTTGGGACAAGGTTTCCAAGGTTAAGTGGACCTTCCTAAGCTCCGGTCTCTACCTACGTTGTACATAACTCAATGAATCTCTACAAATATTTCGAATATTCTAAATTTGAAGATAGGTACTTTCGTTTTATATGATTTGAAACATTAACATGTGATACAAATTACTTCACATGCTTCTGCATATTTAAAATTTAGAATCTCTACAAACAGCACGACGTATTGTAATGAAAGTCACATGATCGAAATACAGTAATTTATGAAAATACATACGAATATTCGACACTCAATGGCCTCCCTGATTACTTGCTCCAGCTCCAATAGAGACTTTTACCACAATTTTGTCCCTCCTCTGGGATTATTTCCCTTGAACTAGGCACCTGCAAAGTTCTCCAGACATTTGCCGATTGAATACCTTCCACACGGGCCGTCATTTGTTCCGAAACTTTCTATCTCGGACCCGGCCCTGGCTCCGTTTATTACAGAAATGTCTCACACCATCGACTATCAAGCGCCTGCCCCAGCGATGGCATTTATACTCATTGATCTTTCTAATGAAGATACTACAAGCCTAGCCATGAAATCCATAAACCTAACGCTTTACAATACGGACAGTGCTTAAACCGACTATCCGATGATGTGATTGTTAAATTCGGATGGAGCGAGACTGCAGATGAAGCGAACCTACTCACACATGTTGGACAGATATTGGATGACTCTCATTTTCTTCTTCATCCTGCGAATTTTCTTCCTTCTTTTCTTCCTCTATTTATCCATTCTAGTCTTCTCGTGAAATGATCTCTTTTCTGTTGAATTGATCTGCCTTACTAATCACATAGTTATCAAAATGAAGTCAACAAAATTGATGTATATTAAATCGATACGTCTGTATGACGTATAACATGGGAGTTTAGTTAGGATTTTATACAAAGTTCACAACTTGGCACATACATCCTCTTTAATGTTAGCTCTAGATAACCTATTTTAAGGAATGTCCACACTACCACTGGCCATCTCAACTATTGTTTGCCAAATTATATAAGTACCAGTGAGCTATCAGTCAGATGCTTTCAATACCTGCACATGTAGGTACCTATATAGATCTATATTGTAGTGTCATGCTATGGATGCTTGCCTGACCCTAAACTTTAAATTGACCTGGCAGCTTTGTCGTCATATCCATCTTCACCTTAATCCAACATTCTTTCGCTTTCTTATCTCTTACCATCTCCCACTTCACGCCCAATATGCCCGAAATAGAGTATCCTCCAGTTCTTCCTAAGCTGATTGGTGAAACGATCACTACATGCTCATGGAAGCCTCTGGACTCTGATATTTACCCCCCTCGCGACTGGGTCGTTATCGAAAAGCTAAGTGAGCGCCAAACCCCGATAACCCCCAAAGATTTCGCCAATGGCATGGGCCCTGCATATACCGCTGGAAAATATCTTTGTCACCTTGCAGGTGCCGGGAACGAGAAAAAACAAGCCTTTATGCGTATCTACAAACAAATTCCTCTAGCTGGCACTGAAATTGATAACGTGAAAAGTCGGGGGGAACAGGCCTCTAAGCCACGAAAACACTTAGAGCTGAATGCCTTAAAGCATCTCACAGAAAATAGGTGTAGTGCTACCCCTAGACTCCTTGGGTATGAAACCGGCAAGCAAAACAAAAATGACTGTGTCCCCGGTGGATATATCATGTACATTGTATGGGAAAAGGTCCAAGGAGATTCTCTTGATCCTATGGAGTTCTGGAGTCTTCCCAACAATCAACGAGAAAGCATCCGCGCTAAGTTCAAAGCAGCCTACTTGTTTGTTACTAAGAAGCTATATAATGATAACGTATATATAGCTGACATGGAATTAGGGAAGTTTTGGAGCTTGGGGTCGAGCTGAGCTTGACGACCGCATCAAAGATCATACTCGACAAGACCACTGGTGATGTGTATGCTCGCTACTCTATCCCTTGCACTACTCTATCTAATGACACGCAGTAAAATCTCCGGTTTTAGGCGGGCTCACGAAATCTCCCCAGAAAAGACCTGGGACGACTACTTCTTCGTGATGTTTTTCCTAGCCCTGAACTCCCTGGTCCGGTACAACTACTTCCCCATCACAGCGGAGGATATCAAAGTTCACAGCAATGGCTGGATGTGGTGAGAAGCAGAGTTGATTCAGATGATCTTTTTAGATGGTCTTTTTAGATGGTCTTTTTGGATACTTTATCCCTATATAACACGCGGAACACTCCGTCGGAGATTTCATCCTCTTCTGTTAAGTTGGCGACATCGAGGGCTCGAAAAGATGGAAGATTCTCCACTCGAAATTTGACAACGGTATACCCGTATCGGAAGGCGGTACATTTATTTCTAGTTGGAATAAGTGCTATGGTATTCCGAGTCAACTCTCAGTTTGCTATAATAATCAACCTCAACCTTTTAGAACTTCTGCGACCTTAGCACACGAGGAAAATAATTCTCCGTTTTCATAGTAGGTTTCGAATTGTACCTAGATATGCAGGTAGTCAAAATAGTTTGTGATGGCTTTCCAATATTCGGCAAGTGACGGAACACGGAAGGTTTCATCCGCTTCCGTAGGGATCGGCTAGCCACGGGAATTTGATTTGAACGTAACTCGCTACAATGGAAGATGATGAACACTGAATAATGCTCGGATTAATAGCATACCGCATAAATGAGGATATTATTATTATCAAGACTACTTCCCGTTAAATTGTGTTCAGCTATTTTCAACAGACTTTGCGGCAAAGAGGTTTCTTATCTTTGAGACTGAGAGTGGGCCCGGAACCGGAACGGAACAGGAACTGTTGCATGCCCCTGCGAAGACGCCAGCAAAAGTTTTTATTTGAGATTAGAGATTAGACTCTTACTCGTTCCAGATACACTCCACCTAATGCGGGGAAGGAATAAGAATCTGGGGTGTCTTTGATATCTTTGAATGTGATACAAATGCATTATCCAGGCACAGGACCAAATGCCTATACATATCGACTCTCCTCCGGCACGTGTGAAAAATCAAATCAGTTGATAAAGATACATGTATCATCTCGGTGATATTCCGAGTATTCCGCTCAAAATCTCAGCTTCATTTACATCTTTCAATCATTGCTTCACTCTGTTTGTCTCGTAGTTCTCTTCCCTATGTTGTATACCAAGGAAATAGTGGGGCCATAGCAGAGATTTTTTCCAAACATGGCCGTCGGTACTCAATGAGTCAACACCAACTTGCAACCCACCCTTACACAACCAACATGGAGAAAGACATGAATAATACCAACATGGAAAAAGATATGGAAAAAGACATGGAGAAAGTGATGGATCTAGACAAGTCACAAGATCCCTTTGCCGGAGAAGAGGTTGGAGGAGTGCGTTACAGGACTATGAAGTGGTGGTAAGTCTACACTTCCAGGGTTTATAGGAAATCACTGCAGAAAGCTAATCAGATTTTCATTCAGGAACTGTGCAATCTGTACATACACCCCAATTGGACTAAATTCAAATCATGGAACACAGCTAAACAGCCAATAGTGATGATCGCCCAGTCCGTCTCATTAGGAGTTCTCTCCCTCCCATCGTCGATGGCAGTATTGGGTTTAGTCCCGTACGTTTAATATGAATTCCTGTGAACTTCTTATGATCTCGTGCTAACCCCGTCAGTGGCTGTATCATTATTGTTGGCATCGGAGCTTTGACGACCTACACTGGATATGTTGTCGGCCAATTCAAATTGCGATACCCCCAGGTCCACAACATGGCAGATGCCGCAGAGATCTTATTCGGTCCTTGGGGTCGTGAGATCACTAATGTCGCCCAGGTCGTCTGTTTTATCTTCCTGATGGGCGCTCATGTCTTGACATTCTCCATCATGATGAACACTCTCACTGACCACGGTGCTTGTACTATCATTTTCTGCCTGGTGGGAACCGTCCTCTGTTTTGTCCTGACCCTCTCAAGACGTCTGGAGGAAGTTTCGTATCTGGGAATTATCTGTATGACGGACCTCTCTTCTGCTGTTGAAATTAACAACTAACAACTCCTAGCCTCGCTATCAATCTTCACCGCCGTCGTGATCACCATGATCGCCGTTGGAATTGAAGCACCCGATCCCAGAGCATACGCTATCACCCACCCAACTCTGATGAACGGCTTCTCCGCTACCCTAAACATCGTCCTTGCATATTCCGGCCACATGTCATTCTTCAGCTTCCAGTCAGAGCTGGCAGATCCAAACGACTACCCCAAGGCGTTGATCGTCTTCCAAGCAACCGACACCTCACTGTATCTCGTTACTGCCCTCGTCATCTACCGCTACGCTGGACCGAACGTCCTCAGCCCCGCCCTGCTGAGCGCAAGTGAACTCATTTCGAAAATCGCATTCGGCATCTCCATCGGTACAATCGTCATTGCCGGAGTGGTCATTTGCCACGTCGGCGCAAAGTGCATCTACGTGCGGATGTTCCGTGGCACAAACATGATGAGCGAAAGGTCTTTCCGTTCATATGGAACTTGGGTGTTGATCACTTTCCTCATGTGGGTTATCGCGTGGTTGATCGCGAATGCGATCCCCGTGTTCAACGACCTGCTCAATATGATTGCCGCGGCATTCTGCAGCTGGTTCTCGTTCGGTCTGGAGGGTCTCTTTTGGTTGAAAATGAACCGTGGACAGTACCTTGCGAGCAAGCGGAAGATGGCTTTAACTGCACTTAACGTCTTTCTTGTTGCCCTGTGCTGCCTGATTGTAAGTTTTGCCCTTTTTGGTTGATGATAATTTCAAACTAACGAATGCGAATTAGTGTGGAATGGGTCTTTGGGCCACAGGAACGAGCATTCGGATCAATGCGCAGTCTGCGCACAAACCTTTCTCTTGCGCATCCAATGCCTAGATGACTCTTTCGCGTCTGATATTCACAGAATATTCAAAATGTACAATTACTTGCTCAATCGCATTGTTCATAGAATTCGATGTTATTCAATCGGTCATAACCTAAAGCTTTGTTTTAGATATGTCACCCGTTGACTCGGTTGTGAATTACATTATTTAAATGAGGGTTTATAAGTAGAAAATGAGAAAAAGAAGCAAAAGGGGTTGACTGGAACGATTAAATATATGACCCTATCGCTGAAATGTTGATAGAAAATTAGCCCCTGACCAGATGGAATATGTTTTTAAGGGACCGATGTTTCAGGTCCAAGGCAACCAAGTTCCGCAGAGAAGGTCAATGCGCGTAATAAGGGTGAACGATGGGGGCTGTGGACTTGTATTCGACTCTTATACTCGTCCGTAGTGCTTTATTTATAGACGTGATGTTTTCGACTCGACATGGCCGTGAACCTTGTCTTGGCTTTTAGGTGGGCCACGGGCCGAAGGTGGACCTCGACCCTGATTTCCGACTGTGAAGCGCCTGCACCCTGCATATGCTTGGCGCTTATGTTGTATGTTATATGTAGGGTCATCACTTGGGGGCGAAATGAACCGAGCGATTATGAAAAATTCTTGACAGTCAGCGGAACCGGATCATCCGGGTAGCTCTGCACGGCCGTTGGGTCAGCAAACTCGGAGAACGGGGATAAGACGTGATAGGGGAGCCTTCAAAATCGTCGTATCCGTATATTAACTATTTTCAACGAATCATTGGGTTGAAACGCACCCCGAGGGTTTGGACCCGTTTTCAGGGGTCCCACTTCATTTGAGGTACTCCAATGAAAATTGATTTGATGCTTCGCCTCGCTGGTCCAGGCTGAAACATTTGCTTATTCAGATTTCGACAAAGTCCTTTTCTTTAATAACACAGCTCCGGCCAAGAAATTTGATCCCTTGGCTTCTCTCGGCAGCGGTTATCTTCACAATGAGGTTTAAACGTGCTGGGCATATGGCCATAGTGGCATTGCGCCTTCTACCGTTTGTCAGTCATGTCTGCGCGATTACCCTGGATGTTAATGATCAGCGTAAGAGATTGGATGCGCGGGGATATATATTCTCCTATTTCAAAGGGTCGAATTGCTAATGAGGTTGTCTCTTTTTTCAATGAGTAGAATCGATCAAAGATGCCGGGAGTATCGCGACCTACAACATGATGACATGGTACAAAGAAAATGGGACGGATAACCCGGGTTTTATCTCAAGATCATGGTGGGAGGGAGCGGCCTTGTTTCTGGCATGTCTCAACTATTGGCATGCGACGAACGACACAACCTATAACGAGGAAGTCAGCATCGCCATGCAACATCAGGGGGGTGCGGGAGGAGACTACATGCCTTCGTGGGCAATAGGCATAGTAGGTGTTCCATTCCAGGATCTGTAGTGCACTGTTCTGACCGTTCTATAGGGAAATGACGATCAAATGTTCTGGGGCCTCGCGGCGATCACAGCAGCAGAATATAATTTCCCGAATCGGCCAACTGGTGTGACCTGGCTCACCCTTGCAGAGGGTGTTTTCAATGACCAAAAAGATCCAGATGGGAAAGGATGGGACACGACTATTTGTGGAGGTGGTCTTCGCTGGCAGAAGGAACTCTGGCAAAGTGGTTACACCATGAAGAACGCAGTCTCGAACGGTGGCTTTTTCATGCTCGCAGCACGTCTCGCTTGGTTTACCCAAGAGAAGGGGTACTCTACATGGGCTGAGAAAGTCTGGAACTGGGCTACCACTGTGAATTTGGTCAATGATACACTCTGGACAGTGGCAGATAGTGTCAGACAAGGCACTGGGGGCCCCGATGGCTGTAGTCTTCCTGACAACACTCGATGGACCTACAACTATGGTGTCTTTGCGTCCGGCGCTGCTTATATGTATGCATATGTGAGTGTGGTTCTTTTATCTCCCAGCCTCTTACTAACCCAGAACTACACATATTACCTTTGACATGCTAATGACAACCATTCTAGACAAACGATACTAAATGGCTTAATATCACAAACAACCTAGTGGACGCAATCTTTACTACATTTTTCCTACCCCAACACGGAGGCGTGATCACCGACTGGGAATGCGAAGCATCAGGTCGATGCTATCTAGACGCGAACGGTCCACTTTTCAAAGGCCTTACGGTGTCATGGCTTGCAGATATTGCAATGATCATCCCGTCTATGAAGGACAAGATCCTACCAAAACTCCAAGTTTCCGCCGAGGGTGCCGCAAACTCATGCACTGGAAACAACGACAACCTTTGCGGGAACCGCTGGTACGGCGGGTATGATGGACAAAATTCGATGGAGAATGCAATCAGTGGTAGCCAGATTATGAGCGCTATTATGCTGAATTTCCTAGGCTCATCATCAAAACCAGTCTCGACTGCAACAGGAGGAAACGGGACAAGTGACCCGAATGCTGGAACAAGCGGAACGTCGGGGCCTGCGGTGTTGGCCCCAATCACAACGGCAGACAGAGCAGGAGCTGGGATCCTGGCTGTGCTTTTCGTGGGTTGTATGATAGGTGGGGTGATATTTTTGTTGATGGACCCCTGAGCCCGAGAATAAGAGTCCAACTGCTCTAGTCAAGAGGCATGGGCGAAGATTACGGGCGGTTTACATCTGGAGTTGACATAATAAGATTCTTTTTTTTGTTCACTTGTTGCTTGTGAGCGCCGAACTAGAGGCCAAAGACAAACATGATTGAGAGCACCACTCAGACTGGGCCCGATAATTCCCGGGACCTTGCACTTAGAGAAATCCCCCAGTCAAATCGACGCCGCACCAGACAGCTTCGAGATCAACGCATCAAAACCCTCGGGCTAATGTTGCTCATGAAGTATCTGACCCATTTGTGCCACTCGAACCGCTCCCGAGTTTATACCAGAGTCCGGCTCCGCGTCTGGAACTGAAAGAATTCAGCTGCCCTTTTATGCCACCCATGCGATGATGGTCGCCCGCGTCGGCTCAATCTCCCAACATATTTGTACCGTCAGAGCAAGGTAGCTGTGTTTCAATTGGCCGAGTCTCTTGGTTTATATTTGCGCACGAGGAGCGTACACAAAGCGATTTGTATTGCGATGTATCCTGGAACTGTCCACCCGGAGTTCACGAAGGGGTTCTGGGATGGGAGGGATGTTGGAGCTGGCTGGTTCGGCGGCGAAATTGTTGGAGATTCTTGTTGGCTTGTCGGCGGAGCATAGAGGAAGAGGCAGGTGCTGGAATTGCAAGGGGGAGGGGGCTTTTCCGTGAGCATGTTTGGACGGTAGAAATATGACTGTGAGCGGGCAAGATGGTTTTACTGAGAAACAGGAAGTCAAGTTGATACTCAGCGACATTATTGAAATTTGAAAAAGTTGAGAGAATAGTGTGATAATATTCAAATCTAGCTAGTGACCACCCAAGACCAACTCAATACTTACCAAGATTGACCTCACCTTCGGTATTGTTGATGACTCTCAATGAAAAAGTCGGAGCTGCGATCGTATGAACCCTTCAGCGTACATCGCGAACCATTGGTTCTCAACGGACGCTGAAGAGACCATAGGACTGCGGATCCGAAAATCGCATATGGCCTCAACAAAAAAAAACCTCCTGGATATCCCAGAAGTAAAAAAAAAAAAAACAAAAACAGGAAGATCGAGTGATCAGACCTGTCCGATGTGTTCCGGAACAGTAGGCTGGAACGCAGGCGCGGCCGCGGCCCCGTCCACTTGCTGCTCCATACTAACACCTAGAGATGATTTCCATAGCAGTAGGTTGGAACATAGGAAAGAATCCTCGTCCTCTTGCTGCCTTGTACTTTGCATCCTTCCGTACTGTGACGGGCGATGATGGATATGAGCGGTTCAACGAGGATCAACAAGTTGACACCGTGTGACTCGATATCACGAACCCAACATGGCGTTGCGCCAATATTCTTTGCCAGTACTTTTACCGCACTGGTAGCGGGCGATGGTGGTTCACAGACTTGTTAAGGTCATGATGATTGATAATAACTCACAAACAGCTTGCGGTTTTGTGACCATGATAATTCACAAAAAGCTTTTGGTGCTGTGGTTCCAATAGAGCGCAGTTTCACATTTTCCAGTCCTTTTGCCGCACTGGTGGCGGGCGATGTTGGTTCACTGACCTGTTAAGGTCGTGATGATAACTCACAGACAACTTTCGATGTCGTGGTTCCAACAGAGCGCAGTTTCACATTTGCCAGTCCTTTTGCCGCACTGGTAGCGGGCGATGAAAGAGCGGCGAGTGGTTTCTCGTGAAGGGGCAAAATGGCCATGCTTCCGGCATCTCGTCTCGCCGCACAAACAGAGCGCGGTATATTTTCCCAACTTGGCATCATTGGCCTGGGTTTCAATTTTCAGTTTGACCGAGGAGGGTCACGGGAAATGCTTGCAATCACCTCTAATTCACGGGCTGCTTTATCGACACGAATCTTCCAGTTGCCAAAAATCAAGGGCATTGCCTGGTTCATCGGTATTCTAGCGGATTGCAAGGTTCTCTGGGCCAGTCTTTTTTCTCTCGGATTTTTCAGTTTTTTGGGCCCATTACCTTCATCAGTGAACCTTTGTTTTGACATGACTGTGTCTTGATGTCAGGTTCAAAGAGAGGTGCCATGTAGCCGACCAAGGTGACATGAGCCGTGTTCGAAAAATTCGAAAACACAGCATCGACGTTGTAACTCTTGTAGGATATGATATAACTGAGGCGATCAGTCCGTCAGAGTCAATATCCAAAACTCGCAGATATGATAGGTGACAAAACTATCACATTTTAATATTCAGTGTGGTATTTGCTGTGTTCCAGCAGGAAACCAGGAACCATCGACTTCTTTACAGAAAGTCGAGGTGTGCATGGGCCGTGTCATCCGGAAGACAGTACAATCCTGACCCCACAAAGACTGGGGAAGGGAGAAGACCTCGTAGACGTAACCTTGTCCACCGTATTGCCAAAGCGTGCTGATTGCACGCCATTTTCTTTGGCGCAGATGCTAGGAGCTAGTCGGGGAGATCTCTAAAGAAGAAGAGGAGGTGAATGGGTGGTTCACAGGGGCCTTTTGTAGGTGGTCTCCCAGTGTTCGGTGGAACTATTTTCCATGGTGGGTGGTTCTCCCCGCCTCCTTTGTTCTGTTCACTTTCTCCCCTCTCCTTCTGCCCAATGGGCTCAACTGTTCCTATTTGGTGCCCAATATCCGAGTGTTGGCCCCACCTGAGCTCTGAACTCGGCAATCGCTCCGTGATCGTTTAGCCGCCCGGTTGAAGCCGGACGATCAACAACGACATCTCTACTCCGTGTACTCCGTACTCTGTAAGGAGTACATGGACACTATCCGCCTTGGATGCCTCATCAATAGACACTAGTAACGAAGGACCACTAACTATTAAATCAATATAGCGTCTATATGACGCTCTTTTAAAGTTAATAGAGAATACAAGGGTGTCCTCAGAAGAATGAACAAGAAAAAGAGTCCAAGATGATTATCATTTGAGGATTGCTGGATCATTCATACCACTGGAGTCCAGAAAAGGTGTTGTTCAATTGATAGGCTACCTCGTTAGTCAAGTATCGGCGTTCGAGCTAGTTGGAAAGGTGTTAGTGTGGATTAGGCTGTCAATGGCATGCTCCGGAAATACTACTCTACCCATCCCCTGAAAGCAACTCTCCTGATAATTGACCACTATCGAAGAGTAAACACAACTACCATGAGGAAGCCAGAAGAGATATGGTATATATGGGACCTTGTCTTCCGGGTAAGATTCCAGTACTTGCACATCCCATGAACCATTGTCCTGAAAGGAAAGAAATACAGGTGTCCACTAGAGAGGAGCTCAGAACCCTGTGCCAGGTGTCCAAGTTATTTAATGGCCTCGCCATCCCACTCTTGTACCGATCGGTCACACTGCGCAAGTCGCAGACTACCGGCGAGAACTGGGATGTATTACCCAGCGATGTTGACGATCCAGCCAAAGCCAAAGATCTATCGTATAGCCTGTTTTACCGACTTCTCCACGACGAGAAGATACGAGCCCAGACGCGTGAATTGACGCTCGCAAAAATAAAAGATAAAGCAGATTTCGCGCCTCTCTGCCAGACACTCCAGAGTCCCGACGATCCGTTGACTGGCTTGGTGAAACAAATGCCTAATCTTGATAATATCTAGTATGATATCCTTCCCCGTTCTACGCTGCTACTACGCAGAGTCTCATGCACTTGACTGGCCATCTTTATTAACGGAAAATATAGCTTTCTTGACAAGTTTCCTTTGACGGAGAGGTTGCTGAGTGCATTGAACGAACACAAGAGATCGCCAAGACTTCATCTGCTCGGCTACTATAAAATGAGGCAAATCAGTGCCCCGATACCGTTTGTACGGACGCTGCATATCAAAGTCCCTACTACTAACACGTTCCGTTTCGCGGAGGGGCCGGTGGAGCATGCTTCAACCCTTCGCGATGTGTTTGCTGCATATCCAAACCTCGAAGATTTACGCGTCGAGGTCACGCGATATAGAATGACTTGTGACATGAGGGGTAATCCCTTTTCGAGAAAGATTTTAGAATTTGTTTCACCTAAAAACAACCTTTCTGGGTCCAGTCTTTCCTTGAATGGCTATGTTATTGGACAGGAAGCCTCCTTTTGGCTAGAACAGTTTCCCTGGCACAACCTGCGGTCTCTCAGTTTGGGTCCAGACGACAACCCAGGTTTCCTTGAGAATGTCGGCCACTGTGTACAGAATCTAACCAGTTTCACCATCACAAAGTTTTGCAAATCAACCGTCATGACCCATACGGGGCTTGACTCGTTCTTGTCTTCCTTCCATACGCTGGAAAAACTGACCGCCAAGGGATATGTCCCTTCAGTACATGCCGTGGCTCATCATCCTGATCTGAAATATCTTTGCCTGCATGCGATCGAGCATCCTGATCGAGAAAGACCAATTCTAAGTGTGACGGAGATAGAGCTCTTAGACCAGTCCTGTCCCAACCTGAATACCCTGGAAATTGACGTAAATCCGGATGGAATATGGGTTAGTTTCTTGGAATATTGAATTTGACGCAAGCTAATCAGAAGTCCCTATAGCCTGACCCATTCATTGATTCCTTGGCAAGGGGTTTCCTCAACCTTCGCCAGCTATCCATTCATGTCGAGCTGGGACTCCGACGAATGGAATTGGAAAGGAAATTGAAAGAGGAATTGGGACAACAACGGAAACGGGAGATGAGGCAGCACCAGGGAGAGCAATTCACACATGACTCTGAAAATTCATTGGAAAAAATGGATGAAGCAGATATAGCGGACATGAAGAATCGCCAGAAAAAATGGATGGCGTCGGTATTGACCGAACCCAAAGCGCGGGGCTTTGGAAAGCGCTTTTTCGGTCGGAGGCATGAACCTTCGAGTCTCGAGAAGATAACTTTGAGAACAGGCGAGAGGCTGCGTGATTTCCCGCAATGGCGGCCACTCTATTCATCCCAATTCCACGGAGATCGGTTTGAGAGAATCTTCGAAATCTATTCTCCGAAGAAGGGGGATGAGCCATTTCTCGAAGAACTGGAATCGGAAAGTGTTCGAAGGACTCGAAAATTAAGGGAAAGTATAGAACGCAGGTGTCAGCGACTCAAACCTGCCTCTAAAAGGTGAATTTGAAGGAAAGGGAAGCCATCTTTTGCCGAAAAATCGCTTTGTCTATGGTCCAGCAAGTTTATGCGCTTCCTCTTCAGTACGGGATAGAGTACACGAAAGTAGAGCCCACGAGACGTCAACATTGTCCTAGATCGAAGCTCTCGAATTTCATATTTGAATAAAGGACAATATACTTAATGAATCCCTGGGAATGTTGCTAAAAGTGAGTGTGGATTTTGTACTCCGTAGATCAGCTCCATAAGCCATCTTGGTGGTCTTGTAAGGCCTAGTATAGCTAGACTCAAGCGAATCCTTTTCTATCCCAAACATCAAATAGAACATCAGCCCATGCATACATCCCTAAATACGTACTCCGTACTCCGTACATCCCTAAATAAATACATCCCTGCATATTTAACCCCAAAAGAAACGGTTACACTGCAGCTGAGAATTAAGTAAGCAATAGAGTCGAGTACTAATAGCCTTCTCGTCCCCGGGGCCCCCTCATTTGACATGTCATTATTTAGCTTTGACCAAAATGGCCCCTCTCCCACCTCAGTTCGAAATTCGCGTTCTTGGACCAGAACACGAGGAATGGGCTCGGGCAATTTGTATTCATACAAATCTATTCCACTCCCCACTCTGGCCGGTTGTTTATCCCGAGAACAAGGTCCAACGAGCCTATCAGGCTTTCAGGCATTCGCACTATTTAATCAAGCACCAAATCGACTCCGGGAAGTCACTTGGTATCTTCGACAAGGAATACCAGTACAAGCGACCCGAGTCTGCAGCCACGGGAGGCAAGCTGTACTGGAATCTAGATGATGAAAATGTCACCGAAAGCGATCTTGCAGAGCAGATGGACTTCCCACTAGTCTCAATTGCCATGGCCTACGATGGCATCGACGAAATAGATATCGATGGGATAAAACCCCTGATAGCAGTACTGCCTTTGTTTGAAACAGTCTACCACGGCCTCGGGGAGCTAGACCAGCGCGATCCTGCGTCGTGGAAGCCCACTGCCCGTGGACAAGTGCTGATGCGCAATGCTACAAACACCGTCCAATCTTATACTGGTCATGGGCTTATGCGACTGCTGGCTGAAGAGATGATGAGACGTTCGGCGGCTGAAGGTTACCGAGGTATCCAGATCGAGAGTCTTTCTGGGGCTGTGCAGAAGGTGTGGTCGAACCCGCCGGCACCCTTCAAGGGGACTATCATCGCGCAGTTTCACACAACCACATACGAAGAGAAAAATGCGTCAGGGGAGGTTGTGTATCCGTTCCGACCGGCGAGTGTGAATGTTTCTAAGATCTTTGTCGACCTCCGGGCTGAATAAATCCAAGAGACTACTTTCAACAGTTGAATTGAACATAAAGATCTAGTGTGCAGTTTGTAAATTATATGAGAGTAGGCTGTATAATATAGCGTAGAATATGGGACATAGCTAGAGTGCTGTGTCATGAATACCCAAATATGTACAATTTAATCAATATCCACGCACTGTTTGTCTCAGTATATGGACCCTCCCTATACCAGAACAGATACATATACCTAGCACGGGCTAGGAGTAGCCGACTTGAAATATTTCAGCAGAACCTCCTTCTCCTTGATGCTAGAAGTGATGGGAATCTTCTTCCAGGAAGTGCCCAAATCGAACTGACTATTTTGCGAGGGAACATTGGGCCCCCAATACGGCAATGTCCCATTGCTGCTCGACCCTCCCTTGTTGGGGTTCTGAGTCTTGACGAAATTAGCCCAGTAGGACGACATCTTCTCCGCAACCTCATAGTCAGTCGCGCTGTAGCTTGAGGACTGAGCATACAGGTTACCCAGAGCGTACACAACCTCTGAGCCATGAGTGGCACCACTACTCGAGGGATAGTAGCTCCACAGGTAGTAGTAGATAGGCTGGTCAGAGGTCTTGCTCCATCGGTTGGCGAATGACCACGTGGAGGTGCAGTATCCGGCACGCAAGATGGCATTGTAGGCATCCGTCGCGGTGGCGGTGGTGTTGGCCGGGTGAAGAGCTAGGAGCTGGGCGGCGTAGTCTCCATAGCTCGAGATAATCTCCTCTTCATACTGTGTCACGTTGTAAGATGTGGTCAGATCGATGCCGTCCTCGTCCTTGTTGTTACCAACCAGGATTGGCACATTGTTTGCCGCTCCTTCCTCCAAGCTACGGATGTACTTGTGGGGGATAGAGTGATTGTTCAGGACAGGGTCAAAGCCGGTGAAGGCAGAGGTTCCAGTTCCGGTTAACACAGTCGAAAGATCCATGGCTCTCAGCTCAGCCAGGCTAGAAACATTCAATGATTCATAAAAGATGTTTCCGAAATCCATCGACCAGGTCATGTTCCGATAGTCACTGCCGTATCCCACCATGTTCGGGTCGTATGGGTCCTTGAGGCCACTTTCCGCGATCACTCCCTTAATCAGGCCTTTGGAGAGAGGGCTATTAAGTATATGGTAGCTTGCTCCTGAGCCGAAGGATTGTCCAGCCGCGGTAATTGCCTCAGGGTCTCCACCGAACGCTGCAATGTTTTCATGAACCCATTTGAGAGCTGCAATCTGGTCCAAGAGGCCGTAGTTTCCCGTTGTGCCGGTTTCATTTTCTAGCTCAGGCAAAGTGAGCCAGCCCAAGGGTCCGGTGCGGTAGTTGTAGCTAACAAAGATGATATCTTTACCAGCCATACCAGCGCCATCATAGGTGGACTGGGAGGACTCACCACCAGCAGCATATGACCAGAACATGACGGGTAGTTTGGCATCGACCGAAGTGGCGGAGCTCCAGATGTTGATGCTCAAACAGTCCTCGCTGTAACCATCACCAGCCGACTGACTGGGGCAGCTTGGTCCGAAGGAGGTGGCCTTGTAGGTTCCGTTCCAGGATGGAGCAGGTTGGGGTGGTCTCCAGCGGTGTTCGCCGGCTGTGGTGCCTGCGAAAGGAATGCCCTTCCAAACGGAGATATCCTTCCAGTTGGATATGGTGGATGGCGCGTTGCTGCTATTGAAGGCAGCTGCGCCCTGCAACTTTCCCTGGGGAATCTTGATGGTCTGATCATGAAGAGCTGCATCTGCCACGGCAAGCATGGCAAAGATGCCAACCCCACGGCCGAGGTCTTTGGAAAACTTCATCTTTCCGGTGACGTTGGGAGATAAACTTGCAGTGAATGGCGATGGATTTTGTTCAAAAATCTCTCTAAGTGTACATTGAATCAAGAGAGGGGTGTGTTCATATAAATTGAAAACCGCCTAGGTGTTAGGATAATGTAACGTCCGCAACCAAGGCCAATCTGGAATCTAGTGGAGACGTATAAAATGCCTTATCGAATGAAAAACCAGTCTCCTAGGTAATAACAGTATTGAGACGGACCTAAAGACAGGTGACGCGTTCCTACCGTTATGTTCAATACTTAAAGGTGTAGTGAGCTGTAGATCACTCGATGTGGTTGCTCAATGTGGAGGAAGAATCAAGGGGTGGATCTAATAAGACCGAAACACTAAGCCTCAATAGGTAGTTAGTGCCGTTAAAGTATGTTGTATGGGCTAAGATGGCAGAAGAATAGTTGCGGTCTGACGCTAAAATCCTGGAGATATGTGTATTAAGCTGTCCATTTTACTGTCGGTTAGCCTTTGGAGTATGTTCGGCTGTGTGAAACTACTAGGGTGCTCTTAACTATATAATATGTTCTCTGCTGCATGTGGTTTACATCCACGCTGTAGCCCTAGCCTTATGATAGGGCCAACCAGTGGATATCCTTCCCAAGCTAATCCCAGGTAGACATAGAGCGTTTCAGAGACATGGTACGATGCAATAATTGTATACCGTAGTTCAGCCGAGGGGGATAATGCGGGATATATGCAATAATCGTGACAGCCCACCAACACCGAAACACCGGGTGTTGGTGTAGCATACCCAAGTATCAATTTTTCTTAACCCTTAAACCAGCTTAAGCAAGTACAAAAAAAGTAAAGATCTAATACAGGTTCATTTTAATCGATTTACCAGTAAGATTAATTCTCAAAATAACACAGAGGAAGTTAACTGAATTGTAAGTCGCCGCATTACAGTTATTCCTATGGGGTAGGTCGTAGCCAATCTAATACTTCTTCAAGGTACTGAACCATGACTTAAAGAGATCAACCTTTTTGCTCCATGCCACAGGGGTTTGGCCCCATCTATTTCCAACATGCTGCACAAGCTGCGTTGAGTTCACGGCAAGCCAAGGAGTCAACCCATCACCATTGGGGTTTCCATTCTTGATGAAGTTAGCCCAGTAACCATTCATCTTCTTGGCGATGGCATAGTCCTCGACCGTCCATGGTTTGTCGGTAGCATAGAGGTTGTTCAACACATAGTTGATCTCAGACTCGTGGTAAGCACCCTGGTCCTGCCCGGGAGGAGCGTGGTCCCAGTAGTAGTTGTATACCAGGCTGTTGTAAGCCTTGCTCCACATCTGAGACCAGAGCCATGTGCCAACCTTGGAGCGGTCCGTAAACTGAGAATTGTATGCTCCAGAGGCAGTGCTGTTGTCATGTGCAGGATAGAGACGAAGGAAGCGCTGAGCCCAGACGTCATTGTACGTCTCGTTGAGGTTTGTCAGGTACTCTGACATGCTGATATCCAAACCATAAGTGGCACCACTTTCATCCTTTGTGTTGCCTGTAACGACAGGCACATCTTGAGCCAATCTATTTTTTAAAGTGTTGTAGTAAGTGTCTGGTATAGCGTAGTAATCAAGCGTGGCCGAGAAGTCATAGGTGGAACTAAGGAAGTTCGTGACCAGGCTTGCCATTGGCAATTCACGGGCCTCGGCAATACTAGAGACATTCAGACTCTCCAAGTAAGAGCTTGCTGTGGAGTAGGAGGAATCAAGGGTGGTGTAGGCCTCAGCGAGGCTAGTACACAAAGGATCCCGTGGATCCCGAACACCGCTCTGAATAATAGCCCCGGTAATCAATCCCTTGGTCAAGGGGCTATTCAAGATATGCTGAGTTGCGGCAGATCCAGCAGATTGACCCATAACAGTGATGTGGTCTGGGTCACCACCGAAATGGGCAATGTTGGCCTTGATCCACTTGAGGGCAGCGAACTGGTCGAGCATACCCCAATTTCCAGAGGTGTTTTGTCCATTTCCAAACTCTTCAGTCAGTTCTGGAGACGCCAGCCATCCAAAGGAACCAGTGCGGTAGTTGTAATTGACAAAGACAATGCCTTGATCAGCCATCCCACCACCATCAAACAGGGCGTCTGCCGCAGTCGAGAGAGCTGGATAACTCCACATGACTACAGGAAGCTTGGCATCAGTGGAATTGGCAGGACTCCAGATATTGAGATTCAAACAATCCTCATCAATGGTGTAGTCATTATTGCCGTCCGTTGCTGAAGGGCAAACATTTCCCCAGTTCTTGGCATCCAGAGTCCCATTCCATGCGCTAGCCATTTGGGGAGCCTTCCACCGATTTTGGCCTCCAGTAGTGGCTGCGAATGGGATACCTTTCCACACTGTGATATCCTTCCAATGGGTCAAGTTGCCGGTGTTGGAGACATTGAAAGCAGGGTAGCCCTGGACACCTCCATACTTGGTTTCGATGACAGAGTTGTAGAGTGTGCCTGAGACGATGGGCACCATGCCGCATATGGCTGCGGTAGTGTATTTACAACGCATGGGTGATAATTCCGGAAATCTTGATGGGGGAAAAAATGATGAAGACAAGCCAAAAAAAAGGTAAGGGAGATCGAAGCTTTTAGATAGCTTGGGTGGGGACTTTATACTTCAATCTTCTCGAAATGCAAAAGGTGATTGTTATAACCCGTATTGGCATCTCTCATTAGAACATCCTGAATGATCTGTTTGGGTGTTCCAAGGTTATACGGAAGCCAGCATACGTGTTGCATTGTAGACCCACCGTCCAAATTTAGTGTCAAAAAACTTGAGATTAGATGTAACCCCGAGGAAACAATAGACACCAGTATGTCCAGAATATACAGATCAGGAGCAACAGAAGCCAAGTATTCGCAATATTATGCAGATCTCTGCGGTTATCTCCGAGCCAGTCGGCCTCAGATCCCAAAACTGGTAAGTCTCGACCGACATCGGAGTTGATGAAAGTGTCAAACTTGGAAAGAACGTAATTGTATCCCGTCTTTAGTCTCTTCTGTGGAATTTTTGGCTGATCTTGCCTTATATGAGACTGAAGCTATACAGATGAGTATATGCCGCGTAGTCTAAACTGACCAAGCAATAGTCCAACAATGTTGCTAAAGGTATATACCTAGGTAACTCCACCATAGGGACCGGTCTAGTTTTCATCGAATTCTACCTAAATACTTACTTTCCTTGGAAGTCATATCTCTCTCCATACATTCCACCATGCGTTCATTCGTCACCTTACCTCTGTGTCTAGGCGCCGTTGCTGCTTCAAATCTCCGTACTGTCTACCAGTTCGCCTCCAACGATACCTGGTTAGAGAACCTGGCCATACGATCCAATGGTAACATCCTGGCCACTGAGATTGGTCCTCCAGCCAACCTCCTGTCCTTTGATCCCCGCGAAAAGCATCCTCAGAAGAAATTGATTAAAGAGTTCACCTCCGTGCTGGGTCTCTCCGGTATCACCGAAGGCGCCCACGATGTTTTCTACGTAACTGGGGCTAATACGACATCCGACAATATCAGCGATCCACCCAAGAATGCAACTCACATTTGGGAGGTCAATTTCAACGAACACGGCAACAGTCCGAAAATAAAGCTCCTGTGTCGCCCTACGGCGCCTACTGGATTCAATGGCTTGGCCACATTCAACGAGACCATCTTGCTCGCTAGCGCCTCCTACCAAGATGCCATCTTCGCGGTTGACACCAGCACTGGTCGTACCTGGGAAGCCATCAAACAGGAGAGCCTGATGTCATCCATTAATGGAATCAAGGTGTCAGATGGCTTCGTCTACTGGACTGCCAACAGCGCTTTGTATCGCGCAGAGCTATACCCCAACGTCACTGCTGGCACGGGACAGCTGATCTTCCAGGGCAGCGCGTTCGACGATTTTGTCATTGCTCCCAGTGGTTTCGCCCTCAATTCTACTTACGATTCCAACTACAATTTTGCCTACCTGACCACCTCGGCTGGAAACACGATCGAGCAGGTTATATTTACCCGTAATGGCACTGCCATTGGTGGCGAGACCGTTGCTGGGTCTGAGGACTCGACGGAAGTTGCTGAGCCTACGGGTGTTTTCTTCGGAAGGGGGGATGATCAATTGAATAGAATCTATGTCACCACCGGTGGTGGTAGTGGTGTCAACGTCGATGTGAATGGTACTGAGACTGCAGTTGGTGCACAGGTGCTGGAGATACAGCTGAGTTAGATTCCAGAAGTGCCCTGAATATAGAAGAGATGATATGATACAATTGTATAATGGAATGTACGGAATATAATGCCTTTGAATATCAATATCTTGAGCTGATAGGTTTATTCTCAGTATGCCGCGGGCAAGGAAAACTAAACTTGAAACTCTGGAACGCTCCTCTTTCTAAAAGATACAGTCATCCCTATTGATCCGTGCTAGGCACTACCGTCGACACATGTCACCTCAACCCCATCACCCTTTGTCTCGATATAGCTCAACTACTTGTTGCCGATATGTCACGAGAAGAATGGATGCAATGAGTTACTATCACTTACAAGAAAGAACCAGTCCTCGTCTCATACAAATTAGCAATGCAGGAAATATAGTGACAGATACGCTTTAAGACAAAAGAAGCGCCCACAATGCATTATATTTTGAAAATATCATGGTCCTTCCTTGGCCCATCATCCAATCGCATAATCTCGCACATATATTCATCACCCGTGCTTGTTCGTTCCAGTCCTGCACTCAGACATGGACCAGTATTTCATATTGAACTTCGCATTTCGATGAGACTCAACTCCTAGTTGAGTGAAATTCAGACAGTGGAATTAATCGATGTTCCACACAGCAGTACTGCTGTCTGGGAGCAACGACCACTGCATCGCAAAACCAAAACAATGAAGTGCAGAGAAAAAGGCGCAAAGCAAGGTCCATCAACTCTCCAGCATCAGGAATTGCCAACACCAGTGTCGACAATAAAAAACCCGAAACCCCCATTCCACAGACAATTTCGAATAGAAAAGAAGAACAAAAGAACAAAAGAAAATAACACATCCAGAGACCCCGAGAATAAATAAGAATGGCACAGCCATGATACATAATCCATCTCAAATCTACCAATATTTCTCCTCGCTCTCACTCTCACCCTCACTTCCACTCAAATCCTGACTCCCATACCCGGAATCAGACCGACACCTCGCACCAGGCGAGACAGCATAGATCCCACGTCCCGAGTGCTTATCACAGGTATAGCCAACCAGGACGGTCTTTTCCTGTACTTCATGACCGCGCTGTCCATAAGCAGAGCATGGGTCGATGGAGTGCTCGAAGTAGAGGCATTTGCAGACGGAGTAGCGCTCAACAACTTTGTAGCACATTTTTTATGGTGTATTGAATAGGATTCGGGGTTGATGAATTAATGGTTGAAGTATGGTTGTTTGAGTTGTTGGTCGAAATAGAAGAAGCGAACCAGCCGATTGATTGAATGAACAGAAGAAGTAGAATGTAGAAAATAAGATGGACAAATATAGAAAGAGACGTTGTCTCGCGAAAGAATGACCCAAAACGAACAGGGAGTGACTGGTTTGATAAACCGAGAGAGGGGATAGAGGAACAGGGCGTTATATATGCAGCTATAGAACGGATATAACCATAACTCATAATTATGGATACAATATAAATATCACGTTATAATATAATAATAAATCAGATTGTAAAATAATGTAAAAGAATGTAAATTAATGTCAAAATCAAATGTAGATCCAAGCCATATCCCGTCAGCCCTATGAGTTGTAGCCCCAGGCAGAAACCAAGAAACCAAACGGGGCGCGCCCAATCGGCAAATAAGGCTGAAGAGATGTGTGAATAGTAACTCCACTCTGTCGGTACTGGATATCTACATGTTATCTACATGGGTCGAGCTTAGCAGAGTATCCATTTTACCCCTCTATGCTGTATGTAGTGGGGGGTGATACACAGTAAAAGACCAGTCCAGTCCCATACCCTCAGCTGGAATGTTCACATCTCTGACTCCGAAGTCTCACTATCATGCCACAGTAACAACAAGAGTCACAGCAGCACTAAAGCGATCTATAACGAAGTGTGGCAGGGAAGCAAAGACGGTGAACCCATAGTGAAGACACCCACCCCTCGATGAGGAATCCAATACAGTGAGTCGGTGAGCCACAGGCTGTGCAGCCACAGAACCGTGAGGAAATACCATTTTGCACTGGATTAGGAATCACGGATCGCGATATAACTGGCTGGATGACGTCGATCGTCCACAGTGCCCCAAGTGGGCACATCGGGGCGTTTCTTTGAGTCAGAGCCTCTTAACACAGCCCCTGTCACTTCCAGGATTAGTACTGCGGCTCAGGGGGTATAGGGCTGTTGACCGCATATTGGTAACTATATCTTCATACAAATATTATCTATTCTATTCCAAGATGTTGCATTCAAGCGGTGGCATTTGATGTTGTGGAGTGGATTAGGCGCCCGTGTTCAGCTGCTGACGCTAAAACTAACAGAGTTGCCTATGTACCGGATAACGGAGAACGGAGAACGGAATACCGAGACATTCATGAGAACCGGTTTTTTTTTACTTTGACGCTAACCTCTACGTTTTCCCCCGTTGAATGGAGGGGAATGTACCTTGTGGGTTAACCGTCAGAGGCCGTAGGGCTGAGGGCTCGAGCCCACTTGGGCTGATGATTGCCTTTTTCGGCAATCGGAGGGCGAGGAATGGGTGATTGGGTACGGATATGCATTTACATTGTAGATACACTACTGCTACAGAATGAAGCCGCATAAGTCTGATATCGTACAGCGCCTGTCACAAGGACAAAGCGGGGTCCTGAACAATTAGATGTGGGTGCAAGTGGTGCTAAGCTAAATTCATTTCCCGGATTAAAAAACACCCATTTTCAATACTAGGCCTCCCTCGTACTCTTAACTCCGTAATTTCAGATTGATCCCATTGCCCCATGACTCAACCCGCGTGCCAATCCCAGTCGGAGCATCTGGAGGATATCCTCGCCCTTGGCAGTCTCGGAAAGCCCCGCACGCCAATCCCATCCGCGATCGGCGGCTTTGTCGCCTGGGGCGGGCACCAGGACGCCCGAACTGCCTACAGAGGTAGGGCCGGATCCGGAGCCGGAGCGTGTGCGTGCTGATTCGAGCATGTCGTTGCCAATGAAGGCGAAACTGGAGGCGGAGAAATTGGACACGGATTTCTTCAACAGAGCGCGGGGGGAGGGGGGCCCATCTGATCCTCCGCGGGTTGATGATTGGTATTCGAGTAGGGTGGAGCGGAAACACTCCTCGCACTGTGCGTATACACGCGGGGTGACGGTTTCCAGGTCCTCGATTGCGGACAGGATGGTGAATTGTTGGGATACGGAGAGGACTGCAGTGGGTTCTGGTTGGGGGTTAGTACCAAGGAAGAAAGCTGAGGTGATGGTATTGGGCGACTCACGGTTCACAAACGCACAGGCTTCACCCAGAAGAGCTAGCAGTCCATCCACCTGTACAGCGGAATCACGGTCTGGGTCGTAGAGACCTCCGTAAATATTATCTGCTGCACTCCCAATAACAGCCGCGAGAGCTTGCGCAGCGGCGCGTCGCCGAGCCAACGGCTTATAGCGTGGTCGCTGACCCTCTTGCAGTTCGAACTCCTCGTCGCGGATCTCATAGAACCGGCGCAGCGTCGCGTAACCACTGAGATAGAATTGGAGGATCCGAGCAGCTTCTTCGTCAACCTGTGCAATAGACGACAGGCATGCTTTCGGTTCCTTCATCAAAGAGCGCAGTTGTTCATCGAGATCGGCCGTCGCAGGGTACGCGCGTGATTGAACCAAACTGTAGGAAATCAAAAGGTCGACAACTGACTTGACCTTGCGTCGGCTCTGGGCACGAGCATAACAGACGAGAGCCAGACCAAAGTTTTCGGATTTCGAGGTCAACATGTCGCCGAATCGCTGTCAATCAATTAGCATTTAGTCAGATAGTCAAAAACAATTCCCTTCTACTACTCACCTCAGATACTCGACGGCCTTGATCCTCTAGCTCAAGCTCTGAGCAGAGAACCACCAGTTTATCCAACTGATCAGGGCTTTCCAAAGGAAGCTTATCCACGATCTCGGACACAGCCTTCTTCATCTGGTTTGCATCGTCAAAGCGACTCAACACCTCAATAGCCAACTCCCAGCCTTCACGGGAGCTGTGCTCGTCCTCAATAACGGATCGGTCATACAGTCCGAATGCGTAACTGTGAAGAATATCGTCCTTGTGCAAATGGCGGGCCGGAGACTTGTTATCCTGTCCGTACGAAAGAACCATAAGATCATTCTCAGACAGACCAGGTAGCGTCTTTTGGCTGCTTCCAGACTCAAACCAACCTCCGAGGCTAGCAACTTCTGCGACCGCAGCAGCTACGCAAAGTGACCATGTCTGTACTAACTCCAATACGCCCTGCACATTGCCTTCGAAGACAGATGCGAGACCGACTTCCACGCTGCTGAGCGTATTGGGTCGGAAATCAGCGTTGTCGGACGCATCGCTGGTGGTATGACTAAGGGCTAGTTCGAGACGATCAAGGTAAGCACCACGCATGTTGCGATCAACAGCGCGAACGTGGTTCTTTGGGCCGCGCGAGCGCAAGAAATCTTGGAAGTTGTCGCTGGATGAGGTGGCGCCGAAATCCATGTTAGAACCGGAGTCATCCTCACCATCCCACCATGCTGTCAACGCAATGGTTGCCTCCACCCAGTCTTGAGACTTGGCCTTGATGGCAGACGGGTCGCCCAGAATAATTCGGTAGATAGATCTCAAGCTCTGGTAAATTGACCATGGGACACGGCTTTCTGCCATGCGAGCTGATTGAGCAAATGAAATTGGGTTCTTGTTTGGGTTAAAAGTGGACAACCCGAAGTTGACGGCCTGGAAGCGATTCTCTGGAACCGGCACAACCGATTCATCTCGCTCCTCTCCCTCAGCGAATTCCTCCAGGTCAGTGACAGCCGAAAGCACTCGTTTCCTGTACTGAGACCAGTCAAGGCCAGTGACCTCCCAGTCTTCAGATTGGGTTCCAGGGCATGATTCAAGAATTTGAAGAGCCTTGTTGACGCAGCGCTGGATATTTTGTAGCTGTGCGCCGCGGTAGCCAGTCTGTGGGAGTCCATCCTCCAATGCTGATCGGGCGTAGTTGAAGTCTGCGGAGCGGAGAACATCTGCGGCATCAGCCAAGCGACCACGCAGAACAGATGCAATGGTAATATCCCAGAAGTTTGAGGATGCGGTCGGGTTCGGTTCCACATATTTCAATGCCTGGAGGTCCTTGGTCTGCGATGCGTGGTTTTCACTGAGCCAGCCAAGCAAAACCTGAGGCAGGGGCTTGGGGATGGGGGGTCTCGTCATGGCTTTCACCATACCGGCGGCCCCGGTGCGCATGGGGTTGATGTTGGCAGTTGGGGGTGTTTCACGGGAAGGGTGATGGATTTGGAGCAGCAAGGAAGTCAAGAAGGTAGCTTTCACGAGGTTGGGAGCCTGCTCCCCGGGCCCAATACCCGAATGCGCACCGTAGGGCCGGTCAATTCCACTTTCATCGGCGCAAGTCTGCCAGTTCTCTGCCAATTCCTTTGAAACCTTGGCCAATACAGCATCGAAATCAACATGTTTGAATTCCGCGGCTTTGAGCTCGTCGGAAAGTTTGCCCAGGGCATCCTCCGTTTTGAGAATCATCTCACTTGGCTCTTTGACAAGGGCAATGCGAGATCTGGCAGCAAGGTTGTGAAGAATAGATGGCATCGCGGACGGCTTCTTGGGGGCCAAATTGGTCTTGCGAACAGGGGACTGGTGCGCCCAGTGCTCGTCAAGCTTCGGTCGCTTGGCATCGCTTGGATTCGAATAGATCGGTTTGCGCTGCGCACCCATGGAGGGCTGGGATTCGAAGGGGTTTCCGAAAGCCGAGTCTAGGAAGTTGAAGTTCTTAGAACGATCCTGGGTGCTCATATCCATATCCTCTTCACCTTCCTCCTCCTGTTCAAGTTCCTCTTCCTCGGGTTCCATCCTGTCTTCCTGATCTTCGTTAAAGTCACTCATTTGGGACGAGGCAAACCCATTAGACTGTCCGAATCCCATCGAATCTCCAAATCCGCCTCCATTTGGCACACCAAAACGAAGACTAGAGTTGCCTTTGAGCTTGGTGGAAGGAGCTTTGGTCTGCTTGGGCATGGCATAATCTGTCGATCCAAAGGATGAGCCAAAGATGCTGTCATTTGTATTAATGTTACCGGATTTGGTAAAGACGGAGTTGGAGAAGTCATTTCTCGAGAATGAATTCTGGTTTGTGGAAAATGCGCTATCGTTTCTGGAAAAAGAGTTGATGCGCGAGCCACCATTGATGTTCGATGTAGAATGCGGTATGAATGAGCTTGCAGTCGACGGCGGCGGGCCGGCAGGAGTTGTCGACACATTGCTCCAGAGGCTGCGAGAGCGATCTTTCTCTGGAGTCTCAGGTGGACTGGACTCGTAGGGTACTTGGAACGACATCGCGGGGTGGGGTTGATCAGAATGAGAAAGGACGGGTTGACGGCATCAGAGGACGCAAGTTTTAGGCCGCAAAAGCTCTAAGAACTGTTAGATGGAACAAACGACAATGTCAATCGACAAAGACTGATTCGCCAAGCAGCCAAGAAGGTCGATGCAGGAGATTGTTTGTCGGAGAAGTTCCCTCTTCTCCAGACTTGCTTGTTTTTCTTGCCCTTCACTTTCCGCTTGGACGCGACGGCGAAAGTTATCAGGCACCCAGGCATCAATAATTAGATCATGTGATGTGACTTGAAACTGAGTCACGTGATATTGCTGACTCATATCAGCTTGGTCGGGAGCCTTTAAAATTAGGCCGTAGCAGTCATCACCACGTGGCGATCGCTCCCCATGATTCGTCCGTTGCCCTGCACTGCCAGCACCCCGGGGGCCGTCAGGCAGGGCTCAACAGTCGGGGGCCAAATCCGGTGCATATGATTGCCTGGGGGCTCGAAAGGCACACTTAATGAGAAGAGCCTTGCAAAGATCGATGCCAATAATGCTTGTTTAAGCAGAGCCCAGCCTCTAATTGATCTGAGAATCTAGATATATAATGAACTTAGTGTTCTCGAGTTATTGGGAAATAATCACAAATCTACACCGAATGATAGCATTCTTAAGTTCATCACATCCATCATGAACCCAGCCGCCCAGTATCTCATCACCCACAGCTTTTGGCGCCACAATTACGATGTCAGCACAACAAACAAAACACACCTCTTCCACATCGCCAACTCCTCCCTTACACCAGGAAAGCCAGACCTCACTTTCCACAGTAGCCCCGACTCCAGTGGACCCGTCGTGGGAGTATGTAAGTTTCGACACTTCTCCTCCGACTGTCAGATTGGTATAGGGGACCCCGGACGGCCCAACAAATTGGATTGGGAATATCTCCACAAGCAAGGCTTTACGAAGCGCATATATTGGTTCCGCATGCAGTTAGACAATGGCACCAAGCAAACCTTCACCTGGAAACGAACCCACTCACTTGGGAGTGGATATGAAAACCATAAACTAGTTGAGGAGAGCAGCCAAACTGTGGTGGCAGTATTTTCTTCTGGGGGCAACTTTTCTAAAACAACCGGCTCCTTGGATATCTACTCGAAGCTGGGGCCACGGTTCTACCTCATGACACTTATCTCGGGAATTGCCTTGGTTGAAAAAGTGAGGCGTGCGAAACAGAGCTCCGCGGGGGCTGGTGTTGGCGCTGCAGGTGGGGGAGGATCAAGTTGTTAGGCCGACCTCGGGAGGCTTGCAGTCAAGTTGTTATGCCGAGGCTTTTGGGGTTTCATTGATGGCAGTTATATATAGTACACAAATACGAAGTCATAAAAAATCATGGAGACTTGCGGTTTATTTAGTGTTATTTTAGCTATGACAGATACCCTTAGCGCAACTGCCAGGCTCTCTTTAAATTTCTTAAAATTGTTTTAACTACCGAGTACGATGGCAGTACGGAGTACTTTTTACAAAACAGACCACTTAAATTTACGGTTAAACCCGGTTAAATAAAAGGCTCGCTCCGAATGTCCAAAAGTAAGGTGAGGCAGTGCAAGCAAGACAATGTTTCAGATTAGACAAGCCTTTTTTGGATGGTTTGATCGACAGGGTTCCATTACATAATCCTATACTATCATCGGGGCCCGAGGCCTCCGATCATATCGAATCCTGTTGCCTACCCTTAAAAAGGTAAAAAACAACCCTAAATACCAAAAGAGCCTCGGCGTTTTTTTTTCTTTCTTTCGAACTATGACCAATCCAAATATTACATGATGGCGCTCCGACGACCACATCGGAAATCTCGTCACGGCTGTGTGGAATGCAAGAGGCGACGAGTGAAGGTATGAAATAAGAAAAAATAATGAAAATACAGCCCACTCATTCCATAATAGTGCGACGAATCCAGGCCATCCTGCACCAACTGCGCCAACCGTCACTCCGAGTGTGAGTACGGGTCGTCAACATCCCTACTGTGGGCAAATGAAGGGTCCGATAGCGGACAGGCAGGCGACTCAGCATCGGGACTTCGTTCACCGTCAAGTTCAACCACAGGTGCGGGGGCAGCAGAGTCCCTCGGAATCCTAACTCAACTCGGCAGCGAAAATGCCATAACCTCAGCCGGGTCCGCATTGAACCTCAACGACCTGGAGCTGATGATGCAGTGGTGTAACGCGACATTCCAGACACTGTCACGCAATGAGCGCACCGATCCAATCTGGCGTACCATCGTGCCCGAAGAGGCACTCTCGCACCCATTTCTGATGCACGGCATTCTGGCGCTGTCATCGCTGCATCTCGCTCGAACAGGGCCTGAGCCGACTCATCGCGCGTCGTATCTCAATCGTGCCGTCGCACACCAGAATCAAGCGCTGGCGCTTTTCCGGGAGCTGTTGGGTGATGTGAACGAGAGTAATGCCAAGGCGATGTTTGCTTTTGCAGGGATTGTGGTTATCTACACGTTTGCGTTCCCGCATACGCCAGGCCCGCAGGATCCATGGGACTGCGTCGATGACTTGTACCAGGTTCTTGTTTTGACCCGTGGCGTGCAGCAGGTTATTCATGCGCCGCGGGACTTTACAAGTTTTCTAGTGGACGGCTCTTTCGGTCCGATTTTGCAGGTTGAGGAGGTTCGGGGCCCGATGCCGAAGGATACGACTGCTATGCTCAAACAACTGCGTGAAGCCAACAAACTCTGTGGGGCGCGAGATCCGAATCATGAACTCCAAATTTACGAAGGGTCTATTGCGAATCTCGAGGAAATGCTCAGTTGGTGCTACAGCGGAATGAGGGCAAATACGATCGCCGGGAGGTGGGCGATTCGCTTGCACCCCCGGTTTATGGAGCTACTACGCGAACGAGACCCCTTGGCGCTAGTGATGCTAGCGCACTATGGCGTGCTTTTGCATTATTTGAAGCATCGATGGTGCTTTGACGAGTGGTGTGTGAGGGTCTCCAAGGCCGTATGGGCAATATTGGACGACCAGTGGAGGCCGCTGATCGAGTGGGCAATGAAAGAAATTCTCGGTGTTAACTTTTTGGAGCAGGTTGACACTTGATATTCTGAAGCATTTTTCTGTCACGTTTCATATTCATATTCATATACCCAAGTTCAAAGCGCTGAAACCGCGAGAAAAATTCCATAACAAAATCAAAAGAAAACAATTCGAATCTCCACCTGAACATTTCCAAATCATTCCCACAAATCCTGATCCGAACCGGCTAAACCGCGTTCGAGCCCTCCATGACCTTCAATCCACCCATAGCGGTTACAACTTTTCCCCTCCCAAGAAGATAGTTCACCTCGCTTGGGTGAATGATCACGAAAATGACCATCATCGAAAACATCAATAATCCATCAAAGACATAAATGAAAACCTCATGCTCCATGAGATAACCATGCGAGCCCTGGGCATACTCCACCACACGAATAACAGACCGAATGAGAACAAGGACACTGGACGATTGCAAAGCCCACATATGCTTGCGCCATGGGTACTGGTCGGCCACGGCACGACCTTCGGAGTGAGCGCCCATGCGCTTCTGGAAGATGACCGCACTGATCAGGAAGAAGCCGAAGAAGACGATTTGCACGATGAGGCCGCCGATGATAACATTCTGGCCCGTGCTCACAGAGGATGATGGGTTGGTGGAGTTTGAGCCCGTGACCATGATTCCCGCACCTGTGAGAGTATATTAGCATTGAGCTTTGCAAGAGCCAAGCGATCTAGATCGATTGGGAAGAAGAGATACAAGGGGAAGAAACATACCAGAAGCCTGCATCAGGAAACTCAGAACATCACCCGCGACGAATATCTTGGTCATCCAGGTAACCCGAATTAGGGCAAACTGCTCTCCCTTGACCATAACGATAATCCGACCCAACTCCATGTAGATACTGGCTGCGAACAGCGCCGGCGCAATGAGCAGCAATGTGCTCTGCATAACATAGGGTCCGATAGTCCAATCGGGTGATTGTTTCGATGACATGGCGCGGCCGATATATCCAACTAACTCGACTGAGAGGACGTTAGTACTGGGGAAGTCTGGGGTTTGCTTTGATATGGGTATAAGGTGGTACTTACAGTATCCGCCAATCATGAGCGGGATGAAGAACCATGTTCTCGTGCGGAACAAATGGAATGTGTGCATTAAAGTGACAACTGCAAATAAGACGATGAATAATACTGCAGCTCCCATTGAAGGGTAGTATTCATAGGCGATCCAGCCGGGGTGGGAAGACATCTTGAATGTTGATTGAGTAGGTAAGAGGCAAGGCCAGGTTGGATTGAATGACTTGGAAAACTAAAATAAGGACCCCTCTTTCCACTCTTATATATATGTTCTGATTCAGAATTTTCCCCTAGATCTAAACCGGGGACCAGGTAACCCTTGGAAATGAATATTCGTTGAGTTATGGAAAGGAAAATTTGTATACTCGTACCCTCGTAATGTTTTCCCGATATGGATAGATGGGTACCCACTAGACCCGATATGGAGCATAGTACGATATACGAGAGCCTAATTGCTCTTATTTTTATAAAAGTGGAGACCTTGGGAGATAAACGTTCAGGCAAAGTGGGTATGAATGGATAAATGTAGATCTCGTACATATACGAAGGAGAAAGGCTGGGGATTTTATCTGGGACCTATAATTTCGCCTGCTTACTCCCATTTTGCAGCACATACCGGTATCTCGCCTTCCCCTCATGCATATCAACTAGCGCCTGATTAACATCCACCATATCCCTCTTCTGAATCCAAGGCAAGACCCTCTTCTCCGCAGCCAGAGCCAACATAGCCCGAATATCACCCGGGGAACCAATATTGGACCCAGTGACCTTAACACCCTTCTGAATAAGACTCCAAGCCATAAGCGGCGGCAATGCATCCTCCGGCGCACCAATCTGCACAAAAGTCCCATCCCGCTTGAGCAGTCTCAAATACTGCGCAAACGGCATATCATGCGCCGAAACCGTGCACAAGATAACATCAAGCGAGCGCGAGTATTTCTTCGCCCACCCCTTCTCTTCACCAGTAGCAATAAACCCATCAGCCCCAAGTCCACCAACGGCATTTGCCTTCTTCCCAGACGACCGCGAAATAGCAACAACACGATCCGCCCCAAGAGCTTTAGCGAATAAAATCCCCAAATGTCCCAGCCCCCCAACCCCAACAATCCCAACCGCCTTCCCAGGCCCAACCCCGTACTTTCTCAGTGGCGCAAAAACAGTGACACCCGCACACAGCAAAGGCGCCGCCTCGGCCGAGGGTAGAGAATCCGGAATCCGGAATACGAAATGCGCAGGCCCGCGCCATTTCTCTGCAAACCCGCCATACGACTTCGACTTGTCACTGTACCGGCCGTTGTACGTGCCTGTCATGCGGGCGCAGTAGGATTCCTCGCCGTCGGCGCATGCTTCACAGTCTGCACGTAGACAAGCGCCGCTCTGTGCGCCGACGCCGACGCGGTCGCCGAGGCGGATTGCATTGGGGGCAGAGTCAGATTCGACGGCGCTGCCGAGATGGGTTACTGTGCCGATTATCTCGTGGCCGACTACGCAGGGGTAGTCGGTTGGTCCCCAGCCTGAGCGGAGGGTGTGGATGTCGGTGCCGCAGATGCCGCAGTGGGAGATGGAGATTTCGACGTCGGTGGGTGTGAAGGGCTTTGGGATGTAGGTTGTGTATGTTAGGGGACTTTTGGCGTCGTGGGCGACCCAGCCTTTGAAGCTGTCTTGTTCTGTGAGAGAAGACATTGTTCGGTGGTGGTGGTGGTTGCGCCGTGGAGATGTGCCGGGGTAGGTCTTGCGCTGAGGTGGAATTGGGTAACTAGAGGTTTTTGGTACGGTCTTGGGTATGTGGAATCAGAGACCTCAAACCATGAGGTTGAACAGTTTAAGGTAAATGCACGAAAAACAAGCTCGGCACAGGATGCGGAGAAGCCGAAAGCAAAAGTTACCGAGGTCCATTTAAACTTTAAAATAGAGAATACATTAATAGATTCATATCGATCGTACGCGATTTTGAAAAGTGACTCCATATTTACATGCACTCGCTCGAAGTATGTACAGTGCAGATTAGGGGGGGTATCAATTGATCTTTCACCGGGCCACGCCCATCAGATCGTCAAGCTCATCAGTGGTGAGAGTACTCCGACGCCGGTTCGCTGGCCTAGAAGCCTTGTCGGGGCGGCTTCTCTTTCGTGATTCGCGCTCCTTTAGCTCGTTTTGAGCGGCACGGGCCTCGTCTTCGACGGCGGCCAGTTTTTGGTGCACGCTTAGTGATTCGTTGGGTTTGAGCTGTAGGGCGAATTAGTCCTCGGGATCTCATTGGGAATGTCCTGGGAATCTCTGGGGAAATCTCCTGGGAAATTTTTCTCGTTCCATACCTGATGGGGTTCCTTTGTTTCGGTCTTTCGCCTGGTTGGCCTGCGGGTCACAGTCTCGGTTTTGTAGGCTTTGATTTTGAGGGTATCGTCGTCGGTAGTGTCCACACATGGTGAGCCTTGTAAACCTGGTGTAAATGAGACTTTTCTGGGGCGCTTTGTCATGGGGTTTTCACTGCGTTCCCTCAGAACGCGATCGGGTCGCTCGGGTACTTTGCGGATCTTGGACCTCATCTTCGGGGGATTGAGCATCTCGGGGTCTGGTACTCTCTCCTCCGGTTCACTCATATCTCCCTCCTCATCTTGGTCCTCCAGGATTGTAGGGATGGGGTTGGACTCTGGCAAGCTTTGCATGCTTATGCCCTCAGTTGAGTTAATGCTGAGATCGAGATTCATGCCGCGCTTCAATTCATCTGCTTGGACAGAATCTCCTCCATCTGCAAGACGACGCTGCCACCCACCCATCATGGTAACTGCCTGCTTCCACCGGGATTCCATCTTCACCCAGCCTTCACGCAGTCGTTTGATCTCCTCGTCTCTCACCTCGACCTCTTCAAGGGGCACAAATGAGGGGTTGGTAAGCAGTGTTCGTAGATGTTCTAGCACTGATTCCATATGAACGGATAGTTCTTCACACGAGGTTGGAAGCGACGTAACAGGTCCCGAAGAAGACTTCTGAGCTCCGACGCTCATAGCCATACCCGGCTGCTCATTTTCACCTTTCCCATTCTCTGCCTGCGTCAAGCCTTGTAGGTCCTTCAAGGTATGGACAGTGCTTCGCGCAAGCTCAATCAGGGTATCATTCTCATCACTGAGATGCTGACATAGCTCGGTCAAGAAGTCGGTGGTCTCCTGCTTCAAGCTATATCCAGGGTCATGTACTCGTTCTCCACCGCTAGCCAGAAGACGCGATCGGTCCGACGCAGGATTTATGTTGATAGTAGTCACAGTCAGACCCTCGCGCTTGCCTCGTTGTCTCTCAGCCAGATGCGACTTGAGCTTCTGCATTTCCAGATCACGCTTGCGAATATCGTTGGCGCATTGTGCTCGGACTTGTTGGACGGTACTCTTCATGCGCTGGACTTGTTCCTTGAAACTTCGGATGTTCGCTTCGGCGCGGGACATGTTGGACTTGAGCGTGCGCTCCTGGGCTTCTGCCAGAGCTAGCGAGCGGGTCAACTCGGATGTCTTCATTTTCAGTTTTCCCTGCACAATCAATGAAGGTTAGCGCGCTGTGCGACATAAGTAGAGTGGATACATACGATCTCCGTGGTTTGTTCCGTCTCGGTGGCTTGCAGCGTGCGAACGGTCGTAGATAAGCTCTCACGGTGCTCGGACTCGCGCTAGAAGTTGTCAGTCACTGTTGGAGTCGAGTTTTAGTGCAGCACACGCACGTCTCGTCTCAACACTAAATCGTTGACCAAGTTGATCACACGAGCCATGGTGCCGTCTATCCCTCCATCTTCGTTTTCTGGGTCGGCGAAATCGATCGCGCGACCACCTTTTAGCAAGCCCCTTGCCAGTAAGATGTTGTTGACATAGGTCGAAGCTGCCTGCAGGTTATGCGACTCCATGGCAGCGATCACTTCTATTGTCGACACAGATAACTCCGAATGCCGAATGGGGAAGAAAGTAAACACAGAAGGTGCGGGGGCCTCTATGTGCCAAGTGTGCAGTTATTTGGGCGGTGAGGTAAACAGGAGTGATTCTGCCCGTTTTATTGCGGAATTGTGTCGCGATGCGTCCATCTAAATTTGATATTTCTTCGAAGATTCCTATCAGGAGGTGTTCATATTAAAAATTACCAATTAACAAAAATCAAAGAGTCAGCCTTGCTATCTAAAAGCAATTGAATGATATGCCAATGGTCGCATAGTGCGTTGATATTTGCACAATAATGCGTGGGCATAAGCCATCACCCAACCCCCACATCCGATTTGTCCCTTGCGTGGCATTAAACCTCTGGCTCTTACCCCACTACTTAATTCTCACCAACCGCCTTCGCATCTGCTCTTCAACATGGCTTCAAGGCCAGGTACGCGTATAGTACGCGGAGTAACGTCCAAAAAGAAGGCCGATATAGAGCAAGCCGCTGCTCTTCAGCGAGCAGGCCAAAATGCCTACAAAGTTGGTGATCTCCAAGGCGCCATTGAGTCCTTCACCCAGGTACGCCCTACCTTGTTTATTCCATCACAACTCATATTAATCTGTACATCTAGGCATTGGCGGCAAACAAGGAGGACACTGGCATTCTGGATAATCGCGCCGCCACATATTGCAAGCTGAAACTGTACAGCCAGGCCCGCGCTGACGCCAGAGCTATGGTCAAGCTTGCACCCAATGACGACCGTGTAGCTATCCACCTCGATCCTGAGTTCTCAATTGTTGATTCATGGCTAACTCTGAAGGAAGGGATACTTGCGCTTAGCCAAGGTCCTATGTCTAGATGGGAACTTTGACAAGGCCCGAGATATCTACGAGTATGCCCTCCAGAAACTTCCAGCTGATCACCCAGGCCGCAATGTATGTCTTTCTTTCTTTACTTTCTGTTCGGTTTACTCTTGAGTGTGGTATTCTGTGGTTGCATCTCTTAATTTCTTGTTTCCTAACTATATTATCTCTTACTCTTTTTCCCCTACTAACCATCTCCAGGTCCTCGAGCAGTTACTCAAGAAACTACAGGATAAGCTAGCAGGAGGAAACAGGCGTGATCCATTTACGATCCTGCCACTAGAGATTGCAGAACTCACGCTTCGGCGCTTCTCCTTCAAGCAGATTGTGTAAGTGGCTAATCCTCACCTCTAAAATCCACTAGCTCATTACAGGATATAGGGCAATTCTACGCGTCTGCAAGGGATGGAGTCGATTCCTAGGTGGACTGTACAGCCTCTGGATGCATGTTGACCTCACTGGAGCTAGATCTCGTGTGCCTTGGACATCTGTCCGAAACTACATCCATCGATCACGAGCGCAACTGACCAATGCTACCATTACAAATCTCGTGCCCTCTACTACGCCGAAGGTGCTTGACATGCTAAGCAGATGCCCCCAACTAGAGCACCTGGAATTGATGGTTCCCCATGACCAGCCTAAAGAGTTCTACCTAAAGATCAAAGATTTTCGACGCCTCAAGAGTATCGCCTGTGGAGCAGATATCAGCCTTTCGCATGCCTGTGTTGGGAGTATTTTATCTACCCTTTCGAAACTTGAGAAAGCCGCTTTTCTGCGTGTTTGGGATAATCCTACCAGAGGGCCCCGGCCCACGTCGACATGGCCTCAAAATCTTCCAAATATGAAGAGTCTGACTATTGCGTCTTCACAAGAAAATCCTCAAGGTTTGAGCTTCCCCGACATACTTCCGGGGTTAGGATCGGTAAGCTTTCTGTGGATTTGATATCTAGAACTCGAGCTAACACAATTCAGTCTGTGTATCCCAACTTGGAGGAGTTGCGGCTGGTTTGGGATCCCGCGCGATCACAATCATACCGATTTGATCCGGTTCAGGAGGAGGAACATCTTCCTCCACTCCGCATACTAGATCTTCGGGGCGCGGCTGTCCAACATAATTTCTATTCAATCCTCCCAACTAGCCTTGAGACCCTACGCTTGTTATCAGGGTCCATCGAGAACCCCCATGTTGGTGGAAATCTGTTGACACCGGGAGAGAATGAACTTCCAAACCTGACGACCCTTATATTCAATGATACCCCATGGCTCAATCGCTCCACGCTTTCCCTCTTCCTGCTCCATTCCAAAGCTCCCCTCCGAACCCTTCATGTGAACCTTTGCCACAACATCAACAGCGACGACTTCATTAATATTCTTAACGATCCCGACGGAGCGAATCCAGAATTGAAAGAATTAACTGATGTGGGAGTCGCCTGTATGGCTGGCATGGATGATTGGGGCGTCGGGAATCTGTCCGCAGTTTTGCCAAACCTGAAAATCCTTGACTTGTCACAGACGAGAATTACCGGTTGTACCATTCGCATGTTTGCGGATGCCCGGAACGATGAATCAGCTGTTGAAAAGCTCGACGGCTTAATCATAAAGGGATGTGACGAGGTGTCTCGTGATGCTATTGACTACGGACGGCAAATGGGGCTCACTATTGTCACTTAGGGACTTGGCAGCATTTTTGGTGATCCCTTCGGCGTTTTGATAATACAAATTGCCTAGGGCATCACCCTTGTACAATACGATGAAGGGAGATAAACAAAGCTATCTGGGCTTGCATGGAAACGGTATATGATATGAATATGAAATTAATCTTGAAACTACCTTGTTCGCCCTCATTATTTTAGTTATCTAGTAGTCTTACGAGTGATTAGGCCGTTCTAGGAAAGAAATTGCGGCCACGAACTACCTAGCACAGACCTCTACATAGGCATCACCCGATGCAACAAAAGAGGTCAAACTCTCCGGAGCTTGCTACCCAAGAATTACAGTCCTGCAATTGGGAGTTGGTACTTCGGAAGCGGAAATAGGGCCTGAGCCTAGCGAGTGAAACATCGGCTACCGACAGTTACACACACGAGAATAGAAGATAACACGGTCTCATAATCCCAAGCAATGCATTAATACAGCCAGAACCAAACAAAACCAATTACCTAAACCCCCCGTTCCTGACACCACCGCTCAACCTCTCTAGCCAACTTCTCCTTCTGATCACGCACAAGTTCCATCATAGGCTCAACCTGCTTCCTGTGCGAGGCAACAAGATCCTCATTACCATTAACAACAGCGACACCATCCTTCGGCGCAAGATTATCATCATAAATTTTGACCATGAGCTCCATAACGGCGGAGAGTTGGTTCGGAAGCCACTAGAACACCAAAACAATTAGCACATTGACACTCAGACAGCAGAGGAATCAGACTTGTACTCACGGTTACAATGGGACTACCACCGGTAGCAGTAGGATGCGGCGTGCGGCGAATGATATACTCACGCGCGAACAGCCAGTGTCGCCAGCGGAAACTGCGGATGTGGTTCAGTGTGCGCAGGAAGAGGACTGCGGTCTCGGAGTCTTGGATGGCGTATTTCTGGACGCCAATTTCTTCGGACTTTTCGCGGATGTAGGTAAGGAACTCGCGGTGGGGGAGGGGACGGTAGGCGCGGAATTCGTGGAGGATTTTGGTGAGAGGTGTTTCCGGCATAGGGATTTCGCAGAGGTGATCTAGGAGGGGGATCTGAGGTGCGGTTAGATGGGGCTGGACTTCCTTTTTTTTCTTTTGTCAATGATGGATTAGATTGGTTTGCTTACAATGCTGTCGTTGGCACCGCTCTCGCCACGGAAGTAGAGGGGCTTATTATCTTCGCAGCCTTCGTACACCACACCGTTGGGGAACATGGATTGGTTGGTGATGCCGAAGATGAAGACGCGGAAAGAGAGGTACTCGGATGGCTTAGAGTTGCCCCACATATCTATTTCAATGTTAGGCTGGGATATATGTGAGCATTAGGGTGCTTAGGGCTGCATACCTTCCATGGATGCTTCGATTTTCTCCATCGACTTCAGGATCTCCCGGAATCCGTCGTTGATTTCCTGTCGAGAGCCATTTTGCTCAAGGGAATCAACGATCTTCAAAACACCTCCAATAAGCGGGCCAGTCTCTTTGACCATGTCAACGTGGGTCAGGATGAAGCCTGCCTCGGAGCTCTTGGGGTCGAGACCTTTCTCGAAGGAGCGAATCAGACGAAGGTTCGAGTACTCGCTCAGACCCTTGGCAGGGTCAGCGACGGTGTAGTTGAAGAGAGCATATGAAGCAGCATATGACATGAAAGGTGGTAGGTCCAGGCTGGGGATGGTTATTAGTTATAATGTTATCATATAATGAAGATGTGTATCAACATGATCCACAAGACAGGGAAGTAAGAAAGGAAGAATAAGAAGGCTTACATCTCAGCACAGCGATACATAGGACGAGCAACAGACTGGGGCAAGACATCACGACCAAGTCCATAGCCACCTTCCGGGTCCTTGTTCCAGTGCTCCCAGCAAGGCTCAAGCAGGTAAGACGAGGCCAGGAAGGTATAGTCACGGAAGACCGCAGCAATAGTGAAGCGGTCATGCGAGCCATCGGCGAGAACCAGCTTCTCAACCTCATCAGTCAAGTCGGTGAGCTCAGCCTTGACAGCAGGGCCAAGCTCATAGGTAGCCAACAGACCGGGCTTACCATCGAGCCTGACGACGGGGAGACGATTGACCAGAGACAGCAGGGCACTAAAGGCCTCTGGCAGCTCAACAGGGGCAGTCTCATAGGGCAAGAAGCCTGTCTTGGTGGTGATGGTGAAGGGGTCTAGGGAGTGGGAGATGGATGAAGGGTCATCATGGATATGAGGGAACCGCTTCAGGGTGGCAGGGGATGGGTAGGGCACTTGGGTTCGAGTCATGATGATATGAGATGAACCAAAGGAAAGGAAAGACTATAAGCCTATGATATATGGGTGTAGTATCAAAGGGTGTGTGTGGCTAGTATAGAAGAGTGGAGATGTATAAGCCAAGAGGCAAAGGAGAAGGCCAAAGACGAAGTCAAGAGCCTAGGAAGTAGGAAAAATTGGTAAAAAAAAGATAAGGAAGAAGCCAGGAGACCTTTGGAGATGAAAAGAGAATTGGAACTTTGAGATTTTGGGCGGGTGAGGAGCAGATTCTTATAATCCTTTGAGGCCGGTAACAATTCCGGCCTCAAGTCCACATTACGAAAGAGAATAAAAGATAGCGTGGGCCCGGTGACATCCGGTGCTTCATGGTGGAGATTGATTCTGTCTATCTTATATGGCATTCAAGACACTTTATATGAGTATATTTGTCCAACATAAGATATTTTGACATCCATCTCAACATCTATATGATCTATACAGCTACCCAGTGAGAGAGGGCAGAGAAAGGTCACGGGGTTGCGCTAGTCCCGATACGGCATATGCTTTGAAAGGAGCTTTGACTGCTTTACCTGGGATTTGATGGAAGCTTGTAGTGGCGTATGCTAAATTAGTGTGTAAAATGCTTATAATGAAGAAATTGGCCACTCTATGATGATATATTACGGATAAATGGCCAATGTTGCCTACTCAAGTCATGATGTATGCTCTATAGTTCAAGTGTTGCCAAGCATTGATCGTCAGATCCCGCCTTTTGATTGGACGATAAGCTCAAATTTAACTTCCCTAGCGTTCGGAGGCCGGAATGCTACCGGCCTCCGATAGTAACCGGCCTTGTTATATGCCCTGGGCGGGTTTGGTATAGGAGAAGCTTCTAAATTGGTATGACTTTGTGATACCTTGTTGTGATTCCCAAAAGATAGAACAAAGATTGACCTATAAACAGCTTCATCAATTTCAAGCTTTTATTGCCTTGATATCTGGAAAGCTTGAAGTCATACTTAGTAGATCCTTGAATATATATTGACAGGGAACAAAAGAACCTATCGTACATTTGTGCCCAAAAGTACTTTATCTATTGCATGGCTCCTCTGGTTATGTGTTATATACTATGCAATTGAATTTAAATGTAAATGTTTTTAATAGTTGACAACCTCCCAATTCATCATCCCTTCCATTATTTTTCATGCAAATACACGCTCAGTCCTGTTCACTACCACAGTCCGAGAATTGTGATAAAATGCCCCATGCAACTGCGGCATGAAATACTGCAAGACTGCATCACCCGCACCGGCCGGAAGCGAGCTCTTGTCACCCCAATAGTGCCTCACCAACTCCCCAGCACATCCAGTAGCTGCAACCTCAGGGCACCCATTTGCCTCTGCACAAGACAAGACCCGAATGTCTTCCGATCTGTTAAAGTCATACCTAACATGGCTCCCAAATGCAGATTGCTCATGTGGCCATTCCCCACCCCACCTCCCGCAGCCTGGATAGCGCGTTTCGTTGGGACAATTCTCCCACGCCTCAAAGAGTTCGTGGGTACGAGGACTTTGCTGCGCGATAATAAAGCCAGTATTGATAAATGTGCGACCGTTCCAATCACGGTTGTGAGGTGCGTCTGGATCGAGCGCCATGGCAACTAGAGTCTCTGGAGTGATCTCCCAGTAGTTGAACAGCCATTCCATGGGTAGATTAGGATAGGGCATCATGGAATCTGCATCCATGAATACAACGTATTTGTAGTGTTTCAACGCTTCTTTGATGGCGGTCACTTTGGTCCATGTTCCACTTCGCCCGACTGTCTTGGGGATTTGAACTAATCGGTAGTCCTAGCCGTGGATCATTGCTACGCTCGTCAGTCATGAAGTAGAAACAGATCGAAGTCTGACTAATTACCGAACATGAAATGGTTGAGTCTACCACTGGTATCTGGGGGAAGTTGGGTTGCGTTCAATGGAGCCTTGCTCAAAACACCCTTCGGGCCATCAAGATGGCGGCTGTCGACGTCCAAAAACGAGAATCTTCTTTCCTAATGGTTTGGTGAACCTCAATGGTTCTGCAAGCCAGAACATCTTCCCTGTGCGGCCAACAAATATGGTACTAGTAATGGGATGTATGTAGGGCCTGTAGAGTTTGTGGACCGTGGACGTATGTAAGGGGCTTTTGACGGCCCATCGGAAGTATTTCCTATGCCAGAGTAAGTGTTCAATTTCAACCTTTTGCTTTAAGTGGGTACGTACTGGGATGGCTGATCAATCAATGCATTATTCAAGCAGGAATAGACCCAGAAGAGAGCACACACCACCAGACTCGAAGTAAAGATGGCGGTAATCCGGCGAGGAAACATGAGTCCAGACCTTGAATGGCGCATGGAGATGGTGTATGCATGTGAAATGGAGTTCCAATATGTAGCTTTGGCATAGTATAGGGTGTCGATTGACATGACATAATGTTGATGAAGTAGCTATGGAATACCTACCAGATTTCCTCTGCCCTCCCATTTGAGTGCACATCTCTTGCCGCTTTTTGCTCAGGAAAATGAAACACGCCTTTATTTAATCCTCATTTTTGGTTCATTCCAAGCCTTCTAAGGCTTATATAGTGTGTCAATGATTATAGGGCGGGAGTTTTGACTTGCGAGGATCGAGAAAGCAATTCATGGCAGGGGAATTTGAAAAGACGGTGAATGGTGCTTGTAACATAGAGCTCTGAGATATGGATTGTTTTAAAACGGGAGGCTGAACAAGCAAGACAATTTGCTTGAATCTAGATTATAAAAATTTTATCCACTGAAATATTCTGGACAAGTTCATAGCGAATTAGGTCTCACATTCAACGGAAATCTTCAACAAAAGCCTATGCCATCTCGATCAAAGCATTAAGATCTTGGAGCCGTTGCTGTACTAGCTCCATATTGTCAGATTTCTCACGCAACGCATTCTTGAGTGCACTGATGGCCTTCTTGGTAGTATTTCCAGACATTGCCTCCCCAGACTGCAGTTTCTTTTCCGCGGACTTGAGACTTTCCTTCGCACTGCGAATCTGCGACCAGTACGTTGTGGTCTTGTTGATATATCCAGTCTCCTCAAGAGGCAAGTTCCACTTCTGAGGAGTCGTCTCGACAATATTCAACCATTTGGCCATGTGCGGCCATCGGCGCTCTTCAAGACCCGGGAAGTGCACGAGCAGATCCCCTCTTTTGCCTTCATAGGCCCAGTCCCATTCGTAGGTGTTGATCCATGGACGTGGCAGGTAGGAGACTCCATCTGCATAACCTTGTCCGTCTGTACCTCCAGTCGTCTTGTTGAGCACACGTCTCATGCTTTCCTGGTCGGCAGATCGACCGAGGTCAATCTGAGGGAGGTAAATAGGGTAGCCCATTGTTTCGGTCAGGAAATTAATCATCCAAGGATGGACATGGAGGAACATAATTCCCGTGTTGAGGCCATTTTGGTCTTGGGTTGCCACCAGGTGGATGTCTTTCAGGTCTGATGGCGGAAGGAAGATTTCCACGGGCATGTCATTGTTCAGTATAATCGAGTCGGCATCCACCCACCTGCAAGATTCAGCATCAATCAAGCATGCACAGAAAGAAAATACATACATTAACCATTCCATTCTCTCCCCAGCTGGCTTGGTCAATTCATTGATCACCAAGGATAGGAGATAGCTCGGTTTGTTCCAAAATCCGACCGAAATATCCTGTCGCAGGATATGCATGGGATATCCCCATCGTTTCCCGTGGCGTTCATGGCTCTGCAGCGCTCTCTCGTACATATGGTTCGTCTCTCCGTATAGCATGGACACCTTGGCGACTCTTTGCAACTTGTTGCTAGGGGCATCATCTGATTGGGGAATAGAAAGGACCTTGTAAGACTTGAATGTGACCCAAAAAATACCTATCACTGATATAACTATCAGGATGATGTTCAAGGGCCGTTGTTTGAATGCCATTTGCTGTTGAATCATGGCGGGCATCACCGCATAGATGCCGGACTTTTCATTGTAGATGAGAATACCAGAAATAATTATTTCTTGAGATAGAAGAGACTATTGCTATATTTAGGGGTTCAAATGTTTGATTGGAGGCTCGTGGGTTGTATGAATTCGTACTTCCGGATTGGGAATACCGTTTTCGTCAACTCAACTATGTCCAATTAATAGCGACAAATAAAGTCCAATTAACTTAATTTATAAATAGATATTAGCTCAATAATTTCAAGGAAATAGCTCAGTTATTCTAGAACCGATGAAAATGAGCTGTGTTGCGTACAGGTAGGGCCCACTGCCCACATGGCGCATATGAAGCCCGCAACGGTGATATGCAGGTACATCTTCGGTGGATATTCGGTATGGGTTGATGTTCAGGAGCAATGTCGGCAAATCTCCAGAGAAATACCCCTACCCCTACGACTGACGGTGACATCTAATAGATCATATCAGAGCATCTAACCACCTAGACTGTGTGGGCCCACAGTATACCGTATATCAAAAATCACAATCGAACGTCCGATTATTGTCGCCGCAGCGGTGTATATTCTATTAGGCCTTTAAGCTCCGCTTGGGATCAAAGAACAACTTAGATTACTTGGAGACTACAGCATTTACTACAAGATGCGGCTAGACAATGTCCAAACTAGTAGAGAGACGATTTCATGTTATATGGTACAGATGAGGGTATATTATACACCACATGTTTCAAATATTTGTACAACCTCACATATGCAAATAACTTTAACTCCTTGTTCCCATGCATCAGCGACCTGGCCGCCGTTGAATTGATTGGTATAGCCAGAGCGCATCCAGATCAAATCGTGAACTGGATCGCGTAAAAGAACGTAGCACGATATCCACAGCCAAGAACGTGCATTATGACCCTGTGGTTTGACTGGTTGTATTTGAGTCGTCGGTGGTGCTGTGTACCGTCTGGAGCTTGAGGTACTCCTGCTCGAGGGTCTTTTGCATTTCGAAGTCGGCCTGGCGTTCTAGTCGGATACGCTGCTTTTCCATATCACGCTCGACACCTTTGTGCATAGCCTAAAATGCGACAAAGTAAGTATATATACTAGATATAGAGAATCGAAGTTGTAACATACCGCTCTATCGGCCTCTTGTGCCCAGTGGACAAACCAGACAGTACCCATTGTGGCGAGGCCAGTGGCTGCCAATGTGAACTTTGATGCGCGAGACATGGCAGTATAAGTGGTATCACGGCTCGACACAGAGGTTCAGCAGACAATGACCACAAACAATGTTTTGATCTGTTAGCTGTTCATCAAACGAGTTCGGGATTATCAGTTTATCGATCACCGGGCGGCGTTTGGTGGCAGAACCCCCACCGCTCTGGGGGGCGATGCGTGGCTCCGATCGACCTGGGCTCGGAGCTCCAGACTCGCCATTTAATCGTCCCTTTCCAGCCTTATTTCCCCTCTACCCTATTTCCAAAGCTGAGAGGTCTCTAGCAAATATGGTGAGTAATATATCTCGGAATTGGTGGCTAGCTGCTAACGGTGAACAACAGTCGGCTCAGAACTCCGCGGGCATTCAGACCCTCCTCGATGTAGGTCTTGGGTGTATGTTGAGCGCAGTGTGGAGATACTAATAACGGAACCATCAGGCTGAGAGAGAGGCCCAGAAGATTGTGCAGAAAGGTAAGTCCAACTTGTGCTTACCCCTCATCGCTGCCTATCACAGACACTAATACGTCACATTACATTTAGCCAGAGAGTGTACGAAATGCAAACTTACCTGTCACCATTCGATCCAACGAACTAATTATTTCGCAACTGTACAGACCGTACCCAGCGGATAAGAGACGCCAAGTCAGAGGCCCAGAAGGAGATTGAGGAATACAGGAGCCAGAAGGAACAGGAGTACAAGAAGTTCGAGGGCGAGGTGAGATGCAGCTCTAAAACAGCAGTCATAATAAGAGGCATACAAAGTGCTAAGCTGACTGGTCTCAATAGCACTCAAGCGGATACAAGGTATCTGAGGCGGAGGCCGACAAGGAAGCCGAGGTCAAGCTCCAGGAGATCAAGGAAGCCGGCAAGAAGCAGGGCGACAAGGTAGTCGCAGACCTCATTCGTGTGACGACCGACGTCAAGCCCGAGGTGCCTGAGAAGATCAAGGCATAATGTAGATATTCGGGGTTATCTTTTTTTCCTCGCGTGAATGCGCTTGCGTGTCTGTTCATCGATATCCAATTGTCGGACAATATCAATTTCTTTTTGGTTTAACCCTGTGTATATGATGTGAATGGAGTCCGAATCACTCGTGTTGGAATATCTCTGTCTTATTCCTACATGGTGTTCCTGGAGATCTGGCTTGAATCTAGGCTTTTAGATCTGCGGCAAGTCCGAGTATTGATCACCACCACGCAGTCATTCATCTTTATTACCTAGGCTTACTATGAGCCTATTATAGAGGGCTATGCTTTGGCGAACTTCAGATACATCACTAGTCTACTAAGTCTGACAAGACCCCCCTGATATCCGTGGCTGTTCATACTCAATACCAGGTGAGGACAGCGTGAGGCGCAGGATGATTCAATGCATCCTCTGAACCCCCGAGAAGGCGTCAGTACTCATCTTTGCTGAACATTTCTCAAAGCAACGAGTCACTGTTGGTAACATATGCTGGTACCAGTGGCGCAGTTGGCTTTTTAAGGGGTGTCTTTACTACTCCATGCATTATCAGGCATGGGTTCATCCGCAACGGCAGCCGATATGTTATACTGAAGACAGTTTTCAGTAGTCCCGGCGACTTGTGAGAACGGGGACTCCAGTGATATCTTACAAAAATATTGAGAGGCAGATTTGACATAGATAATTCTGGCCCTAAATTGTTTGGTGAATGGCCTCTATCGTTTGAAATTTGTGTGTTCGTAGATGGATGTTGGAAGGATTGGTTATTGTTTTGAATATATTCCGTGTATAAACTCACTCATATAGTGTACTGCCTTGCGAAGAGTTAGCTAAGTATATATTTCTTTCCCTTTACATTGGCAATGCTCTTGGTGGAAGAAGACGCTGAGGTATGCTTGTTGTTGGCCTGAGGCATCAATACGATTTCCCTGTTGCGTCATTCCGCGCCGGGCCTCATTCGACAACCTATCTGCGGACGACGCAGAACAATGAAATATGCAACTCTTACACCGAATGCACTCAACCGGTCTTCAATTGCATGCTATTCATACGGCCAGACTGTATGTCACTCTAACAACAGGTGGTATCACGGGTCTCCATGTAGACCCAGACCAAGTCTCGACCCGCGCTTAGAGGACCACGGTAAAGTAATTGTCGATGAGTACTCAATTATCCGTGATAAATATGGTTTGTTCCTTTCAACTTGAATAGTGTAGACAGCTGCTGACTCGCCATTAGCTGCACCAAAATATCCTGTCGTTCTCGCCCATGGCTTGCTCGGGTTTGACGAACTACGCCTTGCTGGCCCATATCTTCCCGGTGTTCAGTACTGGCGTGGTATTAAAGAGGCACTGACGGCGCGAGGCATTGAGGTTATCACAGCGACCGTGCCCCCGTCGAGCTCTATTGAAGCGCGGGCTGAACAATTGGCCCGGAATATCGAGGCCGGGGCTCAAGGGAAAGATGTTAATATTATTGCGTATGTTACCTTCATTTCCTGGTTACACATATCGACATACTCTAACTGATTTCTATATAGGCATAGCATGGTGAGATCCCCCAATCATCGCGATAGAGTTAATGCTTATCTGTGATTAGGGGTGAGACATACCAAGAGGATCATACTATACAGCGCAAGCTAATTAATGGCTTGTAAAGTGGTCTTGATTCGCGATATATGATCAGTCACATACGGCCGGAAAAGTTCAAGGTTGTGTCACTGACCACTATCGCATCTCCGCATCGAGGTCTGGCACAGCATAGCATTTTATTTGTCTTCCTACTAATCGTCTAGCAGGCTCATCTGTGGCGGACTATGTATTTGATCAAATTGGAGGTTCGTCACCATTTACTTGCTTACTGAGATAACTTAGAAGATAACATTTCTTTCTATGCAGCTGATCGCCTACCTCAGATCTATTATGCCCTTAATCGACTAAAGGTCGAGACCGGTGCATTCTCTCAACTAACACGAAAATACATGACCGAGACCTTCAACCCCAATACCCCAGATATGGATGATGTTAGGTACGTGCCCCATGTTCTCTCCACTTTACGCCCTGCTAACATTCCCCAGATATTTCTCCTATGGAGCAGCAGTGGAGCCAAGTATATGGTCCGCTTTCCGGCTTTCGCACCGAGTGCTTGCAGAGATCGAAGGACCCAATGATGGCCTAGTTAGCGTGTCTAGTAGCCGCTGGGGAGGCGATGCAGGATACAAAGGGACCCTTATGGGCGTGAGCCATCTAGACTTGATCAACTGGACCAACCGGCTTAAGTGGCTAGTCGGGGAAGTAACAGGCAACAAACGGAAGTTAGTTGATTACGGATTGTATTTTGGGAATTTTGCTGATCTTCATGCAGGTTTAACGCCATTGCGTTTTACTTGGACATTGCGGGTATGTGTTACAGTTTGATTGGATTACTTGAGACTAATAAGCCGCCTGTTCACTAGACATGCTAGCAAAAGAGGGACTTTGAGAAAGTGAAACTGGATATAATTGGATTTCCCTCAGCCCTGTTGTGGCTGGATCCTGATTTGATATGGAAATTCTGGTGCCTGGAGTTGGGAGTCCGGGGGTGTTTGCTTCCTATTCTTGTCTATGTATGGACATATTTCTGTACAATGAAATTAATCTAGTACCTTCGCCAATTAATACAATAGACGATTAAATTTCAAGATAGTATATCTGCTAACTTAAGTATGTAGTAAGTAGTAGCTGTATGTTGTAGAAGAGTGTACACCCCTTAGACTTATAGTTTCCGGATACTAACGGAATTGAGCCCTTTGTCTTAGAAATGTGGCTGTGGTATGATTGAGGCGCAGCATATATGCCTAATCCAACCCTCTAGCCTTTAATCCTCCAAAAGTCCCAGATTAAACAAGGCCAGACTGCGGCAGTTGTATGTTGCTTGGCAATCAGTTGATCCGTGAACGCCCAAAACGTCATTCCGAGATCCTTCGCATATAATCCACATTTTCCCTCCTCTCACAGGCCCAACATCTCTTCGCGCTGTGCTTTGCCTTATTTACATCTTCCGAGAGCTTGATAGCTTGATAATTTTCGCAATATTTTCCAGCGACCGCGCTTCCCCCTTTGATCCTTCGATCGCCGCCAACCAACCGAGAGAGCCCCGCCAGGGCCCGGGCGCCCGCCGCCATGTCCGCAAACATCGTCTTGGACTGCCGCCACACCCATTATACAAATCTGGACTTTCTCAAGGGAAAGGTTGTGCTACAGCTGCCGACTGAAGCAGCTATTGGGGCCATCCAGGTCAAATTGGAGTGCGAAAGCCGCACTCGTCTATCCGGTCCCAAGAATCCTCAAAATGTGCACTCGGAAAAAAAGCGAACGGAGCTTGAGGTTCATAAGGTGAGAGGATGTGGTCTATCGTACCTATCGGTGGGATAAAATGTTGGCTGGAGCATTGGTTAACCAACGAATACAGATCTTGTACAAGGTTGCTACCGTCTTCCCGACACCGGGTGTGATGCAGAATGGATCCCCTGCACCTACATATACCTTTGCCGCAGGGTCATATGAGTACCCTTTCGAATTCAAGGTAAAGAGTCTATTCTATGGCAACTAGAACACCTTTAACATTGTACTAGTTTCCCTTCAATAATTCATGCAGCACCACCAACAGCATGCTCACCAATCTGAAGTTTTCCGGGTTGAAAGTCGAGGTAGCTAAAGACACCAACCGACACGTCAGAAAGACTCTCCCACCGTCTTTAAGCGGGTTCCCAGGCGTAGCAGATATCAAATATTTCGTCAAGGCCACAGTCATTCGGCCGCAGTTCTACAAAGAAAACATCAGATCGGTAAGTGATATCTTTGGATAATACGCTATCGTCGCACTTGCTCATTGATTTATCAGATCGTGCCTCTGAATTTCCTTCCAATTGAGCCACCAAGAGTTGGGAATCCCAATGAGGAAACCTACGCCAGGCGGCAACATCAATTCTCCAAAATCCAGATCCCGTACAAGAAAAAGAGCATCTTCTCACGAGGATCTTCTGCACCTGCACCCCCAGAATCATACGCAGAGCCTCCTCGGGTTTCTGTGGATGCTCGACTCCCGAACCCGTCTATTCTCACTTGCAACGAACCTGTCCCCCTCCGTCTCATCGCTAAAAGGCTGACCGAGGGACCGGACCTAATCTTCCTTCAGATGTTGCAAGTGGAACTAATATCCTTCACGAAAATCTTGGCTCATGACCTCAACCGCACTGAAATTAATTCATGGGTCATCATGAGCCGTAGCAATATGGATGTCCCGCTAGGCAGCCCAGAGGACCCCGTAGGCACTGATTGGACTATTGATCCAACCCTGTGGAATCGGTATCCCTTGCCTAACTCGGTGGCACCGTCCTTTGAGACATGTAACATTGAAAGATCTTACGAGCTGGAAATTCGACTGGGCTTGACTTACGGAACGCAGGTATGTTGAATCGCCAACTCCTAGAGTTGTCTCTTGGCTGACCATAGCATAGCCTCAACTTATTGTCCTGCCCCTGCGAATGCCAGTTAGAGTATTCTCAGGAATTGCTCCACCACAGGCCCTTCTAGATGCAATGGCCGCCGCATCACTTCAGCCATCATCCTCTAAAATGAAACCCCAGCCCAGCTTGCCGACAGAGGTGGGAAACAATCGACCACCTATACCACCACGGCCAAACGGCGAGCCTGTACCCGTCAATTCCGGAGATGCATATGACGACGCACCACCCAGTTACGAGGATACCATGGGAGACCACCTGAGTCCGGTGGATGGACCACGCCGCGAGTATCACCCACCAGACGCCTCATCACAAAGCACAGTAGAATCTGGAGCTGATTCCAAGTCCGCAGCCCAACCGGGTAAGGCGCTTGAGGATGGACCCGTGGCAGGAGGATCCTCATCCTCGGCGCCTCGTCGAGGAAATCGTGATTCCACGGAGTCCTTCGACATGCTACCTACCACACCGCCGGAATCCCAATATGGATCACCTCCCGCATCCCCCGCGAGACGTCCAGCGAGTATGATGAAACTTCCTCGGAACACCGTTGATGAAGAAAGCCCGCCGCAATATGAGCCTGTTGCGGAGAATCAGCTAAACGCTTCCCAGGCTGTGCAACGCCAGCCTTCACGGAATAATCTTCGTCCTATGAACTTGGGTGTTCCTAATCGGAAGCCTGTGCCACGAGGTCGGAATCCTTGAGGCTAATGGGCTCAATAGGTTGTTGTACCTCACTAATTTGGTCATATTCTCTCCTCTTTTCACGCTCAGTGTCCGGGTTTGAAATTAATTGGAGCTTCATGGCACTTTGCCAGTGTTTATTCCAGCACTCATAGCATTGCCCATCAAACAAACTGCGTTATTGCTACCTTCGAACTCGATACCCCATCAAATTTCAGTGTTGAAAATTGTCTTTACAGTTATCTTGTTTTTGAAATGCATCATAGGTCTATGGAGGCGTTAGCGCCTAAGGCATCTTTTAATTCAATACATCTGGTGTAACGCCTGTTGAACAATATAATCTGGTTTCATACACTTGATCCAAAGAATGAGCCTAATTTAATGAAGCGGATATAATCGCCAGCAATGAGATCAATATCTCCTTTATTTCAAGGCAATCGGAAGGGGATACCACAAGGATGTTGGTACTATGACGCTATAGAAGCCAACCTTCGAGAGTCGAAGCTTTTAAGATACATGCCCACGTGGGTTTTAGGTGAGATACAGAGCCCAAGTTAATAATCGGAGGGGCAAGAAAAAGTAGCATTCGTTCATCATAGAACTCGGTGTGACCATACCCCCTACCATATGCAGCCGTTCTCGTCTTCCATCCAATCCTCTTCGTTGCGTGAGATACCTGGCATAAGAGCACCGGGGTTGCGGTTTGGGAGAGCAAGTGCAAATCGATAAAAGAAGTGATCTTCCACTCCTGCGGTTCTTCAGGACGATATGCGAGACGAAACCCGGAGATGTGCCTATAGAGTGTTAGATAGTACTCCCCTGTTTTGAGATGATAGCGCATATGCATACATTTGACCGGAAGATTCGTCATAGATTATTTTGGATGGAGTAGGCACAAGTGGCATAAACCCGAATTGCAAAAGCCTCCTGTTTAATGTTAGCTAAAAGTCGCCACAATGCTTCGTAGCCGTACGTAAAAACCTGGCGAAACTTGTCACGGATGGTTGCTCTCTCGCTGAAGGGCCGAAGCCAGAATTTGATATGATCAAAGGAATCGCCTGGGAACGACCTCACATCCGAATCTCATGAAAGACTTCAGAGCGATCAGTTCTCGGTTCCCTGGTTCATCGACGGCCTGCCCAGCCCGGACACTTGTCTTCTTGAATTCGGTACCAGCAATAGGTACTTGTTGGTGGATGCGCATGAAGGCGAGCTTGGTTTCGTTACCAGGACCGGCGGGACGACAAAGGAACTTCGCGAAAGTGTCAGAGATACCCATACCATCGGTGACATCTTTTTGAGTCAACCGACATGGGTTCTCTTCCAGCTTCTTGACAATTACCCAGGTCTGGGCAGGAAAGTGTAACGACCCTTCGGTAACAGCGTCGAGCGTGACCTCGGTCCCTTCAAGGTCAGTGAGGTATTCGAGGAGAGACGCCATGTTGGTACTATCAATGTGAAGAAAAGAGGAATCTTGATGAGGATGTGTTGACAGAATCAACGGAGTCATTTGTGATGCCATGTGGAGAACATCATATGTACCACAAATTACTAACTAGACACCTATGTATGTATGTACCTTTTGGAACCGTGGAAGCCGCTACGTTTTTCCCATGTTCATCAAATACCTCAGCTGAGTAGGGTAGGGCAAGGCAAGGCCCGACAGTCAAATATTAATTTCCCTGATTATAGATAGAAATTCCCTCTGCACAACTTATACTCTTTGCCGTCTTTTTGTACATCTAAAAAGACACCTCTAAAGAGTATGAAAAAGACATGACAGGGTTGTGTAGGAGTAATCTTTTGTATCGACTCTATAAATCGGGAAAAGGTAAGTTTATGGAACATGATGTGCGCTATTCCAAAGGCGGTTAGCGTACCCTCCACGCGGATTGAGCTCTGCTTTCTTCTTTCACTTGAGCAAATGTCCTACCTCATGGGCATCTGTCCTCACATTCACTCTTAATCAAATTTGTTAGCCCAGCTTGGACCAACTGGATTAACCCCGCACCGAAACATTACCTCCGAGTACTTGACTTGAAACCACCCAACAGCAACACGAAAAAGTCCATTCACCGCGTCAATGATTTAGCTCGCGACTGAACATCCACCATGCGTCTCCACCTTGTTATCTCGCGCCATGGCCTACCAGTCACGCGCATTCTCTGGACGACGACTTCGTCGACTTCTGTACTAGGTGAATATGGGACCCAGCGCCCTGCTTCAACCGCAGCTGTCGCATCGTCTCGTACCCCGAACATCGCCTTCTCGAATGGTGGGTACACGGTCGCACAACTCCTCGAGGATGTGAATGAAGTTGTGCCGCTGGAAACTGAACCTAATGTCTTTGATACGGAGTTCAGTGGCCAGTGGGGATTGGAAGATTATGTCGTCGAAGTTGCTGGCTCGGAATGTCTCCATTTTATGGAGGTTGATGGCTTGCTCCGGGATGGAGACGAAGTTGTGTATGTGCATCTAACAACTGTTCCAACATGTTACACTAAACTAATACCTTTACTTCTAGTATCCGCGCCCTTCAATTGGCAGACCTCCGGACCAGAAGGCTGTGTGGTCGCCACCAAATTACCGCTGAGGGCAAGCACCTGATCGACGGTGTACCTTTCGGGTCACCGTTCTTGAAAAGAACTACTTCTACACGACCTGCGATTACCATCCCCCCAAGGAAGAAGCGACGTACAGTCTTTTCTGGCTGGGAGCATGCTCCCGAGTTTGTGGCCGAGGAAGCCCACGCCGACGAGGAAGGTGATGGAGAGTGGCTTCCCCCCCCGAACACCGGGTTTGGAAAGGAGCTTTCTATTATGCCCGCCGAGCATGAAGAGTCCATGGCCACTGTTATTCGTCACCCTGTTGACCACACCGCGGAATCTGACAGTGAAGCGAATATGTCAGAGGTGTCTGAAATTGAGGAAGATGAATTGGAGAGCGAACTCCAAGCACTGAAAGAGGACTTTGAAGAAGCTTCTCAATTTGTTGATATCAGGAATCAGACTCAGAATGCCAGTGGGCACTCACTACGTGCTACCTCGGTAGTCAACCGACCAACTTCCAAGGGGTCACTTGCAGCTGCCTCGTCTCTGTCCAGCAAGCGGTCTCGCGCAGATGAATCCTCTCCTAGGACCTCCAAGGCTGTGAGGTTCAACAAGGGCGATGAGCAGGAGGGCCAGGATATGCCTGATCTCCCACAACCACCGCAAGTTCCACAGGTTGGGGGAAGTGCTGCTGAAACTTCCGATTCTGATTCATACGATTCATCTGAGGCTTCTTCAGACAGCGATTCTGAGGAAGATTCCGATAATGATTCTAGCGATGTTGAATCTTCAAGCGAGGTAGAGCCTGCGGCGGAGGCACCTGATTCTGATTCATCCTCAAGCTCCGAAGAATCTGATTCATCGGACTCGGACTCAGATTCCGAAGAGGAGGCTGCCCCACCCGTAGAAAAGGTGCAACAACCGGTTTCTGTGGGTGCTCCTGGCGAAGGGTCCATACGCACCAAAAAGAGCAACAATCGCATCAAACTACGCCGCCGTCTATCCAAGCTCAAGGAGCTAGGTGCTCTCCCCGAAAAAGCAGGCTTCGATGCATTGCGGGAGTGGGAAAACCGCCACGGAGGCTGGCACACTCCGGAACAATATCTTAACCCAGAGCCATTCGTGCAACCCCAACAACCTGTGGAACCAGAACCAGAACCAGAGCCTGTCGAATCTTCCAGCAAGAGGCAAAAGAGAGAGAAAAAAGAACAGGAGCAGAAAGAATTCGAAGCCAGACGTCAGAAACTGCTTCGCGATCTTGCATCAGGTAATGGTGTTGATGTAAGCGAAACATCGGAGAAGGAAAATGTCCCGCCCGCTGCATCTACCGTTGGACAGAGCCTTGTTTCAGAAGAAGTGCCCGGTAAGGATCAGCCGGAGCAGGAGCCTTCGAACCGACGTACCCTGGACATAGCTAGCTCACGACGCATGCTATTCGGATCTCTGGGAATGCGAACTCCAAAGACCAAGGAAGACGAAGAAGAAACGCGGAGAAAGCTCGCTGCTAAAGCTAGTGCATGCGGGCCCCGACACAAACCTTCCAAGCGAGACGTCCAAGAAGAGACCGACCAGATGCAAGAGGATGAAGATGCATCCGACATTGATTGGCAAAACAAACTTGTCATCCGTGCTGTTGAGTGTCTCTATCCTCAAGTTGATATGACCGCGCCTCCTTATCCTTTCGTTCAACGTTGGGATCAAGAAGCCAATGCATTGATCCGTGAGCTCAAAGGCCCCAACAAGAAGCGGAAGAGAAAGCAGCGTGTTCAGGTCTATGAAGAATATGAGGAGCAGGAGGAATACGATGAAAATGGGAATTACTACGGCCATGATGAGCAATATCAAGGCGGAGATGACCAAACCAATCACGAGGGCCACTGGGAAGGCGAAGCTGCTCCTTACTACGAAGGCCATTATGCAGGCGAAGCTGAAGGAGATCAGATCAACTATGACGACGCTCCTGAACCTGAAAAGGCCACATTAGATGATCTCCCTGCAATTCCCGCCGACATTACTTCCGTTCCCGATTTGACCGAGAGCGAAGCGAAGGTCGGTGCAATCATTGCATTCCGGCAGCTAGACATGTCCAAGGCCACGAACTGGCAGCCTCAGATGTCTGAATACCGAGTAGCTGAGGTACGCTCTGTCAAAGACAATGGAGTGATTAATGTACTACTTGCCAAGCGAGACCGAAAGCCCCCTTCGGCATCCAGCGAGTGGGACGAACCCCGTCAATTCAGCAAGTTTGAAGTACCAGACCTAGCCAACGACGAGGGAGAGGATGACGGCTATCGTGAGCTTGCCTTTGCCGAACTCAGCGATCCAAAGCTTCTCCAGGCCGCAGTGCAGTCGGGCGCGGAATTTGAGGACCAGAACAATACTCGAGAAGGTAGCATGTCAGTGAAATAAACTCTGATTGAAGGCTCATGCTTACATGTCCAAGTGTCTCTGTAGTTCAAGAATCCGTACCAAATGCCCAACCAGCCCTGTCTGATGAAATGTACCTTGACGACACAACCTTTGTCACCATCGGAAATGAAGTCAGCCGCCTTGATTCCCCTCGCGAATCCCCGGGAATGCCCGATGAGCCTATCCAACAAACCCCTGGCAGAGGCGTGCCGCAGATCCAAGTCCAGAGAGGATCTGATGAACGCAGTATTACACCTCCCATTCCTTCTCCTTCTTTCACTGGATTTCACTCTGCTCGATCATGGCAGCAGATGACCCCTGGTGTTGAGCTCAGCCGCGAGCTTGAAGGCCATACCCTCATCGGAGGAGAAACACCATCTGCTGTAGTTAATCGGGACGAGGATCCTTCCGTGTTGTCATACGCATCTGCAAATCAATCCTTCGCGGATGATCCTGAGGACCAAGAAATGCTTGGACATCAAGAGCATGATCGCCAGGTTGTCAACGAAAATCTCGCGCCGCCTGGCGAGTCGGGGGACAGCGGTCCTCAGTCTGGCTCGCTTTTGTCCACCATTGACCGTAACGGTAATGATGGTGCGTCTGATTCTGAGTCTCTGTTTGTGAAACAAGATACGCAGAGAGGAAATGACAATGCGACTCCCACCAGCTCTTCTGAATCGTGGAGAGAACTTTTGAACAGATTAAGAAATGGACCATCGGAGCCAGGTGACTCACTCGTCACCAGCCCAGCCGATAACAACGAAGACAACAACGACAACAACAATAGCGAAGGCGGCAACAGCGAAGGCGACGTCAGTGAAGGCAATCAGAGTCCCGAGCGGTTGGAAGACAGTGTGCAGCACTCCTACCTGGACCTCAATTTCTCGCCGCTTGACTCTCCACGGGCATCCACCTCGCGCTCTCCCAACCCACCAATGAGTGCCCAACAGGATTCCCAGTCTCAGAAACAAGCCTCATTTCCTTCGGCATTTGAAACAGAATCCCCTCCCGCATCTACTCGCTCCAAACTCTCCCAGCGGGTGCATGAATCCGAACCCGCCTCCCAAATCCCTGCCTCCCAGGCATCGGAAGTTATTGACCTTACTTCCAGCCCACGTGAATCACCAGAACCCGGCATCTCCAATTCGCACCCATCCCAGCGCTCCAAATCTGCAGTGTATGGGAAGTCACAACGTGATAAGGACATCCCTCGCTCGTCTGGACGTCCACCCCGAGCTTCTACGGGAAGACTCCAACACATGGTGGAAGTGAGTATTAGTCCTCCCAGTCAGAAGAAAAGGCGCTCGTCGCGAAAGTTCTGAAATATGGTTTATGGTTTATGGATCTTTAGTGAAAGTTGAAGAGATGTGGATGTATTGTTGGCATTTTACATTGTCTGTATATGTACGGACGCAGAGCGATGGCGTCTAGGAACCTTGCACATTCATTTTATTCCTGAACATTCTTTTATTTCGGCTCAAGATCAATGCAATCTTTATGATTATGATTATTCTAAATGTTCTTGCAGATGACAAAACACTGCCAGTAATGTCATGGTAGTTGTATACTTCAGGGAGGAATTATTTGGCGGCCACTTCCCCCCATCTACTAACCTATGTCCAAGTCGCAATCGAAGGGGAGATTACATGGTACTATATATATAGCTTGGTGCTTTGTGCCGAACATAAATAGTTCCACCCTTGACGTGACTAGAGTCAAACTATCATTCCCACAAGCCATAGTATAGGGTTTATATGTACGGGCGCAGAGTGATGGCTTCTAGGAACTTGCAAATTAGTTTTATTCCTAAATATTAGTTCATTTCGGCTCAAAGTCAATACAAGATATTATTCTGGATGTTGTAGATCATGACAACACCCTGCCAATGATTGGTTGGATCCAGTTATAAAGTGATGTCATGGTATAGTTGTATATACTTCCAGGTATTGCACGACATAACTTGAAGTATCTCACACCTTCAAAGCATTGCAGTCAATTGAACAAAGAAATCGGATTCATGTTCAAACAAGTTCTTCTTCCATATTTCCTTTTCCCTTTTAACTATGCACCGTCTAAGTACGTGGCCATCTCTCCAAGTATCCCGGCGGTGTAACTGTCTACTCTCGTCATTACGCCATATTCCCTCACCCCGCATATCCAGCTTACACTTGATCTCTTCTTCTCCTTCTTCTTCTTCTCTTTCTACTATCCCTTTAGTGTCTACCAATTCATCCTCATTTAACTCAATCCAATCCAAACGAAATATATCCAATCTATCCACAATGTCCCAAGAATACAAATTAAAAGACATCACCTCCTTCGCATCTCTGAACTCTCTAGACAAGATCGAGGCAGAAATCGAAGGCATTGAGGATGGGAAAGTTCTCCTCGTCAAGTTGGACGACAAAGTCCATGCCCTCAGCCCGCGGTGCACGCATTACGGAGCACCACTGAAGAATGGGGTTGTTACTGGAGATGGAAGGCTTACATGCCCGTGGCATGGAGGTGAGTTTCTTTGTTTGGATCCACTTTAAGCAAACGAAAAGAACAAAGAGCTAACTACTATATATACAGCCTGCTACAACGTCACAACTGGCGATGTTGAAGATGCCCCAGCCCCCAACGCACTGAACAAATTCGAAGTCTTCGAGAAAGAGGATGGCGTATACATTCTTGCGAAAGAAGAAGATGTCAAGGCAGGACAACGCAATCCAGTTGTGAAATGTAGCGTTTCACAGCCGAAGGAGAAGGTGGTTGTCGTTGGAGGGTAAGTCACATGTCTTTTTTTTTTACCTCATCATTGTGCACGTTTCGCGTGATATATCCCACTGGCCGATGAGTATGTATGGATGGGCGGGCATTTGGTCAAGCGGTTGTCGTTGGCGACGATTGGCGTACCGCTTGTTTGGTACCCGCCCATCCTCAGCTCGAGTGCCGCTTGATCTCGAGTTGCCGGATCGCCTCCGGGCGATGACTTTTTTATTTTGCGCTTTTTTTTGGCATGCTATTAAAATTGCTCGACGGTGCTCGACGGTGCTCGATAGTGCTCGATAGTGCCATGCCCGACGCTATGCCTGGAGCTGTGCCTGGAGCTCTACTCAGTTGCTTCACGCTGGTTCACGGTTGCTCCCCGGTGCCCCCAACAGTGCCACTCCATGTCTCATACCCCCTATGCACATGTTTCTACAAACCATCTTATCCGAATAATTAGATACCCACACTAACACCACACAGAGGAAGTGGAACTCTCGGACTGATTCAGGCCCTCCGCGAGCTGAAATACCCCGGGTCGATTACAATCATCTCCCAAGAGCCCGATCTAATAATAGATCGAACCAAGCTATCCAAAGCCCTAATCACAGACCCAGCCAAGATCCAATGGCGGCCACAAGAGTGGTACGCCGAAGCCGCCATAGAAACCATCACAGATGAAGTGACAGCCGTGGACTTTGAACAGAAATCCATCTCCACCAAATCCGGCCAGAACATCTCTTACACCAAACTAGTCCTAGCAACAGGCGGCGTCCCACGCAGACTCCCACTACAAGGCTTCAAAGGCGAGCTAAGTAACATCTTCACCCTCCGCACAATCCAAGACGTGGAGTCAATCCTTGCAGCCGCTGGCTCAGAGAAAAGAAACATCGTGGTAATCGGCAGCTCCTTCATCGGCATGGAAGTTGGCAACGCACTCTCAAAATCCCACAACGTGACAATAGTAGGCATGGAAACCTCCCCAATGGAGCGTGTAATGGGCACCCAAGTCGGCCGAATCTTCCAATCAAACCTAGAAAAAGCCGGCATCAAATTCAACCTCTCGGCAAGCGTAAGCCACGCAGCACCCTCCCCCTCAAACACCAAAAGCGTCGGGGCAGTCCACTTAAAAGACGGAACAACCCTCCCAGCCGACCTCGTCATCCTAGGCGTCGGCGTCCGTCCAGCAACGGACTTCCTTCGCGACAACAAATCCATCACCCTTGAAAAAGACGGCTCCATCAGAACAACTTCCCACTTCCTCGTGCCAGGACTGCAAGACTCCGTCTTTGCAGTCGGTGATATAGCAACATACCCCTACCACGGCCCTGGAGCTGATGCTGCTGGCTCGCCAGTCCGCATCGAGCACTGGAACGTCGCGCAGAATGCGGGACGTGCAGCTGCGCGAGCGATCGTCCATGCGCAACGTGGTCCGCTGTCGTCTCTGAAATATAAAGCGTTTATTCCCGTGTTTTGGTCGGCTCTTGGGGCGCAGTTGAGGTACTGTGGTAATCCGGTTAATGGGTATGATGACGTTATTTTGCAGGAGAAGGGGGAGGCGAAGTTTGTTGCGTTTTATACGTCTGGGGAGACTGTTGTTGCTGTTGCTACCATGGGGGTTGATCCGGTTATGGTTAAGTCTGCAGAGTTGATGAGGGTTGGGAAGATGTTAGGGAAGGGGGAGATTGTTGGTGGTGCCGATGTCTTGGCTGTTAAGGCCTAGTGGGATATGATGGGGCATTTGGGGTTTGGATCTTAAATGGATCACCTGCCGGAGATAGTTTGAAATGAAGTATTTTCTTTAAATGTTCAATTGGCATATACACATTCGAATTCGAACCGGAAAATAAGAACAAGCAAACCGGAACGCCCATCCAGGATGTAGTCAACAGTGATGTATGATATCGGTGCTCATGCAGACATGTATACAGAGCGAATTTATTCGTCCTTGCTCTTCGACTTGGAAGACTTGGACTTCTTTTCTTTTTTCTCGGTCTTCTCGGTCTTCTTCTCTTTCTTTTCCTTTTTCTCCTTCTTGGGGCTAGCCTCAAGATGCACATCCACAGTCGAGAGTTCCTGCACCGCCGACGCCGCCGGGACGTTCATCACGGGGATAGACCCAGAGACCTTCTGAGGTGATGAGAAGAACGACGGAGGCAAAGACTGTCCCTGGCGCTCAGACTCCAAGAGCCTCTCCTCCTCCTCAACAGAAAGCATAGTTCCCTCAATACTGAGGAACCCACGGTCCCGCTCAGAACCGGGGATGACATCCACATCAACGACACGGAAGCGTACAGAGCCATTCACGCGGTGTCCAGAAACAGACTGGAAATAACCGGTGTGAGCAGACTCATCCTCCTCCTCACCGTCGATCGCGATCTCCTCCGCAGAAAGCGTAGCAGGCTTGAAACATTCTTTCTCAGCGTCGAAATCAGCCATATCCTTATCAGAGCCCGAGTCGTCATCGGTCAAAGCCGGCGTCTCAGCCTCCTCGCCAGGCGGAACCCATTTCCAGTTCGAGGGGAGACGCTTGCGCTCAACGCCGACAGAGAACAAGTTGAACACGACAGCACCGAGGAATCCCTCAGACTGCACATTCACCCATCCATCGAGGGTCTGTCCACGCTTCGGCCGGAACACCAGGAACGTGGCAGTCAGGTAGACGTACAAGACACCGTACTCGTCCGCCGTTGTGGCGAGTGTAAGCGGCTGCGGGTTCAGATCCGAGGAAGCGCGAGGATGAGCAGGGGGCTTGCTTGAGATCGAGGCATTAGAGTAAGCCAAGACGACACCCTTCAGCGGGGGGAAGTAGGTCAGGAGCAGTGGCGAGAGATGCTCAGCCAGCAGCGAGGCCAGCGCGTGCGTCGGCGAGATGGAGATAGGCGACAGGGGCAGGTAGAGTGTTGCTGTTGTGAGGGTGAAGGGAGACTCGGGAGGTGAGTCTTGAAGTTGGTGTGGAGTCGCTTTTGAGGATGAGGATTGCTTTCGCTTTTTGGATGGTGATGCGGCGGATGCGTCCTTTTTGGATTTGCGCTTGCGCTCTGCGTCCGCTGTGCGCAGCGGCAGGTTGTCGATTTCCATTGCGTCAATTGCCATCGTGGAGGCAATTTGGGCGCTCCACGGAGCTTGTCGTGTCGATGTGGAGGGATTGGAGTGCTTCTTTTTTTTCTTTGGGCGTCGAGAACTTTTTTTTTTTCATTTGGCTTTTGGTATGACGAGAGGGGAAGGCGGTGGGTTTGGGCGGTGACGGAGCGTAAATGGCCCCGGGACTATTTGGGGAACTGCTATTTGGGGTTTATTGTTGTAAACGCCAAGTGGCGCTTAGGATCTATCTTTATCTTTTTGATTTCTGGTTTCTTTTTTGATATGGTGCAGTTGAGATTATTCAGGTGATATTGATTACTCGCCATGGCGTCGCTTCTGCCTTTCTTCGGATGGGCTGTTCTTCCCAATGTGAGTGGAGCGCGATGCGGAGCTATACATCTCGTGGAATGGAAGCTGATATGAATGACAGTATGCCACATCTTTCCTGCAATCTGTCTACTATGGCATAACAATCCGTGCTGGTGAACCCAAGCCACTCCCTCAGACCCCGCGATATGAGCGCCATCGTCGCCGTATCTTCATCTTTGTGATCACCAGTTACCTCCTCTACACGCTCTACGAGACCTTCTACCAGGTACAGGTTGCAGGTGATTACTACCAAGCTCTGGGTGTGTCACCATTTGCCGATGAGCGCGCAATCAAGTCGCGATTCCGCCGGCTCGCAGCTCAGTATCACCCCGATAAAGTCGGGCTGGACAGCGGGTCCGATGCCTACTTCCTGTACCTTCGCCAGGCGCAGGAAACATTGGTAGACCCGGTGAAGCGATTTGCGTATGACCGGTTCGGGACAGACATGCTCGGTTGGGGAGAGCAGAAGACCATGCGTGACTTCTTGATGACTTCGTTGGTCAAGTCGATTGTCCCGCAGTATATCGGCGGGTTTGTCACAACGCTTGTGCTTAACTGGTTGTGGTGGGCGAATTGGGGCCGTTACGTGAGTACACGGTATCCTTATGAGATGAGCTTCAATTACATCAGCTGACTGTTCTTAGTGGCGTTTCTACACGTTCGCCGCAATGCTGACCCTCGAACTTGGCTTGATTACGCACCCCCAAGCTGTGTTCATGCCTACCTCATACCTCCCCGTCGCGCTACAAGCCTGGCTCCCTAAAAACTCATTCTACCTCCTCCCTTTCCAGATCCTGACGCTAGCACGTCGCGCCTCCATCATGTTGCACATTTTCATCTCGCAGGCCGCCCCGCCCACCGCCAAAGTTGCCGGGAATGGGAACGGCGATAGGATATCGCCGCAGACTGTGCAGCGGATTAGAGAGTTGATCCAGTTGACACGCAGCACGGATATGGAGGCGACGCGGACGCTGCAGATGGGTCTGGCACCTTTCCGCGGTGACCGTGAGAGTGTATCAACACTCCGGCGGGGTATGAAGGAAGGGCTGATCCTCGGCGGGGTGCGGTCCAGTCCTGAGGTGCAACGTGCCGTGGCACAAGTGGTTGAACGACGCAAGGCTGAAGGTGACAGTAAGCGTGATTGATTGGATTTCAGGTGTAGACTTGAAACTAGAGAGGTTAGATAGTTTGTATATTTACATCAAGATATTGTATCGAAATTGTTTGTAATCGATAGGGATATGATTATTTGCGCCTCTGGACGATCCCTTGGCAGCGTCGCGTAATTTGGCAATTCTTTTGGTTCACCCGTGGACTAATCGAAGGTCAAGTTTCCGAGGTGGCGACCCGTAGTGCCGTACTTTGTAGGGGGGGCTTTGTGAGAAGACTCGTGATACCCTCACCAGATCTATTGCGAATGGGTCCACCTGGACTTGATCTCAAAGAGATGTGAGGTTTCTCTGTTTGTAAAAGATTCAAAGAAGAAAAAAAAAGGCGCATCTCTCGAGACATCATGCGGTCAGTGAGTTATTTTTCGGGACACAGCGGGTGTGGAAAGAGATCCATCAACGGGTTAGGGTTGGGTTATTTTGTAGATTGGACATGGGCTAGAATGCCGAGATTCTGTCTCCGAGAAAGGAATACCCAGATGGCCTTGATGACCTTGAAGATCTTGAAGATCTTGAATATCTTGAAGATGTATTCACCTATACAATAAAATAATCAGATGAAGATTCAAGAAAGAAAAAGAAACATTCGAAGTTGCCCAGGTGTACATGGTATATCAGTAATGTATTGTATTGTCACATCCAGGTATTGAGCTCTCCCGATCCCAAAGTGGCTGGCCAAAGTTGTAAGAAATTGAAAATGACAGTACACAGGCCGAAGTCCACACCTTCAACATATCCCCTGTGCTTCACGAATGAGTTTTTCTACGATGAGAGGGCCCACGATCCCTTTTTACTTCGCCCCTTCCTTGTCCTTTTCCTTTTTCCTTTTCCCTTCCCCCTCCCCCCTCCCATCTCCCTTACGGACTATGCGATCAACTACACATACTTCTACATCTATAAAAGACGGGCGGTAGAAACAAGACACACGTCACGGTGAATTGCCTACACTTCCGTCACCAGAAATTCCCCTCTCGACCATCCAACCATATCCGGTACCCTTCGCGCAATCTTCTCTCACCCCCCCATCATCCATCATGCCCGCCGCCACTCCAAATGGTCGCTCTCGCGCTGGAGCCAAGAATTCATCCAACTCCTTGATGGTGGTTTTAAAGCTATCGGGAGATGCTCTTCAGCAGTTCGCCAGCCCCAAGATCAAGTTCAGCCAAAATAATACCCCCAAAATTAAATCCAACGACAACTCATCACCAGCCTCATCCGCTGAGCTCCTTCCTGTCCGCCCATCTTCTGCCGACAATGGCTCCGATGCCGACGCCATTTCTACACCCGCCACAGGGGCAACTGCAGACGATACACCACGTCGGAAGGGAGTTCCGGGCCCTAAGCCCGGTAACAAAAGAACAAAGGAACAAACCGACCCTACTGCAAAGTCACGGGGACGCCCTGGCCCCAAGAAGAAACCTAGACTGTAAGCAAACCTAACACACCCTCCAATGCAGCACCCCAATGCCAGGGGGGGAAAACAGTTCAAAACTAACATATCATCTCTCTTAGTGATGAAGGCGATGCCACGAAAATTCCAGCTGCACAGCGCCTAGGACCAAAAGCCAACACCGGAGCCATCAATGCCGGTCTGCGCGCGCTAGACCGCACCGGAGCCGCGTGTCGCAAATGGGAGCGCAAGCCCCTACAACTACGCAGCTTCACTGGCATTATGTGGCAACTCCCTTCCTGGCGCACACCGGGCATGTCCAAGTCCGACGACTCGATCAATGGCAAGGTTGCAGCGATGGAAAGTGGCGACAGCGACACGAAGCCTATGCTGCATGCCCCCGGCACCGACACAGCCAATGGCAGCAGTGCTGTGCCTAGTGAGAAGAGTAACTCCGGGGATGGCGATGTCACCCCTGCTTCGCATCTCGTTGAGCCCTCGTCGCCAGCCATTGCCATGACAGCTTAAATACGACTCTGATGAGTTCGGATGTGGCTTTCGTGCTGTACTTATAGATTTCGCGCGTCCTCTGTTTCTTTCTTTGGGTTTATGTCGGGTTTGGGTTTGGCGTTCAAGGGAAGTGTTTACGGCTAATGGCTTTTCTGTATGAAGGGCTTGTTTTTTTTATGTGCACGGGGTTGTCAGCCGGGGATCTGGCTTATTTCACTGGGTATGTGTGTCCTGTATTATAGCCCTTTCTTTTTCTCCTTCTTCTTTTTCCTTCCCCTTTTTTTTGGCTGGTTATCAGCGATGTTTTTACCTTCTGTTCGAGGATCTTGCTCTGGGAGCATAACGCAGTTAATTTCGCCCAAGTTCTGGTTATACTCGACGGTATATGGCTATATACTTGGATCTACCTAGGTACCTAGTACTTAGAAGTATACATCTGAACAAAGTCCTTGTATGCCCGACTTTTAGTAGTACAGTAGCCGAGCTTTGATGTCCAAGTCCACATTAGCCCGTGATATTATACTCTTCTCCCCTCTTTCCTCCTCATCCCTGCTCCGTATAATATCCAGATCCCCTTTCCCCCGCAATCTATGCATCCAGGCGATTCGTGTTTTCCCCTCAAGATCGAGCTATCTCGCTATGACTAGGCTCTACACCTCTTTTTTTTTTTTTTTAGAACTCGGATCTAACGGCTTCGTATTTTCTCTTTTAATAGAATAGTGAGGTTGCGAGTCGGTAAGATCTGCTGCTTTCGGACCTGTCACGCAACGTCACCTTTCTGCTATGAGCGTCTTGTTTCCACGCATCTTTTGCTTATCTCGGACTTATCTCGGACTTCCTACGCACTTCTATCACAAGAAGAGCTTAATACCACGCATCCAACACGGTAATTTCAATTACCACGCATGAGGTTGCTATCTCCATTCAAACCACTACAATGGTTGATGCTTACTGCCACGCACGTACAGAACCCCTCAACTTAGTTGCGCCAGTCCCCAAACGAAATCAGAACTGTGGGCCCCCAAAGCCAGAAGCGAACAAACATAAACGCAGAAACGGTGGCCTTGATTTCGTGGCATCATTTGGGGGGCGACCCGCGAACATCATGGCCGATGCTCCCTTCCCCCCATCCGGTGGAGCTCAAGCTCCGACCTCATACCCCAGCATCTCCTCCATCCCACGCCGCTCCTCCTATGCCTCAGTAGTATCTGGCAACACATTTTCCCCACCAATCTCTAGTTCTTTTGCACATCTCCTCAACGACTCCCACCCAATCTTCTACCCCCCGTCCGACAGCCGAGTCTACCGGGCTCCGTTCGGCGTGGATGCCGCAGACATGCACATGAACTCCGCCTGGAGAAACACAGGTTCAACAGAGTCACTTCCTCCCTGGTCTCGCAAGTATGCCGGCTTTCTACGCTCGGCCGAGTTTCCGCACGGCCTAGGCCTCGGCGACACCCCGGCCTTCCTCACCCCATCCTACCTCCGCAACTCTCGCTACATCGCTCGTCTCGAGACTGCCCACCGCGCTAAGATCGCTGCCCAACAGCGAGATCCCTCATCGGCAACATCCAATCCTCCCCTCTCCGCCTCCGCCAGCAATGTTCATTTGCCCCGCATCGCCCCGTCGCACCGCGGCATGACACATGATCTCATAGAGAGAGAACCGCCTGCCCCGGCCGATCCCCTCATGCCCCTGCCTAGTCAGTGGAGTTCTGTAGACAAGTTTTCCGGCCTGGAATTGTCGAACGAGAACTTCGATGTGCGCTACACTGGTCCTATGCACAAGCATGACCATGAAGCTGCCGCTTTGCGCGCGGATCACCCCATGCCCCCGCAGTGCGGGATCTATTACTTTGAAGTAAAGATAGAGTCGAAGCCGAAGGAGGGGTATGTGAATAATCTGTTCGATAAATATTGATTGTCGAGGCTGACTTTCTTTTCTAGCATGATCGGTATTGGGTTTTCTAGCCCCAAGGCATCCGTCGAGAGGCTTCCCGGTTGGGAGACGGAATCCTGGGCTTACCATGGGGATGACGGAAAGTCATTCTTTGGTGAGAGTCAAGGACAAGGTCGAGCATATGGACCGACTTTTGGTGCTGGGGACACGGTCGGATGTGGCGTGAACTTCTCTACCGGATCTGCATTCTTCACTAAGAACGGTGTATTCTTGGGTAGGCTTATTTGTAGATTGTAATGGGAATATGTTAGGCTAATTTTGACAGGAAATGCTTTCCACGATCTGCGCAATACGAACCTTTACCCATCGGTCGGAATGAAGAAGCTACCACCAGTGCATCTTAAAACGAACTTTGGACAGGAGCCTTTCGTTTTTGATATCGACGGCATGGTCAAGGTGCGTGCTGGCTATACATACTCGGAATTTATCAGGCTAATTCCCAGCAGCAAGAGAGAGGCAACGTGCTATCAGAGATTAACAAAACATCCACGGATAGTCTCCAACCACCGTTGGACGAGTCGACACTTTTGCAAGAGTTGGTCGCGCAGTTCCTAGCCCATGACGGCTACGTAGACACAGCCCGTGCATTCGCACAAGAGGTAGCCACCGAGACACTAGCTCTGCAGAACGGCCGCAACGAGCCACTGAAGAAATACGAGGTCGAGGAAGACCGCGAAGCCATCAACCGGAACAGTAAGTCTACCCCTCTACATTCCTCCCAGCGCCAAGTCCCCACTGACAGCCTATAGAAATCCGCTCCGCAATTCTAGACGGCGACATTGACAAGGCCCTCAAGCATACCAAAGCCTACTACTCCAACGTCCTAGAAGACCACCCGCAAATCCACTTTAAACTGCGCTGCCGTAAATTCCTTGAAATGATGCGGCGCTCCAACGAATTGTCCGCGGCAACCGTCGCGAAGCGCCGTCGCTCGACATCCTCCAACTCGCACGAGCATGCCGTCTTCGATCAAGAGATGGAGCTCGACGACGGGGATGGCGACGCCTGGGCCGCAGACGGCATGGACACGGAAGAACCCGAGGTCGTTGCGCAGTTCAACCAGCTCCTCACAGAGGCAGTACAGTATGGCCAGCAGCTGCGCGCTGATTACCCCACTGACGAGAATGGCGGCGACAAGAAGCTGCTGGATGATATCTTCTCGCTGGTGGCGTATCCTGATCCCAAGAGATCTGTGCATGGCCATTACCTCGATGCTGAGGGGCGGGTGGCTGTGGCTGAGGAGTTGAACTCAGCTATTCTTGGTATGTTGCTTGGTCTATTTATCCTGCTTCTTTATTCACTTGCTTTGTCTGTGTTTCTACTTGCAAGCAACAACGCTAACATAGCACTGTATAGTCTCATTGGGCAAATCATCTGCTGCAGCGTTAGAAAGGCTATATCAGCAAACTGAAGTGCTGGTTAACGAGATTAGTGAAGACGGTGGCGCTGGGGCGTTCATTAATGTTCGGGATGATATTCTGCTTTGATTGGCGCTGGGTTAGGGTCTTGTTCGTCCCTTTTTTTGCTTTTCTTCACTAATGTTCCTTTATTGTGGAGGAAGCTACCAATCCCAGATGTTTCATGTTGACTTACTTCTACTTTCATGACTCTCTGCTTCTTGTGCCCAGATTTCCTTTGTGTCAAATTAACTTCTACGTATCTCTTAGCCAGAATGATGAGTCCCTCGGGGATTACTTTTGAATGTTTGATAGAGACCTATGTTCCTCACTTTTTGCCCTATTTATTTGAACTTGAATGCATCTTTATGTGCTCTCAGTATTCTGTTAGCTTATTATTAGAACACCTTTCAGCGCGCCTAGGCACTAGCAGCAGCATTGTTGTGTATAATTCTTTGTGACGTCAACTGATTCTATACTTAGATAGGCGGTGAACCTTGGCAATATAAAAGCGGTAAGGCGCTCGTGAACACCTGGAGGCTTATCTCATCAGAGCTGAATTTGGAGATCTCCGCTTTCTCAAATCAAATGGAGTTGATGATATTCTGTGATACCTCGAAGTTGCAAGGTTCTCTGATGATAAGGCCTCCCCACACACTCAGCTCCCCCAAGGGGCCACATTCTTAATGGATCCTCCACATAGCGCTGAGATCCTCAGCATTCCTACCCATTCAAGCGCTTCCACCACCCTACGTTGCTGCTGTGGCCGCAATGATTGTGCTTTACTCGAGCATAACAATGTAGCTCTCGAGGGCTTAGAGAAAGATTTGGAGACTGCTGCTAGGCTAGGTCAGGTACGTATCTTTTTTTCAATATTAGCTGCCCAAAAATGATGTGCTGTTCGTTGGGTATGACAAGACGCCAAGCTGTTTCTGGGCTGGCTGATCCATGCATGTTTGATACATCAAATTCCTCGCACAACTTTGTATCTTATTGCTTTTTTTTTGCTTTTGCCCTTTCATTTATACCACTCGGACTACTCCGTACACATTCTGCATACCTTGTGCAGACCCACCATTTGGAACCAGATGGCTTCCCTCGGATCACGATCTCCCATTCTCTCGCACTGCATTAGCGTTCGTCATGGCTACCTTTCATGATTATACTGCTAAGGCAGCATGTTTTGAAGCATCATCACTGACTTTTGCTCTACAGGCCTTGCTCCACCGTCATGAAAGCTATATGGCTGAAGCGGAAGAGGACCGTCACAGGTTGGTCGACAGCATTGACAATCTAGAGCGCGAAAAGCAAGAAGTGCAAGCAGAAAATGCGCGCATCATCGAAGAGAATCGGAGTTTATTAGAGCAACTTGACAGTTTAAATCAAGCGGTCGCCGAGTCTGACAACCATGTCAAGTCCCTAACGGTTACTTTGGAGAAGACGGAGTCTGAGTTGCGAAGATTGACAGCAGCTGCAACGCGTGCCGCAGAGCTCGAGGCGCAACTAGCTCTCATGGAGGTAGAGCAGTCTAAGCTCCAAGAGAGCCTTGTGTCAGTGCATGAAGACGAGAAATCAGCCGTCCAACGGTGGAGACAAGCAGAAACCACATTGCGAGACCTTCATGATCAAGTCGACCGCATCGAGAAAGAAGCACGCGAGGAGAGAGATCGGCATACAGACCTCGTCCAACGCATGGAGCGCAAGAGAGCTGTGGAACGCGAGCTAGACAATGCAGCGGGGCGTCTCAAGGGTGCCGCTGCCGCCTCTGAACTCAACCGCAATGCTGGTGGTACCAACGTGGTCTCTCGCTTCGTCAAGGATATATTGCAAGACAACGCCAATCTGCAGGTCGGAATCATGGAGCTACGCGACATGCTCCAGAGCTCGAATGAAGAAGTGCAGAATCTACGGGAACAGGTTATCTCTCATCAGCCGCTGGCCGGCGTCGATGAGGAGGATAATTTCCAACCAAGGCATTCTACTACGCTGAGCGAGGAGCTACGAGCGAAGGAAGAACGACGGGTGTCTCAGGAGTTACACATCCATCATCATTTCCACACACCAAGTCCAGCTCTAGCTACAAAGAAGGAGAAAGCCACGCTCAACCGTCGCCTGAAGAAACGCCGCCCTGCTCTTGGAAGCCCGGTAGCAATGCACTCTGCGATGCGATCACAGTCCCCCCGAAGAGCCCTTCATCGCTCTCAGTCATCTGGATCCTCTATGTCAACCATTTTGTCGCAAACCTCTGTATCCATCCCACCTCATTCGTCCTCCCGCCGCTGGTCCTCACAATCACATGCTCCGGACTCGCTAGCAAGCTCTCCTCGGTCCGCGTTCAGGACATCATCAATATTTGATCGTGTTGAACGTGGCGCTGATTTCTCTCAACCTACCAGCCCGGAAAGCGCCGTGTTCTCTTCGCCTTTGATGCAGACACGGAACCTGAAGGGTCTCGATATACCACACCAGTCAATGGGTGGATTTGATAACCACGATGCACCTGACTACCTATCCGCATATGAAGATGATTGCTACGGCCGCCAAGACTTCTCGAACTTGGGTGATAATGCCACACGAGAGCCAGCTATTCCAGAAGAATCCGAGCCATCTCCATCGGCGCCATACTTCTCGCCCATGGGTGAGCCACTGACGACCACCGATGACCTTTTTACTATGCATGTACAGCCTTCATCTTTACGCAGATCTTCTTCTCATGACAGCTTGCTCTCCATTGCTGGAATGGATATTCACACACCCACCAGTCGCCACAAGCGAATGGGTGACTGGCATCCGGGTATGCGGATTCCTCGGCGCATCCTGTCACCGAGTGTCCAACTATTATCAACACCCCCTGTAATATCAGCCCCAGCCATCACAGCCGATCGTGCAAAGAGCTCAGAGCACACATCCCAGGCATTACTTGCTTCCATGGCCGCGGTAAATCAAACCAAGTCCGACACAGCATCCATTATATCCACAGACACCGCCAGCACCGGCTCAACCTCAACCCTTGGGCCCCGAAAAGCTACGACGTTGGGTCGCCGTATGGGAGGCTGGGTCCTAGGCCGCTGGGGCGTAGCACCAGTCTCAGCCGACAGTGAATCTCAAGATCCGACAGACTCGCCAACCCCGTCTGTGGCATCATCGCCTTCTACATCGACATCTACGCCCAAACTCGTTGACCCGCTGGCTCTCCGCTTCAGACACCCAGGCGTAAACCAGAAGGGTCCGATAATGGGCCTGCGGCCTCCACCTCCCGCTCCGATCTCCATTCATGCACAAGGCATAGACGAAGACCTGTTGCGAGAGAGTCTAGCCGAAAATACTCTCTAGGTTCCTCGCAACCTAAATACTTGCACATCCATTGTTCTTTAGCGCTCACACTCGTTTTAATCTTGCATCTATTATTACGTTTTTTACTTTGCATACTGCTCGCATGGTTTTGTTGCATTTCTTGAATTCCTGGTTTTAAATGGCGCGAGTTGCGATGATACCCATGCTTTCAACTTTGGCTTCCTAAACTTGTCTAGATGATACGATGTACACTCTTTGGTCCTTTTACAAAATATGTTATAACAGGATCCTTTGGCTAAGACTTAACTTCATAGAGCACCTCAATGCCATTGGAGTTTTAATAGTCAAGATGATGGAGTTGAACAACTTTGCATAGAGTTCCCTTGGAGCTAGTTATATACAGTAGCAACAAGTTTCGTGCAACCTAACTTTTCCTTCATTTGGATGATATCACATTCTCTCTATTCATACTCATTACCTCGTGATGTAGACGCAGTTCAAGTGGCTGCTTATTTCGTCCTCGAAATCCGATACGTCCGGATTGGGATGCTGGTCGAATGGAAGAAACCCGTCTGGTCCTCTGATGGTGTAGATTCGAACGGGAGAGTTTCAACATCGAATGAGTTGGTTTCTGTAGATGGTTAGCACTTCATGTGATATGACCATGAACGTAGTGTATAAATTTCAAGACTCACCACAGGCATTCAAGAACGTGCGGAAAGTATCCTCATTGCGCAGAGTCGCAGCAATGATAAATTCTTTGATGTGGTAGTTCTCAAAAAGATCCCGCACAGTAGACAGGAGTAAGGGAACAAGATCGGTATCGTAGATCTAGACATGTGAGCACGAAAACCAAATAGACAGCCTATGAAAACACCTACCAGATCAGCACCGAGGGCAACATCAAACCTCAGCCCAGTCCCCTCCTCGCCCTCATCAGGACCCAACCCAGCAAGATCCCCCTCCCTCACCAACGGAGTCCCCCACTCCCAAACAGCAGGATAAATAGGAATAGACTCCCGTCCCTGCAGATTATGCTTGATACAATCACGAATATTATCAATAAGCGCAGGCTCGCGATCAGTAACAACAACAGAGCGCACACCAAGATGGCGCGCACAAACAAGCGACAAGAAGCCCGTGCCAGCACCTAATTCGATAACGCGCTTACCGCGCACAAGAGCCTCGCCCGTCTCGGATGCCAGGAATGAACCGAGGTGCAGAGCAGCCTCCCATGTTCGATTTCCGGTGGTTCCAGCGGACAGAATCAGGCCACGCGATTCAGAGGTCGTCACAGTGCGCTCAGGGGAGATTCCCGCGTTGGATGTTGGCGCTGTGTACTTCACTAACGACAGCTGCTGTGCCTGTTGCAGGGCTGAGGGTTTCGGCTGTGAGACTAGTGTGCTCCAGCTTTCCATGAGATCGTTGTTGATCTCCTGTGTTCATGGGAAGGGAAGAGGTTAGATAGGTGGAAAATCAAGCAATATAAAAAGGTTTTGCATTGTGAGGTGGATGTACATGGGATAGAAAAGGAAAAGATAGGAAATTCAAAGGGAAAAAGCAAAAATGAAAAACAAAGGGATTAAAACAGGTGAGCAAGCATACATCCTCCTCGGGGTTGGTAATTGATTCCTCGATGCGCGAGATAATCTGTTTCAGCACTCGGCTTCGGTAGCTGTCTGGTGGGATAGAGAAGACTGCATTTTCGTTGAACATGCGCTCGTACAAAGCTGCTTGCACGGCTGGCTGGATAAGCACAGGACCTGGTGGGAGGGCCAAGTTCTGGAGCTCGACCAGCTGAAAATACTGCGCTGCTAATTTATCAATAGAGTCGATCATGGTTGTTGAATGAACATAGTAATGAATTTGATATTGCAGGAGATCAATGCGGCAGATATCATTGGAGCCCGGGGTGGAAGAGAGTGGATGAGTCAGGAATGAGATAAGCAAGGGCTGATCAACACTTTCAGCCTCAGGCACTCACTTTCTTAGTCATTTTAGCCTGAGGCATACGACTCAAATAGGCTAGCGTCTACCCTAGCCGAGCCCACACCACACGAAAATTGAAAGTTCGACATCCTCAGAGACCCCGTCGACACTTCCTCCATCCAACGCACACACCAAAATGGCCGACTCTCCCGTCACTCTGCGGACTCGCAAGTTCATCCGCAACCCTCTGCTTGCCCGCAAGCAGATGGTCGTGTAAGAACCCCCCTGATTTTCCCCCTCGTTTTGGATCTGTGTGTGGGAAATGCATCGCAAGCGCGCAATATGGAAATTCGACGACCACCCAACACAAAGAGAAAGAGCAAAAGGAATACAATCGGAATACGCAATTCGCACACACACAGACAGAAACAAGCATCGAAAAACCAGAACACCCCGATCTGACATCTTTTCGCGAATATCTAGGGACGTCCTCCACCCCAACCGCCCCAACGTCTCCAAGGACGAGCTCCGTGAGAAGCTGGCCGATCTGTACAAGTCCAACAAGGACCAGGTCTCCGTCTTCGGTTTCCGCACACAGTACGGTGGTGGTAAGAGCACCGGCTTCGCTCTGGTCTACGACTCCTCCGAGGCCCTGAAGAAGTTCGAGCCCCACTACCGTCTCGTCCGCATCGGTGCCGCCAGCAAGATCGAGAAGGCTTCCCGCCAGCAGCGTATGTTTCTCTTCGTCTCCCTTCGCCATGGCGATTATCAATCGCAAAACATAATGCTAACCCCTTTCTTCTCTCCTACAGGCAAGCAACGGAAGAACCGTTCCAAGAAGTTCCGCGGTGTTGCCAAGGTCAAGGGCCCCAAGAAGAGCAAGGATTAAGCGCCTCATCTGTAACTATTCGCACGATTCAACATGGACCGATGATGCGGCATGGCGCGATGGGAAAGATTATGGCGGTGACGGCTTTGGCTCTGGAGTTACCCACCTGGTTATGGCTTGTCCGGACCCAGGTGCGGTCGGTCGTGTGTGGGGGGAGTGGTTTATCTTCCTTTTCAGCGAACATCAGACTAAAACCCAAAATGATGCCCGTTGAATGGTGAAGATCGTGGACGGATACTCTTTTTTCTTCCTGTGCTTGTTGGAGCTGGTGATTCCCGAGAAAAAAAAAGACCTGGCGATCCCCATGGAAATTTAAAACAGGGCGTCAGTGTTGTGGTTCTTTGTGTGTATGTTTTTTTTGGGGAGGGGATCATCAGTCTTCGTGAAGACGGCCAGGGTTATGAGAATCCGGGCTTCGGCTGTTTGCCCGGGATGAAATTACATTTTACTTGTTTCTCTTCACTCGGTCTGATGGTCTTGTAGCTTGTACTTGTACGATTGTACTTTTGTACGGGGTCATGTCTGGATGTGATGTAGTCCGATCTGCAGACTGTAGACTAAAGACCCTCTGCGGCGTAGTCTAGGCTCAGTCTATATCAAGCCATGTCCCCATGCCCCTCCATGTTCTATTTCTATGCTTCAATGTGGAGTGCATACGATGTCACGATACATGGTTAACACAACAGAAGCATATCTAACTTGATCATCGATGTAACATTCAGCCCTCTTCTTGCCTATATCAACGCATCATATCAATACATAAAGCCAAAGAGTGAAATGATCATGGTAGCCCCTCGGCCCCCATAGCCAAAAGCTCAATCTGATCCTCCAAGAACCTCTCCGTCTCAGTCAATTCATTCCCCTGCGCAAGCAGGTAGTTTGTAGAACCAGCTTTGTATTCGATACTTCCAACACCAGGACCTAGAACAATACGCCAAGCCAACATATACCCAGCGACATTCCACGCCACCTGCTCTATTCTATCCGAGAAGACAGGGGCATGATAGTCCTGTGTATCTTGAATTCTCTTTTCCCAGTTAGTGCTCCACTGATTTACCCAAGCATCATACATCTCCAGCACTGAAGGCGGGAACGAGACGAGTTCGTCTTGTGACTCGGTGTATCCTTGCACGTCCTCTGTAATATCCTCAACAGCTCGCCAGATAAAGTCGGTTCCATACTCTGGGAATATGCGGTAGTGTCGAGGCGGGGTTGATTGAGGCTCGGGAGGAGGGGGCTCAAGTGTCGTCATCTCGACTATTAAGCCGTCAGACTCGGTTGTGATTTTGAGTATGAAATCAAATGTTGTTTGTATGACTGTCGTTCTCTCGGATTCTGTGCAAGGTTCATCGGGAAGGGTGCGCCATGCGTTGCCTAGGTTCTTGATAGATTTGATGTATTGCTGGGATTGGGATTGGCGGCTGAATACAGCGAGAGGTTTGAGGAGGCTGGATGTCATGGTTCCTGTAATCGGTGCGTCCACTAGTCAGGTGTGGCAGCTTTGGATAATGCGTGTGGTGTCTACGGGCGGAAAGTCATTGTCTATAAGTGTATATTTTAGTGGTCTACGCTCACTTTGAGTCAAACGCAGGCGTTTATAATGTCTTGATACAATTTTATGTGGACCAATGGTGGTGGCATGGCGGGCAAGGGAGTGTCTATTAAAAGAAACACTAACCGCCTTGGTCTGAACGATTGGTCCTCATTTTCGGAAAACAAAATGTTAGTAGGCGCAAGCATACTTATCAGGTTCTTTTTGTATTTCCGAGATTTGATCTCAGGAATATCCTGTCAAAGCGTTAGGTTACATGTGGGAAACCTGAAACTTACTAAGACGCTTAAGCCCTAATTCGGAGTCAACACTCATGTTATACCTGCTGAATATTGCAGCTGATCATTGTCCGGGCAATCTAACACTTGTGATTAATTAAAATGGTTTTTTAAGAATGGCGATACTTTATCCAGATATATAGAGTAAGCAAAAGACGTAGCTCCGGAGTGTCTGCCTACATATACAACAACGATCTACATCTCACTACGTCCAAATCAGCTAAAATCGAACTAATCCCCCAACTAACCACTTCGATTATAAAAAAAAGAACAACAAACCAACACATACAATGCAGGAACCGACTCTCTAAACTAAACTATCACATCTAACAAAGACCTCGAACGTCGAACGGAACCCAGCCGGGACGGGCTGTGTAAGGATCGCTTGTACGATGGGACAGATTACACAACCTTGACCAAATTCCCTTTCCTTCAAATATTCCCAATATTACTCTTTAATTTTGAATTCCCATATGGAAATACCACATCCCAATTCTACGTGGACTTGTTCAAGTTAGGATACTGGTCGTCTGACTAGATATGTGAGATACCTATCTACTACCGTAGGATTTCCGACAGCCAAGTACCCAAACACGTCCATGGCAGGGTTGTATACGACATGGCCGGTTGGATCGTTGTATCACTGCATCCTAGTTCAGGGCGGGAGTCAGGAGTTCGCCGATGTACAGATTTGTGTGTTACTTTCTGGTTAATTGGGAAGGATCCTGGTGGTGGTCTGGGGGTGCAGGTACATGGTTAGCCCTGGTTTGTATTTGTGACTATGAGGATGGGTATGGATACATGGGGATCGGGGTTATTATATGTATTGTAGTATTGGGGGATATGGTTGTTAGCTCGGAGGTTAAATTAGATGTTGGATTGAGATATAAATACTCGAGTAAGGGCACATATATTAGATTTGTAAAAGACATTACTTAGATAGGCCGTACAAGGCAAATAAGAAATACCCTCCACGCCTTGAAGAATGGCTAGAAGACAGAGGACTAGAATTCAACAGTTCCCCCAAGTCATTGTCTGTTTGAGACATGGATATCACATATCACAGACAGACCGGAGAGTTGCTCATAGTAACAATAGAAAATAAGACATTCCATCAAAACTAAAAGACACATGGCATAATAAAGCATATTTTTGAAACAGACATAGAACCACAGATATAAATCACTGCATGAAGCCCCTCTGGGGTATTAGGGGGTGATCTTGGACGAGTATGACAGGATAGGCATCTCATTGTCATCCCTCCATTGGATGTTTTTTTTCTTTTGGATGAACATAAGCAGACAAACTGAAAAAGACGAACGAGCAATAGAATCGAAACAGAACAGAACAGAATCAACAAAAAAGCAAAGCGACAACAAAAACAGAAAATCAAAACAGACATGAGAAAGGCATTACATGGACAGAACAAAGGCAGATGTAAACGGCCTTGATATGGGTATCTCTTTTGTGTATCTTGTGGGAAAGAAAGAAACCAAGCAAGAGACCGACCGAGAAAGAAAAATGAGAACAGCGAAGACCACAGGATTTGACAGGGTAGGAAGGCATACACCTCGCGTTCGAAAGGCATATTGAAGTCAACTCAATACGCCCCCTGATGACCGAGAGGAGAAATAGGCGAGCGGTGGAGACTATCAACAGACCGCCCATAATCCGACAAGCCATCAGCTGAAAAACCATACGGTAGAGCAACCGCCGAGTCCGCATGTCGAACACGCGTGTAGGGCAAACCATTAACAAGCGTCGGCGCCGAGCAGCGCAAATCACCCTCGACAACGCCCCTGGACTTCCGGCGCTCACTGCCAGCATACCCATACACATCAGGTGCACAATTTGATGTCAGTGTGAGCAGACGCTGTCCAACGCCAGCATCGCGTGAGAATGTGCGTCCTAGGCGTGCATCAGTGTTGTACTCGCCCACGAGAGTGTTCTCTATCGTGTCCAGGGCTGGGTAAGGGGGGTTTGCAGCGGAGGAGGTCATGGAAGATGAGGATGAGGCTGTGGGGAGAGGGGAGGGATCTTCTGCTGTGGACATGGGGATGTATCCGAAGACGAGGTCGGATGATCCGTCTTCCGAGTCGTTGGACTTGATGCGAGATGAGGGACTGACGTTGTAGAGACCGTTGCTTGAAACGGTGGACATGGCCACTGTGCGGCCGTCTGGGGAAGTTGCGTAGCGCGGGTTCCAGCCCTTTGGATCAGCCGCTAGGGTCATACCCGAGAGGCCGTCTGGGAGGGTTGAGAGGTTGATGTTTGACTGGGGCTGGCTTCGGCAGGTTGGGGGTGTTGGGAGGGTGCGGTCTACGACGTCTGCGTAGGCCGTCATTGCACCTGTTGACTGGGGCATTTCGGTGGACATGCCGTGACCTGGGAGGACAAAGCCGTATGCAGCTTGGTTCATGTTGCTTTGCTCTTCGAAGAACTCGCCGTTGGTGGGTCTGCCGTGAAGATCCCAGGTGCGGTTGCCCCATGCGGTGCCATAGTCGAGCATTGCTCCCGAAGTGCTGGATAGCATGTACCCTGGCGATGTCTGGCCGTGGTAGTTGGTTGCCTGGTCATCATAGGAGTGGTCCATACCGACGAGTTGCCGTGAAAAGTTGGACTGGATATCCAGTTCGTACTCTTCTCGTTGGTATGGAGCCCGCATTTGAGGGGAGCCCATGAGAATTGACCGTCCCTGACCCTTGTTTGCATAAAGTCTCGCTGCTTCTCTAGCAGCGTCTTCGGGGGCCAAAGAGTTGACCTAGAGAGTAAAAGGAACAAGGTCAGTGTGATTCTTTCGCTGTGGGTATTGTGAATTCGAACTTACTCGTATGTACTGGCACTCAGTAGCTCCAACACTACGGCAGCTGGAGCAAGCCAGACCAGTATTGAGATCACCATTGCACTTGATTTTTCTCTTCCGGCATCGGTTGCACTGATAGAGGTTAGAAATTGCCGGGTGATCAAGATGGAGAGAGTATACATACTGCGACTAGGGCTCGCTTTCTCTGTTTCCGTGGCTTTTCATCTCGCTCTACAACTAGACTGCGCTCCTGCTTAGCCACACGCATCGAACGAGCCATAGAAATGGTTGAGTTGTGCCGGGCTTGGTCTAGTCCAGACATATTGTCGTATGTGCGATCCATGATATCAAGAGTAACCCGCACTGTTCAGCAAAGTCAGGAATATCTAAGGAAAAGTTCACAGTGAATGTCCTAAGTCAATGTTTATGGGAAGAGGAAAGTGAGAAGTAGAAAATGAAAGAGATGTCTCTGGGAAAGAGGGCTAGATTTAAGCCTAAGTTTTGCTAACAATCGGTGTGATTGATTGCCTTTCTTTTTTTTATATATAAAATATAGATATGCGATATTTTTGCCCCCTGCTTTTTTTTTTCTCTAAGTGTATTATTATTATTCTATCTATGCTGTCTGTGTGTCTGTGTGTTTAGATCCATTTGGGTAGAGAGAAGACATAGTACATGAACCAAAAGTACCCTGGACCTGGTTTCTTTTTCTTTTTTCTTAATAAGAAATATATATTCTCTATTATATTCTATATTCTCTATTATTTCTTCCTTTTTTCAAGGGGAAAGATGATATGCAAAGTTCCGGGTTCCCCCAGTTGTCCCAGTTATCCCCAATTATCATAGTTGTCCCCAGTTGTCCATATAAAACAGAAAATTGTCCGTAAAAAAAGAGGTTTCACAACGTAACGTCACACGGACATGACCTGATAGCCATGACGAGAATAGAGTCCTCCGGTAGGGTAGTGTTTCACCCAATTTGAAGAGCACCTTTTTTTCTTTTCTTTTCTTTTTTATATATGGAAGATCAAGAACTTGGTGTATCTCATCCAAGAAAAACGGGCAACTGCCGAACTGTTTGCAGATACCTGACGATCCGCGGGGGAGTATGATCCGACGTCCGAAAATGTTTGCTCAATGCTTTTGCCCAGAAAATAGTCCGAACTTCCTCGAGGCCTGGGTCTTCCTATCGCCATACTCTCTCCATCTTGCAAACGGTTCAAAGAGAACAGAAATAATAATGAAAATAAAAACAAACGCCTGTCTCAGTATGCTTCAAATGTCTCAATAGAGAAAGGGAAGAGAAAAAAAAAAGAAAATATAAAACCATAAATCTCTCATGACACCTGTCACTTTCACAAGCGCACGAGTTGACTTCCCCGAGCCAAGCGCGCTCTAGAAAAAAGTCAGGGATCAATGATCTAAAAGGCTGATCGACGACATGGGGGGTCAATCCCAGTTGTTCTTTAGCGCTTCCGGTACGCAGCTCGATCGAAAGGGAAGGAAAAAGCAAATCAAGTCCATAAAATGAGGAAGGGATATAGTACTGAGCCAGTATACTGGGACTGAGGATACTCTGATGAGATCCACCAGATCTTGATCAATCGATCGACGCTAAAGGCTAAAAGGGGGAATCTAGAAGTGCTGACTAGGATGCATGAACTTCTGGAATACTTACAAGGTTCATATATTGCGACTTGGAGCTAATGTATGACATGGCCCAAAGAATTAGAAGGGGGTTCTCCAAAATTAGTGCTCCTCTTATCCCAACTCATGCTATTCAAGACATCCAGTGTCAGGACACGAGAGACAGAGAAAGAAAAAGAAAGAAAAACCCAAAACAGTGGGGAAGGCAATCAAAGTCGGGGTTTCAAATACAAATCTAGACCCCCATGGAGTCTCTAGCAGGTATTTAAACAACTTCCGGCAGTTCAAGGTTTGACGATGCACAACATCCGGGGGGGAGTGGGAATTGCGATTCAAGGAGTCAGGAGAAATAAGCCCTGGCTACGCCCAGCTGACTCTAGAGTGGACTCGCCAGGAACACATGTTGGGATTGAGACTGGCTTTTGTTGCAGACGATACGGTGGAGGCAACCCCTGGCTGGCTGACCGGAGCTCCCTAGAATCAACAAGGCAAGAGAGTCTAGGAGTCTAGGAGGCTCATTCAAGATTGATCATATCCCATCCCACGTGTGTGGCTCTTTTTCAACAAGTTAGTCTGTGGTGTTGATGATAGCCCGTTGGATCCTGCTGCAGAAGGCCGCCCGTTTCCCCTTCCCAACGTTTCTGTTGTGGAACAGCTCACGGGGGAAGATGATACTTGTCCTAGCAAAAGGAGGACCGTGTACCTCCCGTGGAAGCTGCGAGACGTTGCCATGATCTTAGTAGGGAAAGAGAGAGAGAGAAAGCGAAACAGTACAACAAGGTGTGGGTTAGTCTCTCCCAGGATTTGGCAGTGACAATCCGTCATTCTCGAACTTCTACCAAGAAATGATGCTTCTTTTGGCTGGGCCTGCTGCTGCATGAGGGATATAAGCACACAAACAGTTCAAACTTGGAATCCCAGGGTCGATCAAGGCCCTTAATAAGATCCGCTGCACGTCGATCTCAAAAGCGTAAGGTTATGTCCATTATGTCCAACGGGGACATTCGGAAGATATGCAGCTTGATTGACAAGCACCGTTGTACAAGTCTCGGGTCGATCATCCGGAGAGCCCTAGAGCGGTTGCGCAGCACGTACCCATCGGTAGATTCGTGGAAAATCTTCTGTAAAAAAAGAAATAGGGAGAACAGGAAAAAAGAAAAAGATAGAAGAAATAGAAAACAGAAAAAGAAACACAGAGGCTCAGTTCCCTCCGGTTGGGGATCCCCGCGGGCGGTGATTGGTCGAAGCTCCGATCTTCTGCATTTCGCATTTCGCATTTCCCGGATTCTCACATTCACCAGTCTCTCTCTCTCTACCTGTCTGTCTCTACCTACCTCTTTCTTAGTACTAAATCAGTGTTTGTCCAAGTTTGTCGACCAAGCGCCTAATTAGGTGTCTCGCGCCCGATTCCCCGCCATGAGCGCGCTTTTAGAGACCTCCCTGGGCGATATTGTAATTGACCTGTTGGTCGATGATGCACCCAAGGCGTGTGACAAGTGAGTGACTCCGTTCCTTGGCTTTCCCACTTTGCTGAAACCTGAAACTAAGCTCATTTGGTGTGCTTTTAGCTTCTTGAAGCTATGCAAGCTCAAGTACTACAATTTCTCGCCCATCCATAGCGTCCAAAAGAACTTTACCTTCCAGACTGGCGACCCGCTCGGCCCTGATGCACCCGAGAGTGATGGAGGATCTTCAGTCTGGGGTCTGCTGGACGGACCAACGAGAAGAACATTTCCACTTCAGGTGTCGCGCAAGTTGAAACATTTGGAACGCGGCACGGTGAGCATGGCAACGGTACCGGCCAAGAACGACCCCGACCAACGGATAGCCGCCAGTCAATTCATCATTACACTTGGAGACAATCTGGATTATTTAGATGGCAAAGCCGTGATTTTCGGCAAGGTCGTCGAGGGCTTCGATGTCCTGGAGAAAATCAATGAATCCTTTATTGACGACCGAGGTCGACCGCTAAAGGATATTCGCATTCGTCACACTACTGTCCTTGATGATCCCTTTGATGACCCGCCCAATCTGGTTGAACCACCTGAAAGCCCGGTGCCCTCTAAAGCCCAATTGGCCACGGTGAGAATCGCGGACGATGAGGACTTGGATGATGATATGGATGAAGAGGCTATGGACAAGTTACGTCGCGAGCGTGAGGCTCGCGCGCAGGCACTGACATTGGAAATGGTGGGAGATCTACCCTTCGCCGACGTCAAGCCGCCAGAGAATATTCTTTTTGTTTGCAAGCTCAATCCGGTCACACAAGGTTTGTCGCATTCCCCCAGGGAGCTGTGAGATTGCGCTAACCAATGCTAGATGAGGATCTGAATCTTATTTTCAGCCGCTTTGGAACGATCTTGTCTTGCGAGGTCATTCGGGACAAGCGTACTGGTGACAGTCTACAATATGCCTTTATTGAATTTGAGGAACAAAAGGACTGTGAACAGGCCTATTTCAAGATGCAGGGTGTCTTGATTGATGACCACCGGATACATGTTGATTTCTCACAAAGTGTAAGAGCTCCTCATCACCACTATTGCCTAGGCCAATATGCTAATATATCCCAGGTATCCAAGCTATCTGAAAGCTGGCGCAATTCCACCGTCACCAAGCGACGAGAGCGAGGTGGATTTGGTGGTGTTGCAGACCTTGAAGCGAAACGTCAGTACCGAGAGCTGGACGATGCGCCTGTCGATGAGGATGATGCTAGGTATCGGATGATGTTCGACAAAAACAAGAATAGGGGCGCTCCAGCTCCACCCCGCGAGCCTCCTCGGGAGGCTCCGTCAGATCGTACTCGCGTTCGTCGAGATCGAGGGAGTCGAAGCCCCCGTCGAGATGGGCGGGATCGATACCGTCGTCGATCCTATAGTCGGAGTCCACAACGGGATTCACGAAGGGATTCACGGAGAGAACGAGGCCGCTACGATAACCGTGAACGACGATAGTATTCAAATATCCCCTATTCCTCAAAATAAATAGAACATACGTGCTCTGAACATATCCACTTGACTTCGCCCCTTACCGTAGCAACCAGCCAAGGCCCCGCTTTGACCAGTGGCATAACTTCCAGTGGGCAGGTCTCACACGGCGCTAACCACTTTCTATGGACAGCTCGTTATTATTCGCCTCTGCAGATCCCTAAAAATAAACTGGAGCCCACTAAGTTCTAATAGTCTGAGATATATTAGCCAACTGGAGCAGAATTACCGTGTGGCGTGGATTTTAAGGTGTAACTCAAGTACTTAATCAGCTTGGAGCTTCACCCCACGTTTTTTTATTTTTATTTAGTCTTCTCCTTCCTCTTCTTCTTTCTTCTCCTCCCAAATTATCTCTCTTCTTTTCTCTTATCATCTCAAAATATCATCCAAAATGGCAAGCGTAATCAAAGATGCTGTCTCCAATGTTCTTGGCAAGCTCCAGGGCACCGCTCCAGAGGTTCCTCGTGAACCCTCAGCGGAGGAGTTCCAAGCACTACAAAAGAAATACACAGACGCTGGACAAGGGCATGTCTTCGCTTTCGTCGAGGAATTGACCCCCGTCGAGAAGTCACAGCTCTTCCACCAGCTGTCCAACTTTGACCCCACTCGGATCAACGAGCTGGCCGACAAGGCCCTC